TTTTATTTATTGGTTGGTGTTTGTTGGTTCACGCGAATTCTGACTGTGCCATTGCATTTGCAAGTTTACTTTATTTTACCTTGCCAACATTGTATCCAAATTAAGTTTTATTGTATAATATCCTCCTTGGGGGATGGTAAACATCGTCTCCTTGGAGCTGAACTGGCTCCAAGGTGACATGCTTGTCAACAGAACGTCAGAATGAATTCAGAATGTCTCAGTAGTTGCGTTTCTGAGCACAACTTGTTGTCAACTGCCCTGAAGACGCAACATAGTATTTGATTAGCTTTGTTGGTTCACATTGTCTGGACATCTTCAGTGAATGATCAATGATCACATTCAAATCCTCTTTCTTCATATCTGCTGTAGTCTAGGCCCACCTATCTTCAATTGAGGTTGAAGGGCAAGACCTAACTTAGAGTTGAGTTTCTGGATTGCCCTAATACTCATACTTGCTGAGAGACTTACAAGCTTCCAAGAAAACGGTTTTAATTGTGCCCATCACTGGAACAGATTGAACTATATCTTGCAGCAAACTTCAGGGCAGAGCCCGTTCACATCTCCCTACTTTGCAGGTTGTGAGTTGTGAGTGCTCTCTGCTGGCTGATGGCTACATTTTCATTATGTGGGAACCAGAAGTACTATGGGCCCTATCAAATACTTATGATATTACAAGTAAAATAAATCATTCAATAAAGGGCAAATTTTAAGAAATATATGTTCCAATTCCCATTATAGCAAACATCTTCATTATCTATCAATTGAAGAACACGGATTGCAGTTTTTCTTTCGTAACATCAAACACCAAGAGTTAGCAAATGATCAAACAGGACAACTTACTATAGCAGAAATATAATAGAGTATTCCCTTTCCTCTCCCCTCTGATTCCAAACCCAGATTTAGGTTCCATTCTTGTAGCAGGCCATCAACTCTTATTTGTTCCTCAGCTGCAAAATTATACAATTTGGTGCATAATAACCTTCAGAAATTCTCTGTGTGTTAGAGGAAAGGGAAAATAGATTTTGTAAAATGCTGCTTTACTGATCTAATGACATTAATGAGTGTGCATGTGCATATGTATATACATGACCACTATTACTGTGCTGTGACCAGCAGAGTCCTGTAATTTAGTGGTTAGAGCACTCGCCTCGCATGTGAGAAGAACTGGGTTTGATTCCCGGGCAGGGCAAAACGTCGGGCAAGTTTCCTTACTCCACACGCCTTTGTTCATCTAGCAGTAAGTAGGAACCTGTTGTTAGTCATTCCGGGGGTATTAATCCCTTCCAAAGAAAAATAATAATAATTTGGTCACTCAAACCATGACTGTTTGTGGGACACTGCTGTGCCCAATTGGCTGCTGCGTTTTGCCCACAAAATATACAGAGAATTCACTTTGCAGTATATTACGTCTCAAAGATGTAATAAGGTGCTAGATCAAATGCAAGAATTATTATTATTAATACTGAACTGTAACCAGCAATACTGAGTTGCACTCAGTAGTCACGTTTCTAGATGCAAGTCTTGATCTAATTCGATCACTTATCTATTGCTATGGCTTATCACACAACATGATAAAATTCAAAATTACGTGCTGTACCACTGCTGTGCAAACATATTGAAAATAATCTAAACCTTCCCAAATCAGAGTGTGTTTTATTTCCAGCAGGCTAGTCCTTAAGGCAGCTAGGCTTGATTAATTTTCCAAACAATGGCTGAAGAAAGATCACTGCCATCTCTTCGCTGTAACAAGAGGAATTATGTAGTGATCATGCATACAGGAGATGAACAGGATGGATGACTGTCAGCAATGTGTGCCTCGGGTGTGGCTGCAATAATTGATGCTCTGTGGAGATCTTGGTCAGACAATCTGTACGTGCCAGTGCTGCAGCCATTTTAACTATACAATATATAGCAACTTGCTTTATACATTCCGATTTTTTTGTGGTTGCACTTCCCCTTGAAGCATATCCCACCAAAGGCCAGACATTTTAATGATAAACTAAAATACAGATTGGCAAATTCTTGAAATCCTTTTGGCTGAGAGTATGGGTGCTGATGGCGGGTTCCACTCTGTAATTCGAGAATAAACTAAATTACCACAAGGCAATATTGCAGTTGCCTCAATGTTTATCCACTCATGCTCATAATGAGCATGTTTTATGTTGCAATAAGAAGCAAGCACCTTTTTCCTTTCATATGGGATCATTTTTGCAATAAACGTCAACAGTGATGCATATGCATGCCTGTGCATATAAAGTGATGTTGTGTGTTTAAGGTGCTGGAACAAATCAAATACCTTTAAAATGATGTTCATGGTTTAATTACAAAAATTAAAGCTGTTGATATTGTGCAAGTTCAATCAAAGGTGAGGGCGTGGGTTGAAGTGCAGCTGTTATAGTCATGACATGATGAAGTGAGTCACTGACTTACATGATCATGAATTAACACTATTGAGTGAAGAAGAAAACAATTTTATAATGTTAAAAATTGGGTTAGAGACGGAGGAAAAGCAGGCAGGTTGATAGGGTTTAAGAAGGTCACAGAAGTAGGCTGAGGCAAGACCATGGAGGGATTTAAAAGCAAGGATGAGGATAGTGAACTACATCCTCTGGGGGATGTGGAGCCAGGCAAGGATAGGATAGGAGAATCGACATTCAACTGGAGAAAACTGGCTTTCGTCCAGGACTTCCCGCACCAGGTTCCGCGACCCTATTACCCCCGCCTTCGTCCGACTCCAGCTTCCCATCAAACAGAGAATACGTTCAAGATCCTGGTCCTCACCTTTAAAGCCCTCCATGACCTTGCTCCCCCTACCTCTGTGACCTCCTATCCCGCTCCCTCCGCTCAGTGGGCTCCGGCCTGCTTCACGTCCTCTGCCTCACCCACCCCACAATTGCCGTGCGGGCCTTCAGCCACTCTGCCCCCACCCTCTGGAACTCCATTCCGCAGTCCCTCCGCCTCGCCCCCTTATTTGCCTCCTTCAAGACCCATCTCAAGACCCTCCTCTTTGACCGTGCCTTTGATCACCCTCCTTTCTCCTCCTGCCCTCCACCCTCCCCGACCCACAGCCCGGGTCCAAAACACTGATTGTCCAGCTCTTGGGACGTCCTCCCAATGTGAAAGGTGCTATATACAAATGTAATTTTGTTGTTGTTGTTGATGTCTGACAGACAACCCGTCAGGACAGCAGTGTCCTGGAGTTGACTGGCAGAAAAATAGAGTTGGGTGTCATTCACATGTGGAAGTTAACCCCAGGTCTGCAGACGATATCACCGAGCGGGAGTATGTAAATATGAAAGATGAGGGGAACGAGGCCAGAGCCCTGAGGAATGACGCACATGACGGTGCGAGGACTGGAGGAGAAGACGTCAGTGGATATCAAGTGGAGATGATGGGAAAGGTACGAGGGAAACCAGGCAAGAGCAGAGCCACAAAGGGTAGAGTTGAGAGGAGAGGTGGTGAAGAAGAATAGAGTGGTCAACGGTGTCAAAGGCAGCGGAGAGATGGAGAAGGATGAGACAGAGAGAGATCTGGTCACAGATGGACAGAATATCATTTACAATCCATACAGTTAGTGCATATAATCTATATTATCACATATAATCCATAGTGTGTGTATATAATCTATATCATATAATCTATACATGATCTATGATCATGTTATTATACATGATCATAGTTAGTGTATATAATCTATATTATCGTATATAATCCAGTTGGTGTGTGTAATCCATGGTGTTTATGATATATATTATCATATATAATCGAGTTAGTATATATAATCCAGTTAGTGTATATGGTCCGTAGTTAGTGTATATAATCCATAGTTAGTGAGTATAATCCATAGTCAGTGTATATAATCCATTGTGTATATAATCCAGTTAGCGTATATAATCCATGGCTAGTGTATACAATCTATATCATATATAATCCATAATTATATATAATCCATGGTTAGTGTATATCTCCGTATTATCATGTACAATCTAGTTAGTGTATATGATCCATACCTTTTCTGTATATAATCCACAGTTAGTGTATATAATCTATATTACCAAACATTATCATAGTGTATATAATCCATAGTTAGTGTATATAATCCATGGTGTACATAATCCATAGTTAGTTCTTATAATCTATATTATCATATATGATCCAGTCAGTATATATAATCCATAGTCAGTGCATATAATCCATAGTCAGTGTATATATTCTATATTATCATATACAATCCATACAGTTGGTGTATATAATCCATAATTAGTGTATATAATCTCTATTATCATATATAATCCATACAGTTAGTGTGTCGATCCTGACTGGACTGAGTATATCGACTGAGTACATCCTCCTCGTTGTCAGGGTTACGCCTGAACCCGCCTCTTCCTCCTCTTTCATTGGCCGCCGTTTTCCCGCGTACGCCACGACCGCCATTTTGAAACGAACGGCCTGAGCGCGAGCGGAGTGAACCCGTAACCGTCAGGTAAGGAGCCCGGGGCCCAGCGCGGAGCTCCCGGTGTGTGTGTGGGAGGGGGGACGGGACACAGAACGCGGGGCCCAGCGCGGAGCTCCCGGTGTGTGTGGGGGGGGGGACACAGAGCGCGGGGCCCAGCGCGGAGCTCCCGGTGTGTGTGTGTGTGAGGGAGAGAGAGCGCGGGGCCCAGCGCGGAGCTCCCGGTGTGTGTGTGTGTGTGAGGGAGAGAGAGCGCGGGGCCCAGCGCGGAGCTCCCGGTGTGTGTGTGTGTGTGAGGGAGAGAGAGCGCGGGGCCCAGCGCGGAGCTCCCGGTGTGTGTGGTGGGGGGGACACAGAGCGCGGGGCCCAGCGCGGAGCTCCGGTGTGTGTGTGGGGGAGAGAGAGCGCGGCGCCCGGTGAAGGAGGGTTTACTTGTTAAGGTCAGAGCTGCTGCTGACAGACTGAAGCCAGTCTCAGCCTCGCCCCTGAGCTGTGTTGCCCACCGGGAAGCTCCCGGGGAGCTGCTGGTACCTACCATCCACCCAGTGCCGCCGGCTCAGCCCTGAGCTTGTCAGATGCCAAATGATCAGCCAGTGACTGTGCTCCTGGTGGGGGGTGGGGACGAGGGACGAGAGGGAGAAGGTAAGTGTCGTCTCCTTGGAGCTGAACTGGCACACAGCCTAATAATAACCCCTCCAAAAACCCCCAAACAATAATAAAATTGGTCATTTTCAATCCACGACTGTTTGTGGGGACATTGCTGTGCGCGATTGGCTGCCGCGTTTCGCCCACAAATAGACAGTCAATTCACTTCGCAGTGTGTTCTGCGAAGCGCTTTGGGACGTCCTCCCGACGGGAAAAGCGCTATATCAAATGCGAGGATTATTATTATTATTATTATTAGAGTGTCAGAGCGAGCCAGCCCTCTGGGGCGGTCTCCAGTCTGGTTCCTGAGCCAGGAGGGTCCGCAGTATTCCACGTCCGGGATGACCGACTCGCAGCCCGTGCGTGGCCCGCATTACGCAAGCGTGGAATAGTCACGGATGCTGCAAGTTGGCCATCCCTGCTACAAGGCACAGCCGCCGAGCCAGCCTGGCTCTTCAGGGCGACTTAAAGCAGAAAACTGGGTGATTCTTCCCATTCTCCCGGCAAACAAAGCAAAGCCCCAACGGGTCCCGGTGGTCTGAGCAGGACAAACAGCAAGAAGCTTACCCGGCAGTGCTCTCAATGGCAAGCTATGCTGTGTTAGATGGCTAAACTCCAGCAGTACCCTAAGCCACACTCTGGTGTCTTCAAGCTTTGGCTCTCGGTAACCTGTGCCTAATATTTCCCAGTGTCAAATATGCAGATTCAGGGAAATCAAAGGTAGCATTCCTATGTGGAACTCTTATGGCTTAGGTCCTCTTAAGCGGCATGATAGATTTCCCCTTTCAGGCTAACCAATTTTTTTTGGGGGGGAGTAATCAACAAATGTTCGTTTGAAAGGTGGGAGATCTTTGCCGTGTACTTGTCCTCTTGGTTTGAGAAATCTGCAAAGTCGAATGTTTGATTTATCGTATCATATTATTTTGGATGGGTAATGGCAGAAGAAATTGTTTTAAAAGCAGGGCTTGGTAATTTCAAGTTGTGGCATTGTTTGCAAATTTTGAAGTTAGTAGTTTTATTAATGTGGGTTTCACTTGTTTTGCTTTTGATTGTGTAGAGTTGTGTATTTTATTTGGAAATGCAGCAGCAATTTAATGCACAACAAAGTTCTACAAACAGCCATGATTAATAATTCTGGAAAATTGTCAGCCAGAGTGCACTCTTTTCAAATAGTGTCATTATAAATTCATGCAGTTTTTTTTAACTGTAAATTGTAGTGACTGTTTGTAGGCGACATTTGAACAGCCATAAAGTGAATGATTAATTAATCTGGATAATTGCTCTGGAGGATAGTTATCCAGGACACTGGCAGAAACAATTTTCTCTTTTTGAATAGTGTCATCGCATCCTTAATGTCCACCCAAAGAGTGGGACCTCTGTTTATATGACATCCAAAGGATGGCACCTGCAACATTGCACATTGTAACTTTGCAGCAATACATTGGAATCTGGACTAATCTGAAATGGGTCTTGAACCCACAACCTCTTATTTAGAGTCAAGCATGCTTTCAATTGAACCAGGCTGATACCAAATATATTTCTCCAACCTTAATGTGAGACAGAACTAATTTGAAATACTTGCTTTTTGAGATTATGTTTAAATCATTGTAATACTCTATCGATGAACTTTAATATTTCTGGCATATTGTATCTGGGTCTCAGTAATTTTCTACTTCACACAATGTACATTGAAGAATTTACATGCAATATTAATCAGTGTGCCAGTTGTCCTATTAAAATTAAATTACTGAACTCTATAAACAGTTTGTCTATCAATATATAATATGACATTGGCAGCCTAGTGATACTGAATTACACTTTGCAGAGCAGTGGTGTACTGAAATCCAACATTTGCCTGTTGTGTATTTATAGGCAAAGATTAACTGCATATTCATGGCAAAACATTAACTCTAAATTGGTAACAGCCAGAGTAGATTGGACAATTACTTATAGGATTTGCATTATATGATGTATTGCAGGGTGATTTTCACATGGACCTTGATGCTTCACTATTTCGCAGTTTATACTGGTATCTCTATCTCTAGCCTGACCAAAGTAGTAAAATCAGTAATCAGACCTGTTATAGTCATTATAAGGTAGTCTTGTGTGCCACAACTTCAGAGTTGCAGTTTCTGATGCCATCTGAACCCCAACAAGTCGAGGGCCAAGAGACAAATTTGTTATTGTTATTTGTAAATAACAGTATTCAAGAATTCAAGATCCTCATCCTGACCTACAAGGCCATTCACGGCCTCGGTCCCTCCTACCTCTCCGACCTACTATCCCCCTACCTACCCGTACCCTCCGTTCCTCTGGCTCCGGTCTGCTCCACGTCCCCCGCCCCAACCGCCCTACCATCGGTGGACGGGCCTTCAGCCTCTCAGCCCCGAGGCTCTGGAACTCCATCCCCCAGTGCCTTCGCCGCCTCCTCCCTTTCCTCCTTCAAGGCCGGTCTCAAAACCTTTCTCTTTGACCGTGCCTTCAGCTCCCCTCTCGACTCTCTTCCTCCTCCTCCTCGCTCCCTCCCTTCCCTCCCCTCACCCTGACCATTTCCCTTCTGCTCGGGTCCTGACCCAACTGTACAGCGCCTTGGGACGTCCTCCCGACGTGAAAGGCGCTCTATAAATGGAATCTTGTTGTTGTTGTAAAGTCCAAGTTGAATTATAAACTCGTGCCATAAAATTTAGGGAAGCAAAATTTAATTGGCAACTTTCATTAATAGTGGTTAAATGAGCCCTGCGTGTTTTTCAAATCTGGAACCTATTGAATTACTGCACAGTTATCAGTTACAGCACTGAAACAGACCATTCGGTCCAACTAGTCTGTGTCAGTGTATTCCACATGAGCCTCCAATCCCTCTAATCCTTTTTCTTTTACCCCTCTGTTCACTACTTACTGTATGCATCAAGTTTTGCTCTTGAACACATTGCTGCTTTTTGCTTCAGTCACAGCGTATTGCAGATTTTAACTTGGCACATTTGAAGGGCAGCCATGTCTAAGCGTTCTGTTAGTATATGTGCAGTATATTTAAACAGAACAGTCTGAGAATGTAGAAGCAGAACAGTCAAGAGGGAAGTCTGAAGGGAGAAGAATCTGAGAATCCTGATGCTATCATTACAATTGTGTATACTTTGTAATAAATCTTGATTTTTGTGAAGTCCTGTAGCTCAGTGGTTAGAGCACTCGCTTTGCAAGCGAGAGACCTGAGTTCAATTCCCGGCAGGACGAAATGTTGGGCAAGTTTCCTTATTCCACAAGCCTGTTTACCTTGCGGTAAGTGGGAATCTGATTGTTAGTCGATTAGCAGATCGCTTTTCAGGGGGGAGTAATTAAAAATAATAAAAATAATAATAAATCGGTCACTTCAATCCACGATTTTTTGTGGGACATTGCTGCGCACAATTGACTGCCTGGTTCTCCCACATAATATTACAGTCAATTCACTTCACAGTATATTCTGTGAGGCGCTTTGAGATGTCTCAAAGACATGATAAAGCGCTATATCAAATGCAAGGATTATTATTTAGTCTTCTTGATAACACATCATTACATTTTTGAAAGATGGTAACCAGAAATTGTATGTCCAGACTGTTATTAGAGGTTGAATTTTTTTTATCATCAGCTAAACTGAAAGTCAGAGTAGAAATATTTGTTAGCAATTGGTTACTTAGGAGGTCTGCTTAATTACCCATTGCAATACCATAACAAACTACAGTAATATGGTCTCTGGAGGAGCTTCTGATTGTGGGAATAAATTAGGGTTTCCTTGTTTTCCACCTTTATTCAACATATCCACATGCTCTATTAAGTTCCCCTTATACTAAAGTTAAGGATATGCTATTGAGCCATGTGCATTAAACCTAATTTATCAAAACACCATCTGTAATAACAAAGTGAGATTGTCTGCTTACCTGAGTGAGCGAAAGAAGAAAGCAGCATTTAATGGGAATTATTTCATAATGAAAGTATTCATACTTACCTGAAAAGTTTCAATTGCATTGACCTTTAATAGTAAAAGTACAGTTTTCTGGTAGTTAGTGGCCTTGTTTAATGGTTTCATTTCTGGTGCATGCAAAAAATTAAGAATGTAATGAAACTTGTCTAATTATGTAAATCAGTTTAGTGCGTGATGTTGCAATGTAAAATTTGCATGTCTCATGCAGTATTTTAGAAACTTAAATATGTGTACAAGACAAGTGCTTCCCTGACTAGTACAGTATGATGTATTTTGCAGGTCTCAAAGATTCATTAACTGCTTATGTTATTCTTCACTAGGAGACTGGTTGATAGGTAATTTTTAACAAATTGTTAGAAGCAAAATGGACAATTAATTGTATGACATTGACTAATAAATAATAAAGCTCTACAACAGAGAGTCTGATCAACTTCATAGACTTTTGTGAGCAGGTGTCTTTCCAATTTTAGATTGGGAAGACGAATAACATGGTGACCGTAGCCTTCTGAAAGGCTTTTAATAAAAAAAAAGAGACTGCTTTTACATGGTAATATTACTGGATATCAGGTCCTATAAAATATTAAATGGGATTTAAAGAGTATGCCAGAATAATGCTTTAAGAGCACGCATCATCAACAACAACAAATTGCATTTACGTAGTGCCTTTCATGTCGGGAGGACATGAAAGGCACAAGGTTCTGAACAGTAAAGGATTTGCATCCAAGCCGGGGGTTGAAATCTAGAGGGGTGGAGGACAAGGGGGTGGGAGATGTGAAAGGCAAATTCAGGACAGATGCCAAGAAGTACAATTTTTTTTTTACGCGAGTGTAATTAACGACTGGAATGGGTTCCAAGGAAGGATGATTGAGACCAAGATGCTGGATTTATTTAAGAAATAACTTGATACTGAAATGGGAAGGAGGTAGGCTGAGAAAGTACTCTAGAAGTAGTGATCAAGTGGGCTGAAGGCTCTCCTTCATTTGAACTTCTCTTGTGATGCATCATCAGATATCCATTCTTAAACTGGCCAAATTAATGTGCAGTAGAATATCTTGTTTTCTGAATGAATGGTGGATGTGCCCCCCTCCCCTCTGTGATGGTGAAAACAATAATTTCCCAAAATATGATTTGGTTGAAATAAATCTGTATAATCACTCAACTATATATACAACACTATTTCCTGCTACAAAGATAATGCTCTGAAGCGTGGCGAGCTCTAGTTTATTAACCGGCTCCTCCGCCCACCCTCTCACGCCTCGCACATCTCACCCTCAAGGCCAACCTCGAGGCGACGTTGGACTTCCTTGAAACCAAAATCAAGGGGATCCACTCAGCTGCCTCTGCCCTTCAGTCTACTACCCTCTCCCCATCTCCCCCTCACACCCCGGCCCCTGCCCCTACCCATCCCTCCTTCCACACCTTCGAACCTGTCTCCTACTCCTCTCTCACCACCACTGTAACCCGCATGACACCGAGCATCTGCTTCCTCAACCCAATCCCCACCTCTCTTACCTCCCAGCTCCACCTCCTTGACCCTCTACTCACAGACTTCATAAACCTATCCCTGTCCACTGGCACCGTTCCCATCCCTTTTTTTTTAAAAAAAGAGTCATCACTCCTACCTTTATTTAAAAAGAAACACACCCTGGACCCATTCCTGCTCTCAAACTACCATTCCATCTCGAACCTCCCTTTCCTTTCCAAGGTCCTGGAACAAGTCGTTGCTACCCAGCCTTGCTCCTTCCTCTCCCGCCACTCCCTTTACGAGCCCCACCGATCGGGTTTCCGTGCCGCTCACAGCACAGAGACAGCTCTGGTCAAAGTGGCAAATTACATTCCGTCTGTCTGCCTCCTCCGTCCTCCTTGACCTCTCTACTGCCTTCGATACCGTTGACCATTCTATCATCATCCACTGCTTCTCCTCTCACCTCAACCGTTTGTGGAAATGAAGTGGAGATGGTGTGAATGGTTCTGATCGTACCTCTCACACCGTCTCCATTTCGTCTCCACAAACGGTTTCTCCTCTACCCACCGCACCGTCTCATGCGACATTCCTCAGGGTTCTGTCTTGGTCTCCTCCTCTTCAACATATATGTGCTCCCTCTTGGTGACATCATCCAGGCATGGGGCCAGCTGTATTTCTCTGCCTCCTCCCTTAACTCCAGGACCACTGCTGTCCTGACAGGATGTCTGTCAGACATCAAGTCCTGGATGAGAGCCAACTTTCTTCAGTTGAACGTCAACAAGACCGAAACTCTCCTGATTGGTTCCCGTCAGCGCCTCCTCACCTCAGGCGCTGACAACATCACCAACCATGGTTGCACACTCCACCTTACTAAGCCAGTCCAGAACATTGGCATCACACACCACAAGTGTCGAAACCCTCATACACACATTGATAACATCGAGGCTTGACTATGCAAACTCCCTGCTTGTCACCCCCCCAACTCCTCCCTCCATAGGCTGCGGATCATCCAGAACTCTGCAGCCCATGTTCTCTCCCACACCAGGCTCCGAGACCCTATCACCCCCATCCTCACCCGACTCCACTGGCTTCCCATCACACCGAGGATACAGTTCAAGATCCTGGTCCTTTTAATGTCCCCCGTCTTGCCCACCCCACCATTGATGGATGAGCCTCCAGCCACTCTGCTCCCACACTCTGAAGCTCTGTTCCCCCTCCTTGCCTCCTTCAAGACCCATCTCAAGACCCTCTTCGACTGTGCCTTATATCATCTCCCTTTCCCCCTGCCCTCCCCGATCCTGACCCCAGCTCGGGTCCGAAACACCTCCTGTCCAGCCCCTTGGAAAGTCCTCCCAACTTGAAAGGCGCTATACAAATGTAATTTTGTTGTTGTTGTCATCACGTCATCGAGATATCTCAAAGCACTTTTATTGTGAAGTGTATTTGTAGGCTACTAATTGTGTAACTTAGGATGATTTTTGTTTATTGATAGGTTTATATTCTGATATGTCAACTGGAATTGAAAGTTCAAAAATGGATTCACTTGCTAAAGGCGATAATGCTGAAGGAACAAAGGAGAAAACCAAGGCTGGTAAATCTACAAAGGAAGTAGAAGAAAAGGATGTAAAATCGGAAGAGAGTGAAGAGGAAGAGGAGGAGGAGGAGGAGGAGAGGGGTATAGTGTAAATCAATACTTTTGTTTTGAAACAAGTTGAGAATTGGTTGCTTTCTATTGGGAAATCATTGATCACTTTATTAATGTTGCAGTTGGATTGCTGGAAAGAAGTCCCATTGTGGAAGGGAAAAGGGAAAAGAAAAAGGTGGAAAGACTTACATTACAAGTGACGCCTTCTGCAAAAGAAACGTTTAGTATTCCTGAAGGTAAGCATTTAACAAGTAGTTGGTGAAAAGTAAATCTCCTACATGGCTGCTCCATTAGATTTGGACCTCTGGGACATCAAAGTGGCTAGCATGTTGCCCTATATATATGTGCTTCCACCAAGCTGGAGGTAGATGTCCATCAAATAACTGAAGAGGAAACTAAGGCTTGGGATGAGAGCTGCTAGCACACATTGCTTGGTGTCTGGGTTCATGAACACCCACTTGTACATCCAGGGCTTGATACCTATCTTGTATGCAGTGAGGTAAGCAGCTACTGTTGAAGTTCCACATTTTCAACGAGTGGAACTGTCACTCAATGTGTAGGATTGTGGGTCTAGGCTTTAATTGGGATGTTGCTGCTCACCATGCTATTCCTGGGGAGTTTCTGGTATCTGCTGCCAACTAGATAGGATTCAAGCATGTTTGTCAAAAGTCAAATTACCAAATCAATCCCCAAGCCAATGGTCAAATGTTTCTAAACAATATTTTTTTTGTTTTTTTTTACTTAAATGTTACTACAAAATGTGCATTATTTATGCTTTGCATTGATCTTGAGAATAAGAGTAACATTGAGGCATTTTTGTTTTCATGTATAGGTAGAGGCATTAAGCTGGGAGATATTGAGAGAGTGCAGTATTTTATGGGAAAGACAAAGGCCGAGGATCTCAGATCTCTTCACAAAGTCCTATACAATAGACCTGGCTCGGTAAGGACATGATACATATCTGATTATTATTTTTAAGTTGAGCAAAATTGCATTGTTGCAGTCTTGGACAATTACAGTCTGGACCTCTTGCCCATCATCAGCTCAACATAGTTGATAGCATTGTTACCCCTGGATCAGTGTGGCTTCAAGTCTCTTGTATGGAGTTGAATTACAGAGCGTTACTAGAGAAGTGCTGCATTGTCAAAGTTAAAAGATCCTTTGAATATTTCAGAAAACAGAAGAGTTTCTCCCAATATCCTGGCTGACAATCCTGCTAAATTGATCATTCATTGCATAGCATCACCTTGCTGGGTGAAAATGGACTGCTGAATTTGCCTGCAAACTATAATTTCACTTGGCAATAATTACCTGTGAAACTCTTCAAAATATTGCAACATTATAGCTTTTGTAGCATAATCTTTGTTTCCACACAAGCCCTTCTCTCTATTTCCCATTTTTACCTGCGCTTTTCACCTCTTTGTTAGAAATTGTCTTATACTCGCTCGATTTCTTCCCCTCCCCCCACACCCCCACCCCACCCATATGTCCCTTCCCTCACACTCGCTCATAATCTTGACCCACTGTTGTCATTTTGTCTCTTCCAGTGTCTTCTCCTCCAGCCTCCGCAGTCATCTGCGGTTGCGGTGTATCCCAAGGTTCTAACCTTAGCCTCTCCTTTTTCTGCAGCCGCAGATGGAAGCTGTCCTTCCTGGCTCCTGTCGCTGTCTCCTTGCTGTCTCATCTTCTGACTGAAACTTTTAGGTTTCAGATAAGTTTGTATTGAAAAACATTTTAAAACTTCTGAGATCATTTAATGCTTTTCAATTTTCAGATCGCCACTCTGAAAAAAAACATCCGTCTGTTCACTGGGTTCCCATTTGAAAATAAAGATGATCAATACAAGAAAAAAGAGGAATTACTGAAAAAGTGAGTGATCCGCTGCCAAGCCCACTGCCATTTCCATCTGCCCTAGAAGAAAAATATCCCCCGTTTCCTGATTTGACTGCCACCTTGTCCCGTGGTCTCCACCCTCAACTCCAGGATCACTGCTGTCAGACATCAAGTCGCGGATGAGTCATAATTTCTTAAACTCAACGATGACACTATGGATGAGACTATCCAGCTTGGCTTGTGCCAGTGCCTCCTTACCTCAGGTGCTGATTGTATGGACCTCCCTAGTTGCTTACTCCAAAGCACAGAGAGGAGCTTCAATGGTTTGTTCGTCCCTCAACTCTCCTTCAAAGCTTTTGTCCTGGCTTTGATGTTGCTTTTTTCATCTATGTAACTTTGCCCACCCTAAATCCCTCTCCTATATTCTTTAATTCTCCCACTAGTTCACTCCAACATGGCTAAAAACCTCATCTTATATCTTTGTCTCTCTGCCTGCTTTGTGCCCCCAACCATTCTGCCCCACTTTTGGTGGGGGAGCCTTCAGCCATTTTGCCCCTTGCCTTTTGGAACTTTCCTGAAACCTCTTGGTCTTGTTTCCTCCTCTGGTTTCAATTACCTGAACACCTACTTCTGAGTGTGCCTTTGGCTATCTTCCAAGCAAATTATCTGCCACTTAAACATTAAATATAGAAAATGTTTAAAATAACTGACAAACTTTCAAACATTAGATTTACATAGATACTACACGGAAATGGGCCATTCAGTCCAATTACACAAGCCTCCATCCTTCCTAATCCCTCTCCCATACTCTATTCCCTTCTCCCTCATGTATGCATCAAGATTCTTTTTAAGTACATTGCTATTTTCTGCTTCAGCCACAGCCTCCAGCAATGAATTTTGCATTCTCACTATGGACAGCAAAAGGTAGTTGCTCCTAAACTCCCTTTTAGTCTTTTATTTATGCTGCCTTGTTTTGGACTTGCCAGCAAGCCTATTGTTGTCCACCTTTCGATTTGCAGCAGCTGGAACTGTTTTGCCATTGCTGGGTACATGTGTATGTGGGCAGTGAAAGCTAAGGACATGTTTTTCTATTGCAAAGACCATCTTTGACGCCTTAAAGTGTCAGACTGACACCTCACCTAATTCCTTACATTTGTTGTATGCTATTGATGTGTGCGAATGGACCAGAGTCTGTTTGTTTCCAGCATGTTTGAACAGCTGGTTCTAGTTTCATTTCCGGTTACTAGCAGTTTCACCTTTGTGGGAATGACCTTCTTAATTCAGAATTGTCAAGCGCTTTGAGACGACCTCCCAGCATTAAAGTAGCTACATAAATGTAAATTGTATTGCATACTTAAAGATGTATCTTATTCTAAAAGATAACTGCATTCCTAATTGCTGAGGACCTAATAGAGTGGAGCCTTGATTATAATCTGGTTGTTGGGATCCAACATATGCCATTGATAAGGAACGATAGCTGGTTTCATAGCTTGGCCAGCTCAGCCCTGCCTTTTTGATTTTAACTTCTCATTACTGTCACATTAATTCCCTTTTAACTTCACCTTCTAACTTCCTGCTTTTCATTATTTTCCTCTAGTATTTTTAATATTATCGCTTGCAATTATCTCCTTTGGGATTTTTCTTTTTGTCTGCATGTTCTCTGTTTTTTTCAGATTGTCTGAATTCATCTGATTCTCATCTCTTAATTCTTCTTCCAGTCGTTTAGTCAAACAATGAAACTGATGTGTTGCTGGGATTAGAGACTGAAATAAGTCTATTTCTTGTCATGCATGTCAGTGTGTTTTATTTTGTTTTGAATCCATTCCAGCACTCTTTTTCTCATTACTTTATTGTGATGCTATTTCCTTTTCCAACTTCCCCATCCCCAGAACTTATGGAACTTCCTTCTTACAATCTACAGGGTTCAAAAGTCTACCAAACCGTTAGTTTTTGATTTATTTTGTCTTCCACGCAAATGCCCCTCACCAAGCTTTCTCAAACCTATCATTGGAGAAAATCAACTTCACAGTTATAATACATTGCAATTTACATTATATAGTGCCTTTCACATCTCAAAGGTCTGTGCACCTAAGCGGTGGTGGGAGCCAAGAGGGGAGGGAAGAGGGAAAATATCCAAAAATATGGTAAAAGGTATGTCTTTAGATGGATCTTGAACGAGGGGAGAGCAAACGAGTCAGACAAGAGTCTGCGTGAGAGCGGGGGCAGAATGCCTGAGAACTTTGTGGGGTCTAATGTGTTTTTTTTTTCTTGGTGAGCGGACACGGGCTGTAGAATTCTTGATAGTCTGCAGCCTGTATAGAGACAAACTAGTATACTTTAATACGTCTTGCGTCTCCATGTTGAAATAAAATGTGTACAAGAGTCCTTGGTTTTGCTGATTACAAAAGAGGCTCATTCAAGAAAAATACTAAAATAAAGAATTGTACTGAGCTGTTTGTTCATGTTGAACTGCTTCAGACCTTTTTTTCTTCCCAATTGCAGATATCCAATTTCAGTATTGAAAGTAATTTGTACTGTCCTGGACCTGGAGCGAAAAGGGACTAAAGATGAAATTGTTTCAAAAATTCTCAACTTTCTGATGAAGCCCAAGGCATCTGGCAAGGTAACATTTTCAAATCTAAATTTTCCTTGAAACGAGGCAAAAATCAGTGCATGTAATCTGCCTTACAAGTATACTGGCAGCCTGTTTGATTTTAAAACATACCAATAGTAAATAATAAACGTTGAAGCTTTAACTTGTATTTCAGTTCCCACTTATGTTTCGGCTTAGTAGCACTTTCAAACCCTGTTGTCATTGGCATTCTCTGAACGAAACCATTATTTATAAAGCAAAGTCAACAAAACTAGGTGGATTATTTTGATTTTTGATAAAGGAATCCTGGGTGTGTTTTCCTGAAAGATAACTACAAATTAATTTGTCTTGTAAACAGCAAGCATAATTGAGATTTAAATGTTGTTGGTGCAGTTCCAAAGAACATCATTTATTTTCTTCTCCAAATCAACAAAAGCATGGAAATTCTTTGCTCTGCAGGATTTAATAAAATGGGTACTTGTACATCTCTCAAAGCTAAATTCTGCCTCTTTTTCTACTGCCGTATTAGCCTCTAACCAGAATTCAAATAACAGAACTGTTTGGCAGTATAATGCTTGTGGAGCAGACCTCTAAAGATGATGCCAGCGTCTAGGTTGCTAATTACTTGAATGACTTGTTTTGCCTGGAAACCGAAGGGCACCAAAGAAAAATTAACTATTCTGTCTGTGCTCTTTCAGGAGTATATTCAAGCAAAGGAGCTATACAAATGTAATCTTGTTGTTGTTTATTAAATTATTTATTTAATTAGTTTATGGAAAGTTATTCTCCAATTTTTCGTGGTTCCCAGGCCTCCACTAGTACTATGCAACTGGATTGTGTGTGGTCGCCTTGGCGTGACTTTTTTTTTCCATTCCCATGTGGTAAACATTCTCTACGCTTGGGACTTCTCCACAGATCGACAGTTCAGCAACTGAAGAATTGCAGGCATGGATACGCATTCTGCCTTTTTGACCACTCCAACCGTAGTCAGGATGAAGTGATCTTGTTAAATGCTGATTATGAACATCTTTCACTTGTGTGCAGATCACTTCTAAAGCTGTATATATAATTGCATACTATTTTGTACAACTTATTTGTAAAATCATTTTCTGAAAAGTTCTAATATGTGGCCTGAGCGGTGATGAGTGCAATGTGCATGTTGTTGTGTTAAGAAAAGTTGATTACACAAAACTCAAATGTATATTTCATAATATAAATTATTGTGTTGTGTATGTTTGGCAGTCATTACCAAAGCCTAAAAGAAAGCGTCAAAAGGGTGGAAAAAAAGAGCGTAGCAGTTCAGGATCCAAGAAGAAGTCCAAGGCCACGACTGTGGAAGAAATTCTCACAGACGAGTCTAGCAGTGAAGAAGATGAAAAGAAAGAAAAGAAGTCTTCAGATGAAGAGAAAGATGAAAGTGATGAAGTGGAGGTTTGTATGTTATTTCTTGTGCCACTGTGTTAATGTGCAATTGAACTATTCCATGACTGAATTGAGAGAGAGAGATGTGAAATATAAGGATGAACTATTTAAGGTCATCCACTGTGAAAGCATAAGGGACCATTTGAAAGCTGCATTGTCAATATGGGGATTGACTTTTGTCTGTATGTATATGTGAGGTTGATATTCATCTCATGATTACTGCAAGTAATGTGCATTATAATTAGCCTTGTGGAGGGTAATATGTGCATTGTAATTACGTGGAGTCAGTGGTTTGAGCACTCATTTGCAAGCGAGAGACCTGGGTTCGATTCCTGGCAGGGTGAAACCTTGGGCAAGTTTCCTTGCTCCACACGCCTGATAATATTCCCTCCAAAACAATAATAAATTGATCATTTCAATCCATGACTGTTTGTGGGACACTGCTGTGTGCAATTGGCTGCCGCATTTCACCCACAAATATACAGTCAATTCACTTTACAGTCTATTCTGTGAAGCGCTTTGAGACGTCTAGAAGGCGTGAAAAGCGCTATATCAAATGCAAGGATTATTATTATTATTACTCTTGAATAAGTGCACTGACCTGAGCCAATGACTGGAACATTCAGTGATCCATAGATGAATTTCACCTATCATTCAAGAGAGTACGCTATCAAGGATGAGTGGAAAGCTCTCAAGAAAAATAAGACAATTTGGAGCTTTCCTCTCTAGGGTCAGATAATTCAAAGGGGATCTGATAGAGGTGTTTATTAAGAAAGGATTCAATGGGATGGGGGTGTTAGGTTTTCCATTTATTGGTGAGTCCAAAACGAGGGAGCAAAATGTAAGATAGCTAATCTAGATCTTTAACTTTCTTTAACTTGAGAAGCGAGAATGTTGAACTCACTGCTGGAAGCTGTAGTTGAAGCAAAAAGCATTCAAGTATGCAAGAACAAAACTCGATGCATACACGAGGGAGAAGTGAATAGAGGGGTACGGAGGAGAGATGGAGGCTTGTGTGGATTACAAGCACTGGCGTGCCTAGTTCGACCAAATGGCCTGTTTCCAAATCGAATTAGTCAATGAAATCCTATTAGAAAAATGAATCTTAATTAAATGATGTACTGAAAATTATACTTTTCTATTCAGCCACCGAAAAAAGTAGTTCGAAAGGAGAAATCTACACCAAAAGCTACACCAAAAGGCAAGAAGGGTCAAAGTACCAAGTCAGCAAACGTGAAAAAGGCTGATAGTAGCACCCCAAAGAAAACTGCAGCCCTGGCAAAGAAAGGCAAGTACCTCCAAGAGGGATAATTATTTGAATGACTTGTTTTGCCTGTAAACTGAAGGGCACCAAACAAAAAGTAAACATTCTCTCTGTGCCCTTTCAAGGGGTATATTCAAGCAGTTATTAAATAGTTGTCCAATCTGCATTTGAACACCAAAATTTGTAGATATTTTGGATAGCTGAAGTCACTAGAGCACCGGCTCAAAATGTTCTAGATATAAATCACATCTCCTCAACCTTTTGGGGTTGATTAAACCAATAATAATAATACTTGCATTTGGTATAGCGTCTTATCACGTTGGAAGGACGTTTCAAAGCGCTTCATGGTATTTACTGTGAAATTAAGTGACTGTATTTGTGGGCAACACAGCAGCACAATTGCACACAACAGTGTCCTACAAACAGCCATGAAATGAGTGACCAATTTTATTTGGGGGAACTGTTGGCCAGGACACCAGGAGAAATTCCCTTCTCGTTTTGAATAGAGTACCATTTCTTAAAAATACACTTGGTGAGGTGGGGCTGTGAGGAGGTAATCTCTGAAGTTGAACTGGCTCTGAGGTAATTTGAGAAGTCAAGTAAATCCACAGTAATCCCCAATGAGACATGAGTGAGACTTGGAAATGTAAACCTGTCAACATTGAAGCATGAGAGTCATTGGCCCATCCAGCTCAAGACATATTTCTCTGTCTGATCCTAACTTACTGCTCGGTAAACTGAGGCACGTGGAGTAAGGAAACTTGCCCAACGTTTCGCCCTGCCCGGGAATCAAACTCAGATCTCTTGCGAAGTGAGGGCCCTAACCAATGAGCTACAAGTCTCAACATTTAGTGTTGGCTAATAAACTGACTAAAACTGACTCAACATTTAGTGTTGGCTAATAAACTGACATAAGGCACAAGTTTTTCTCTTAACAGGGTTCTGGGCATCCAGTTTGTGAATTGTTCCCAACTGCAGTACAGACACAGCCTTCCTAAAGTGTCCATGAGGGACCTTGAATCGTGTTTAATTCACATTTGGTGCTTATTCTGGTGGCTATCCAATGTAGAGCAAAACATTTATTCCCATTCTACTAATATTAGACACTGGTACATGTGGGTTAGTTGTGGTTGAGTATAAACCTAAGAAAAGCACGCTCTACTGCATCAGTGTGAATTTCTCCTACTGCTACACCAGGCATCCTGTAGTTTCTAACTAACTGAAGGTTTTAGATTATGACCTGGTGCTACAGGAGACTAAATTGAAACAAACCATATACTTGGGACACTTTTCGCTTTGGACTTTGCAGCTAGCAGAGAAATTGCTATCTAACTAGGCTGGATTAGAATTCAATCCTGGGTCTCAGAGGTGAAAAGGTAGCAACGTGCTGCACTACCAACTTCCCATTTAATATAATTTTCTTCCCTAGACTTGAGAGGTGGTGATAAAAAAGTTACTCCGATTGAGAGCATAGCCACGAGTAAGTAAACCTTTTTTAAGATTTTTTTTATGCAGAATCAACAAAATGTCAGTGAAGGAGGCAGGGGAGAATGGTTTGAAAAGCATCATTTTGTAAGAAATGATGTAAAATAAAGCTGTTGTACAACTACATCATAGTTATTGTCTCTTGGCTGGAGAACTTCGATGCTGGCAAGTTATGTGAACTCAAGGATGATGCTTGAAAATAATGGTTGAATTTTGGGACAACAGATGGCAACTGATTTACATTTTGATATTTTACTGTACTACATATTGATATTTTATGGTACAAATTGATTTTATGTACCCCACAAATTATCAAATTCCATGAGAGAAACTGCCATGAAGTTTTTCGAGTATGCAATTTGACCTAATTGGAATTTGATCATTATTTGGCATACACCATTTCAGGGGTTAAGGTGAAGGGATTGAGGGAGAGAGTTCCAGAGTTTTGGGGCGTAGTGGCTGAAGTCACGGCCACCAATGGTGGAACGGAGGGCACAAGAGACAAACAGGAAACCGGAGCCGAGTAGAGGCAGCGGGTGGTGGAGTGGGGGTGTAAGCAGGTCGGATAGTTAGGGAGGTGCAAGGGCATGAAGGGATTTGAAAACGAGTGAAAGGAACTTGAAATCGATCTGTTCAGTGATGGAGAGGCAGTGGGCACAACTTTTGGCAAAATCAGGCAAACTGGCTCATTGGCAAGACAGATCACTGGGAACAGAAATTCTTCCACTAAACTTGTTAACCCTGAAAGCCAAAGACTTAATCCTATCCTAACTGGACAAACAGCAGAAACCTTCCTGGACAGTGCTTTCAATGGCAAGCGGTTTTAGCTAGTTAAACTCCAGCAGTATTCCAAAAACAGACTTGAGCATCCACAAGTCTTGATTCTTGTGACAAGGTGCTATATCAAACGGAAGTATTCTGATAATAATCTCCTTTCTCCTGCAACGATTACCCCATCTCCATGTCAAACTAGGAAAGTGAAGGTTAACCTGTAAACTGAACAAGATATTCTGCTTGAAAAGTTTAATGCCACCTTTGTGCTTTTTGCAGAAAGCGAATCTGAAGACAGTTCAGATAATGAACCTCTGATTAAGAAAGTGAAAAAACCACCTACAGATGATGACTTGAGAGAAACTGTCATGAAGTTATTGGAGGATGCAAATTTGGAGGAGGTCACAATGAAACAAATCTGCAAGAAGGTACCTTTGTATTCTAATGTGCTGAATAAATTAGAAAACCAACAAGTTGATCTCAGTTAGGCATTGCACTGATAGAACTTTTAATGGCACCTGCAACAAGGGCACACATTGAATGTTATATTTGATCCAGTACAAGGGGAACAAAAAAGCTTGAGTTTACATTCCTTCATTGATATTGTTTTCTCTCCCCCTCCCCATTAATAATCTGACTTGGTGAATGCTGTGTACTCATACTCTTGAGGTTATTTGTTTGGGTTTCAAGAAATTCAAATTGCAATCTATCTTAATTTAACAAATACGTGAAGGAATTGTATTGAAAATTTTCATGAACTGTTCATGCAGTGTTCCAGATAATTGAGTCTTGTTGGATCATCACGGCTGTTTTCAATTTGCAGTGCAGTATAAGCAATGAATTGATGGGTATTGGATGGGGTAGGCAGCATATTGGTTGTGAATTTATATTGGAAATCTCCCTCTCTCATATTTATGCTTATGATAGTCCACAGAAGCACTCCGAGATGCCTATCTGCATGAACTGCACTATATAAGTGGAGTCCTTGTAGCTTAGTGGTTAGAGCACTCGCCTCGCAAGTGAGAAGACCTGGGTTTGATTCCCAGGCAGGGCGAAACGTTGGGCAAGTTTCCTTACTCCACACGCCTCTGTTCACCTAGCAGTAAGTAGGAACTCGGTTGGTGGGTTGCTTTTCTGGGCGTAATAATCCCTTTAAAAAATGTTTTTAAAAAAAATAATTTGGTCATTCAATCCACGGTTGTTTGTGAGACGCTGCTGTGCGGAATTGGCTGCTGTGTTTTGCCCACAAAATATACAGTCAATTAACTTCACAGTATATTCTGTGAAGTGCTTTAAGACGTCTCGAAGACGTGCTAAGGTGGTATATCAAAACCAAGGATTATTATAATAACCAGATACATTTATATAGCATCTTTCACATCGGGAGGACATACTAAGGCACTTGACAGTCGAGCACCCGATGTGTGGATTGTATTTGGGAAGGGTGGGGAGATGATCGAAAGTGTGATCGAAGAGGAAGGTCTTGAAACAGACCTTGAAGGAGGTGAGGGAATGGGTGAGGCGAAGGGACCCTGGGATGGAGTTCTAGAGCACAGGGACGGAAAGGGTTGAAGCCCTGACTGCTGGTGGTGGGCTGGGCAAGGTGGGGCACGTGAAGTACTGTGCCTGACGAGTGGAGTGAGAGGGTGGTTTTGTAGGGTCTTCGAAGATCACGGATGTAAGGTTGGGCAAGACAGTGGAGGGATTTAAAAGGATGAAGATCTTGAATTCTGTCTTCTGGGGATGAGGAGCTGGGCAAGGATGGGGGTGATAGGCTTTTGAACCCTGATGCAGTAGAGGACACAATTTGCAGAATTCTAAATGGTCTGCAGGTTGTGGAGGGAAGAGTTGGGAAGTCTGTCCAGCAGAGAGTTGGCGGAGCCTAGGTGTGATGAAAGCATGGATAAGGGTCTCATCGGCTTGAAGGGAGAGGCAATGGTGGAAGGCAAGTTGTTTTAGAAGTCTGATACAAAGGAGTTTATTTTATGTTATAATAATCTTTACCTTTGATATTGCCTGGTGCTTCACAGATAATAATTCTTGCATTTGATATAGCGACTTATGTATTTACAATGTCTCAAAGCGCTTCACAGGATATACTGTAAAGTATCTGATTGATGTACTGTAATGGCTAATGAGGGTATTTTGTAGGTTAGCACAGCAATCAATTTGCACACAGCAATATCTCACGAACAGCCACAGAGTGAGTGACTAATTTTATTTGGGAGATTGTTAACTGGGACACCGGGAGAAACTCCCTTCTCTTTTCCAATAGTGCCATGGGATCTTTAACATCCACTTGAATGGGCAGACTGGACCTTGGTTTAATGTCATGCAACAATGCACATACCAGTAGTGTATTCGAGAGCTGAGACTATATTCAATGCCGTGATGTGGAGTTTGAACTCACAGCTGTCTAATCCAGAGACAAGTTAGGCTCCAGTTGCTAAAATTAGTGATCTATGGGCTGGGGGTGTGGATGGATTGTAATGCAATTTCTGGGTAGAATGTTAATTTAAGTGACTTTATTTTGTAGGTGTTTGCAAACTATCCAGATTATGACCTCTCAGGCAAAAAAGACTTTGTCAAGAATGCTGTGAAAGAGGTAGGTTTGCTGTACTCTTAATTTATCATTTGTGTAAAAGATTGGTAAAGAACTTTTACAGGAAAATGTGAACTAAAATTTTAATTGTTATTAGTTTGCAATGCAGAAATTGTATGGTTTCAATTTCAAATTGCATTTTATGAATGCTCTTTTGCTCCAACACAAATTCACAACTCTATTTGAAGCAGGATTACTTCATTTGAAATGTCTGAATAAGATGCTGTCTAGTAGCAAGCTGTAATACATTCTGTGTATTGTTTTAAATGAAAGTGTTATTTTGGAAAACTATTGATGTCAGAAAGCAGTATAGGTCCACTGATAATAATGATATAATCCTTGCATTTGATATAGTGCCTTGTCACGTATTCAAGGCATCTCACTCTTCCTGGCAGCCCTGCAGTACCTTGGCCAAATAATTTTTTTGTCCCATTTTATGAGGAACAGGAGTAGGCCATTCAGCCCTTTGAGCCTGTTCCACCATTCTATTAGAGATCATGGCTGATCTGTACCTCAACTCTATTTACCCGTTACAGTTTTTCACTTGTAACTTGGTTTAAAAGATTTCATGGTTAGGAGTTCCAAAATGTTTCCCAGTGACGTGTTTGCCATTCTTTTTAAAACTACATGGTTTTGGGGCTACACTGACTCTACTGGCATCTGATATTGCAGTGAAGGCCATGACTAAATTATCTTTAGCTGCCAAACTTTTCCATTTCAAACAAATCTAATAAGTTTTTCAGAATGCTTTGTTAAGGTGCCACATAAGAGGCTTGTTCCAAAAACAAGTGATTTGATGGAAACGTGGGAAGTTGGTAGTAGGTACGTGGTTGTTCAGAATGCAGAGGTATAAATACAGTGAAACTCAGCCAGCAGAAAGCAAGTGGGTGCAGTGAATGGAGTCCACTGTACAATAGAGCTATAACTAAGAAGAGTGCATTGTAATGGGACTTCATATTAATTTGCAGGGATATGGGGCGACTGAGTGGATTGCTTTTTTAAAACACCAGCACAGGAGTAGTGTGAAAAATGGCTCTCTAAGTACACCCCAGAGAATTACATACCAGCACGCTTCTTCCCATCGTTCTCTGAACTGCCTCATATTTCCCACTCAGTCTCTTTCCTTAACTCTCCATGCTGTCTCCAGAGGTCATTAGCTAACCATTTTGTGTGGTCAGATATTTAGATAATCAACTGGGATTTTATCTGTCATTTTGTTAGATCCTTTAAGATCCGAATCGTCTTAAAAGACTAATTTTTCACACATGGTGGGTGAATTTATGAAGTCTATCATAGTTTTTGCCTGATGTACCATATTTTGCGTTGTATTAGGAAATGTTCACTGAAAGTACTGTGTGTACAAAATACAAATTTATAGAACTAACCCAATATGTAAATCGTTGAATGAACAGCAGGTTCTTTCAATGGGCATTCATTTGAGTTATTCACTGCAGCTGCATTCTGTCCTTGGATTTAATATTTGGATCTCTAGATAAATACCAGCTTTGTAATGCTTTCACTACTCGTATCTCAAGTTGATGAATCTAAATGCACTTTGCACAATTACTTATTTTTGACTATAGATTTGTAGGCAAATGCAAAGATTTTTAAGTGCTACTTTGGAATAAATTAATTTATTTTTCAATGAAAAATGTTAGCATACCTGCTGTTTTAATCTTAATTCTGAATATAGTTTGTTCAGAATTGTTCTGTGAATTATATAATGCAGCAGTATATTATGCTCACACAATTAATTGGTGTCTTGACAAATAAGTTAGTGTTTTAAAGGGATAATGTTTTAATATTTGGGAAATGCATATGATCAAGATTTGACTTTTATTCACATGATTGAAAACCTCAACTATGATAGGTAGCCTCATTTTATACTCCACAGGCAAGTACCATGAATAGCAAAAATATGCTAAAATTGTTTTAAAATTTCTGTTAGACAAATGCTCTATAATTAATTTTGTATTTTTCAGTTGATTTCATGATGAAACTATATTGGTTTATATAAACCAACAAACAAGTGTTAAGACGGCACTACAACCATGTTCCTGTGGATCATGAATGAAATGGGATTTTAACACCAGCACAAATAAGAGAATGTATTCTTTGTAATTCAGTGGATTTATACAGTTGTACCTAATCAGTCTTACATCCCAATGTAAATGCAACATCTTTCAAACTAGTTTCGTGAGTTGATATAGCCATAGATCTAACTTAAGATTTTTGCTAGTTTTACCAATTGCTAATTTTTCTAGCTCTGCAGCTTTTTTTAAAAAAAATGTTTATAAGGTGTACATTTGAATTTGTTGGGTTGTGAATAAATGACCAGTTAACCATTGCATTATAAAGAAAAGCTAGATATGACATGTTTCTTCATGGATTTATTGTCCAACTATGAAAGGGAGACAGCATTTTAGCTTTCTGTCCAAGCTTGCAATTGCTGCGCATGTGTCTTAAGTTGTTCAGTAGTTGATTTGATCTTTTAAATTTTGAGTTGCTAATGATGGATCTTTGTTTTGTATTAAATGTTTTTGCATCAAGGCCATTTTTAAACTTGTAAAAGGATTGTTTTACTGGAAATGCCATTTGTATTACTTATGTAAGTTGTATTTAAGTGCTCAGATACTACCCCGGGTGAAGGGCACTTTATAAATGCAAGTTGTTGTAAGTTCTTATTTTATAGAACTTGCATTAAGTGGGATTGCCTGCAGAACATAGTTTTGTTTTTTCATATGAAATAAACTTTGTACAAAAAAACCACATCTCACTTTGTAATTTTTTTATTTGAAGTGCTTAAAACTTAAGTGACCATAGCCATTACTTGTTACAGGAAGTAGGCCTTTCTCATTGAAGTTTTGTATGAACAGGTACTCCAAAAGACAGTCTGTTACAAGGCCATTTTAAAAATAATCAGTTCTTAAATTTTTAGGACATGATTGAATTATGTTGAAAAGCTGAAATGTCTTTAAAAGGAGTGTTTACATCTGGTAGTCAAAGCTGTTTGCACTTTTTAAATGCTGTACAATTTGTAAAAGTTTACTTGCTTTCTAAATCACAACTGTAAAATAAGCAGGTTATACAAGGTTTTAGGGTTGTCATTTAGCTCTCCAATTCAGTCCTGATTATCAATATTGAGTTATTCCTGCTTAGTGTAGTAGTCTACTTAGAATTTAAAAAGTAATGTTGAGCAAAGTGACAATTGCTTTAGAATTACAATATTAACTACATGCAGCGAGCGGTCTTCAAATATTATTGTGGCAGTTAAAGTTGGGCCAATCCACTTAAAATTCGTATGAATGGCCTTGTAACCTTTTGTTTTAAGAGTCGACTCAAAATGTAAAACATTCCATACAGTTGCACCCAATGTTAAGATTACTAATTGCTATATTTAGATATTGTAGGTTTTTGCTCCTGTCAAAATGGCTCAAGGAATGTTATTCTAACCTGTACTACACCTAATGTAGGTAGGTGAGGTAACCAACTACTCTGCCATGTATATTTTGAGATTTGTTCCAGCCTAGTATAAACAACCAGGGAAACAGGAGTAAAGCACCAAAGGCTGCAATACCTGAGATTTTCAGTAATGCTTATGTCACTGAGACTAATTTAGTCCATTTTATAATACAGTAAAACCACCCTAAGTACCTTGTATTACACAGAAAAGCAAAACTGCTCATGCTTAACAAATTAACTTGTTACTCATTTACATATGCAGGCAGCACATTTAAAGAATGTAATCCTAATGGCAAAATCAACCAGATATTTACATCATTTGTTTATGTACAAGCTGTTTTCAAAGAAAACTTATAAAATAGATATATAAATCCCATCACTGTATAAAATCAAAGATTCAGGTTTCAGTATAAACTGGGACAGTCAGTTCAATAAGAATTCCCATGCTTCTCAAATACTGTACACTTTACAACCAATAAAATATAAATATTGACAGCTTAGGTTGACAAGTACTTAAAGGCTGTTACATTTTACATGGTTGTAGAGGATTGAGGTTCCAGGTCATTTTCAACCCATCTTCTGATTGGCAATATCTACAACCAACTGATGCTAGAGAGTTTGTCACAATTTAAGACAAGTTGGTTGGATCTTGGGCTGATGTATCCTAATTTGCTCATTTATTCAATCTTAGATTCAACTTTCTCACTGAAGTACTGGAAGAGCTTCTCACCATAGTCAAACTGAATTTTAACTGGCTGATTTGTCCTTGCTGCTATACTGGCAGAGAGTCAACTAGAAAGAAAAAGAAATTAAAGTTTGATAGCAGTTCTTCATTACAATTCACTGGAAATCAGCTTGTTCAACACGCCAGCTGGTTTCCATCATGTATATGGCAAGTAACTGCATGTACTAATAATAATTTTGCCATATGACTGACTTTTAAAGCTGTTTGCTTTATTTCTGCCCCCTTTTAGTGCAGAGTGCTTTTACCTCTAAAGATGTGAACAACTTTAATTATTAAATTAGTTCAAGGAAGTGTATGCAGTGTACTTGTGTATTAATGCTCTATTCACAATCTGAAGATCACTTTACAACCAATAATGTCATTTGTTGCTAAACTGCAAATGGGTTTATTTTGTACCTGACCTTAAGCACCAGATTTCCATTAATCATATTGTATTTGTTTTGCCCTCATTCCTGACCTTAAACGTACACCTACAAAGAGTGTTAACATGTTTGAAAGTGCAGCACCTTTCATCTGTACAGCATTATTCATTAGTGCTCTGAACAAAGAAAGACATTACAGAAAATGTTCACATTTACAATGCAGCAATTTTACTTGCTTCTCGGACTCCACTTAGATATGCCCCTGTGACAGTCTGTGGAAAGTGTCTATTTGTTGCCTGTTATGAAAAAGAAAAACATTACATTAAACATCTGCATTCAAATAAAAGGTTCAAATCAACTAAATGCCATCAAGAATATTCTACAATACATTGCATAATGAGATTAACTCCAGTTATTCATAACATGCTGGGGTCAAAGTACATATGACCAAAACCTCTCATTTTGAAAGACATTTTAAATATTAATTGAAAGAGACTCTAGTATGCATAGTGAAAGTTAAATTGTGTTGTTTTCGTCAATCACTGGTGAACTACACACATGAATATTGGTTTGCAGATCTCATTATTTTAATTTCTGCTGTGGTGGTCATGAGCAAGGTACAAAATGTAAATTGCTTTACACGTTTGCCAGTTAAGGGTGTAAAAGCAAACTACAGTAGTTTATTGCTTTCATCAAAGATTCAGATCTTAAGAGTGGTTGTGCGTAAGCTGCTCCCCTCCACTCAAAAGAAAATTTGAAGAACTCCACTTTAACTTCGTAAAGGTCTGTGAACCTAATCCCATTATACAACAAATGACATGGTTTGGGCATAACGTAGGGGCTTTGCAGTGCTGAGGATTTTGATTTCAGGGTCAGGCAAGCCCTTACAGGCAACTGGTGTTGATAGATCAGATGCTATTTAAATTTAAACAAATCAACAAAGAAGGCGTTCAGTGTAGGACTTCTGTTTGTGCCTGGAATTCCCGCCTGTTGACCGAAGTTAACAACTCCCATCTTCACAGCCCCAAGAGTCTCCAGTGCGTCCTCTTGTCACTCAATGCCCACAGACTGCTCGTGAGAGCCAAGGCCAATTGTGAACCATGTGGAAGAAAGAAACTCTTGACATCTCCTCTAGAATGCTTGGAAAAGATGCTTTTGGAGCTCACTGAAGAACTGGAGAATACAAATCCCAAACTTCAGGAGACCAAGCAAAGGGTTGCTTCCCTGGATTCCACAGATGAGGGTAATGAGCGCATGATCGAAACACTGAAACACTCAAATTTTCCTCAGCTAATAACTGCCTTCTCCCCAGCATTTAAGCACGAATTTGACATGCAGAAACCAGTACCCCAACTTTGCAATTTTGGGCCACCGCAAATCTGACATCCTGCATCAATGAGCTTGCTGGGCTAGCGGAGGTAACAAGCACTGAAGGGAAGCTGGAGACACTTGTGAACAATCTGTAGCAGGAAACCATAATTACAAGATGGTGAAATTACCACTCTGGTTTCAAGAGTTGATAAGATGAAGAAAAATTTGTTGGATATTTGGAAGTTTTCCAGTGCTTTGCCAAATAAACTTGTAGTGTGTGGATATGTATAAAAGTATACTTTAAAAAAAAATTCCGACTCTTACAAAGCTATTTTCATCTGCCCCTTTGAAGACCAGCAGGAGAAAAAAAAAAGACTAGACACAAGTTCCATTCTATAATTCCTTAAAAAAAATCAATTGGTCACTTTAATCCACGATTGTTTGTGGGACACTGCTGTGCGCAATTTGGCTGCTGCCTTTCACCCACAAAATACAGTCAATCACTTTACGGTGTATTCTGCGAAGCTCTTTGAGACATCTCAAAGACGTGATAAGGCACTATTATCAAATGCAAGAATTATTATTGCAACATTTAAGCCAAGCAGAATCTCAGCCTTTGCTGTTGCTAACTTACTAGTTTTGAGATTTAAAATATCCATATGCTGTGACAAAGGTCAAAGATGCAGATCATTCACATGGATCTTTCTTTGGAAGTACCAAGGAAGATCAAACAACTTTTCACAATGAAAGTAAAGCAAGCTTTCAAAATTAGATTTCTCTCTAGATCTCAGCAGCAGCATTTAGTCAAACTCTACTGAGAATCATTTAGCTGACCAATTTGTCATCACTTTCACACTACAAAGCTGCTATGGCCAGTCACTTCAGCCAACCACTTAAGAAAAGTAACTGGCTTATACCAACAAGACTCTCCTAGCACCCACTGTATGCTAACTCCAAATTGTGCCACACCAACCACATCTGATCTCATTCAAAAATCATCACCCAGTCATTTCGCCCACAAATATACAGCCAATTCACTTTACAGCATATTCTGTGAAGCGCTTTGAGACGTCGAGAAGACGTGAAAAGTGCTATATCAAATGCAAGGATTATTATTATTCAGCTCTGCAGTTATCCACTGTATTATCTTGATACATTCCTTGGCGGGGGGGGAAATAGGTGTGCAAAGTCTGGTGGATAGAATGTGGACTGAGCTTTAGATTAGTTGGAAAACTGGTCTTGATTAATGGATCTGGGATTTAAAATGGCTTGGAGAAGGGGAAAAAAGGATCATACGAAACCCAAGTTATACACACATTGGATCAGTTATCTGAAGCAAGCAACTAGTTTTTCTCTGAGCCGACACAGGCTCGATGAGCTGAATGTCCTCCTCCTGCATTGTAGATTTGTTTCTATCTTTCTTAGAGAGGTTAGTCTATTAAAGCCAAGGCACTGTCAAAACACCAACTTCAAGAAGCTTAGACTTCCTCACATTAAGTCCCTGACCAAGACTGGTTATTTTCCATTTTGCTTCTCAAACACTCCTCATAAATCTCGCTTGTTTCACCATAAGCTCCAATTGCTTTAAAATGTCACATGCTCATCATCTGGCTCACAAAGGATGGATCTCAAGGTCTTCGTGAAAATCCTTTTAGACTCTTGCACCTCCCTATATCTAATCGCTTCTGCCATCTCCCCCCAATTCTGTTCAGTTAACTCGGGTCTGCTGCACCTCCTGCTCCACATCACCATCAGTAGTTGAGCCTTCAGCAACTACATCCCTAACATCTGGAACTCCTTCCGTTTCACTCCTTCTCTAGCCAGGTTTAAATTGTGCTGTTATTCTCAACTGGATTTCTTTATTCATAAATTACTATGATTCTTTTATTTGGTATAACATCTTTCAGACCAGGAGGGCGTCTCAAAGTCCTTCATCCTAATTTCTGTAAAGTGTATTTTGTAGGTGATCACAGCAGCCAATTTGCACACCGCAACATACAAAATAATAATGATAATAATCCTTGCATTTGATATATCACATCTTCAAGACATCTCAAAATGCTTCAAAGAATATACTGGAAAGTGAATTGACTATATTTTGTGAGCAAAATACGGCAGTCAATTGTACACAGCAGTGTCCCACAACCAGTTGTGGATTGAGTGACCAAATTCTTATTAAAATTTTAAAGGGATTATTACCCCCAGATAAGTGATCCACCAATTGGCTAACAACTGGGTTCCTATTGCTAATGTGGAGTAAGGAAATTTGCCTAATATTTTGCCCTGCCGGGAATCAAACCCAGGTCCTCTCGCTTGCGAGACGAGTGCTCTAACCACTGAACTACAGGACTACAGTTAGGTCACTAGACAAAATACAAATCAGATCAAACTTTTCTACATGGTCTCTTCCATACAAATTACTTTGAAAACTACCCAGTGCTCCCCACCACAATACCAAGTAAATCCCATGCAGCCAGTATTGCAGTACTCCATTATATAACCTACAAAGATTAAGTTACAAAATGTCAGTTTCTGAAAGATTTACTTACTTCACCAGCAAAAAATACTTTTCCTTGCAGGTCTTCAGCCATGATATCATAAGCTTCACCACTTCCTCCAGTCTTTACAAAGCTGTAGGCCATCTGGGACCAAGGGTCCTTGCTCCAGTGTGTAACAAAGTACCTGATTGGGTCTGGAACTTCCTGTAGGGGCATTGTTGAATTAATAAATCTTATAATTTTTTTATAAATTTGTAAATTCAAATACATTATTAGTTAATTGAATATACAAAAATAATGTGCAGAATGCAAAATTCAATTATATCCGTTCTCCAAAGCAGAATAGCAGCACTTTCCATTTCAGGCTCCAGTAAAATGTCAAGCACTTTCAGGCCACGAATGGAACACACCAGGGAGAAATTTCCACTTTGAAATTAGAACCACTGCATCTCCACTGATCACTATTTTCTTAGCATTTCAACATGATTGTGACAATTTGCAAAATTATCTTAAATATGAAGCCAGTTTCACACAGGTTGTAACTAGTGAATCTAATATAACATTACACAACTATCCAGAACGACTTGATCATTAAAGTTGCAATCTTGCTCATTTTTGTGGCCGTGCCTTGCCCACCATTAAGACTATTTCAATTCATTTACCAAGTGATCATTTCTTAGGGCAGTAAAGGTTGTCTGGCACACAAATGAAAAAGCATCGAGCTAGCTGCATCTTTTAATGATTTGTTCTTCATAAGAAATACTGGCATCCAAAATATGAAATGATAAATAATAAGCTAAACACATCGAGAAGCAAACTGAATGAACAAAAGAAATATTTCTTTATGCGATTAATTTAAATAATCATTTCAATACCTGTTCCTTAAAGAGTTCTCGGAGAACATTCATACATAATTCTACCACTTGCTTATCTTGCAAATCTCGGATTAGAACTACTGCATCTCCACTGATCACCGACATTAGAACACAGTGCTCACCCTGAGAAGGAGGAAAAATGACTGCAGTGAATACAAGTACACTACATATGAACCCGTACTTTTCTAACTAACTGTTTATTACAAGATATTGAAAACAACAGATATTATGAAATTGACCCTGATGAGCACAGTACAAAACGAATCTTGACAAATTTTACCAAGGTTCAAGCAACAAACCCAGCGCCTTTAACCAGTGCAAACCTCTCAAAGATAAACCGGTTGAGGATGTATGGACAAAACAAAAACATTATGTAGAGAATACAAGGCAAGTAAATAATTACTGGGTGGGGGTGGGAGTGAGGAGATCGGAGAGGTAGGGAGGTGCGAGGGCATGAAGGGATTTGAACACGAGGGAGAGGAACTTGAAATTGATCTGTTCAATGATAGGGAGCCAGTCGAGCCTGGCCAGACTGGTGAGATGTGGGTACAAAGTTTGGTCTGGGTAAGTATGCAGGCGGCAGAGCTCTGAATGAGCCAGATTTTTTTGTGAATAGTGGAGCTGGGGAGACCGGCAAGAAGTGCGTTTGAGTAATCCAGGTGGGAGGTGACAAATGCATGCACGAGGGTTTTGGCTGCATTTGGGGTAAGGTACAATTGGAGGTGGGCAATTTAGCGGAAGTGGAGGAAGGCAGTCCCGGTCAGGGACTGGATATAGGGGAGGAAGGACAGTTGGGGGTCAAACCAGATGCCCAGATTGCACGCTGGTTCAGTGAGTCTGAGGGAGTACAGCCTAAATCAATCATTAAGCAAAAGAACAAACAAAAATTCTATCCTTTTGATAATCACCTAAAACATAAATTTTCTTTCTTTTCATCCTTACAAAGAACCAAGGAAATGCCCCCCAAAAATGGCAGCACATTGCACACTAGTGAGGTTTTCCGTTTTTCTATTTGTTTCGTGGGAAAGGGTGTTGCAAACTATAAAGAGACAGAACTATTGAATATTTTATATTACAAAGTAAACTGTCAGGGATAAAAGACAGCTTTAGGGCACATGTCAAGTCACTATAAATTAATTTAGTTGTAAAAGAACAAAAACAATTCACTTACGTGTGGATCCATATCATAGAATACACCAAATAGCCCACGTTTCTCAGGAGTAGGAGGAATGTGACCAAAGAAATCTGCACCCTGAATTTTGTTCTCCCAGAATTTGTATGGAAACTGAAGGGCAATCTGAAGGAGGAATACCATTTCAAATAGATGGGTTGCTTAAAAAGATCTGAGTTACAAATTCAGTTCCAACAAAGAGATGATTATGTCTCTCAATGACTACCACAAAGTACCAAAATATAAAATAAAAATGGTCCCAATAGTAACCTAGCATTATAGTCTTGCCATGATGAAAAATTCAGAAAACAGAAATATATTGAAGGTATATATCAAGTGAATTTTGAAAACTCATTGATTCATTAACATTTGGAAGTCTAGAACTTCAAGACAGTCCAATCAGTACAGGTTCCAGAGTCACAAGATTAAAATTTACCTTTTCAATAATCCCTTGTCCGAGGCTGTTGATAGCCTTAAGTTTCTTTTCGGGTAGAGGTGGATAAAACTTAATGATGTTCCTCTGAAGAAGTGCTAGAGGGACAGTTACCAAAACCTGACAAGAGAACACCATACAGTTAATACAATCAATTAAATGGGGGTATTTAAATACTTTTAACCTATTTAAAATTATCATATGGAATTAACATGAAGTTACAAGAGGCCAGATGTAGTACTAAACTATATTAGAACAGTTTGTCCAGTGAAGCCCTCCACCTCTGTGCTGCACACAACTAGGAACTGCAAATCCCAGGGAGAAGGAGGAATATCAATGGAGATCAGGATTAAATTTGAGTTTTGTGGTACAGTTTGCTCACAAGATCAGTTCAGATGAAGGCAACTCTTAAACCCATTTGATTTAAATTTTCCACAACATTCTTCTTCTAACAGCAACAAGTTGTTTCTTCCCAAGATTGGTTTGGATGAAGAAGACCCTTCAGCCTATTTGACCTCATCCGTCCAGAATACCCAACCTACCAATTTTCCATCATAGGATCAAACTTTTTTTCAAAACTAGTCCAGAGATCTGGCCTCAACCACCCATCTTGGTAACTTGTCCCAGTCATCAATTTACCCTCAAAATACTTCCTGGCGTCTGTCCTGAAATTGCCCTTTGCAACATTATACTGGTGTCCTCATGTTCAACTGCTGCATATGCATATGAAAGTATTGTTCTGAGTTTACTTTCTCAATCCCATTTAAAATTATATACATCTCTCGGATCCCCTTTGACACATCTCCTTTCAAGACTGAAGAAATACAGCTTGTCTAATTGTTACAAACAAAAATGAGCGATTTCCAAGCCAATACCTTCCATTTGCCCACAAATACAGTCACTCCACTTTATATATCTTTGTGACATGCTTTGGGACATCCTCTCAACATTAATTTATACCAAAATGCAAACATTATTATATTAAATGCAAAGATTATTTTTATCCTTTTGGGTAACTTGTTCCATCTCACTGATGACCTGCAAGATGGATCTTAGTCTTTTTTCATCTAGCATTTATGTTCTTATCAAACACAGATAGTTTTCTTTTAAGAATAACATTATGGGATACAGTACATAGGTAGTTTGGGACATTGTGCATGCGAGCTTCAGGAAGGTGGAAGGTAAACTAGATGGACCTTGGTCTTTCTTTGTCAGCATTTCTTGTGTTTTTATAATTAAATATTTCCTGGGTAATGCTTTACAGCCCTGAACCTGAACCTTTGCCTTCTCTTTCAGTTTACTGCCAATGTTAAAGACTTACTTTATATCCTTGAGAAGTGTTGCTTCTTCCAAGCTAATTGAGAAATTCACAATAATACTAGATAATCTTTTTGCTATTAAATTTAGCTTTGATATGACAGATGTTGGAAGCGGGAAACATTTTTTGAAACAACATGCAATTTTTATACAAACAATTTCTCATATTTATACAGTTAGATTTCACCTTCTGACTTGTCCATAACATCCCACTGGCTGTTCCAATACGGATATCATCCCCTGAGTAGTCAATGCTCTGTACCTGTAACAGTAACCAGAATTATATCTCCATAACTTGTGAACCTTAAAATTGCATTACATCTTATAATCTTTCCAATTGTTGCATTTCATCTTGAGATCATTTTTGTACTGACAGTGTCGGGGCTGTGAAGATGGACGTGAGCCATTAATAAATATGATCATGAAACAATTTTTATAATTATGAAATCAATGCAAGTATAATGAAAAAAACTTCCTATTGAAAATCACCAGTCTCCTGTTACAGTGTTCTCAGGTAATCTTAACCCAGCACACCAAAGCTCTTATGGGTGGGGTGGTTCCTAGCTGTAAAAGCAGTGGGAAGCTTGCCAGACGGTGCTTGCTTTCAATGACAAGCTATGTGGTTTTAGCTGATTAAACTCCAGCATTACCCCCAACATACACTATGGGGTCCCCAAGACTTGTTTTCATGTTAATGTTAAACATCAAATGCTCAATTTCAAACCAAATCAGTTAGGTGTACTTTCCTTTGTTATAGTAGTCCTCTAACTCACTAAGCACTCACAGTGCATCTTTGAGATTATAAAATAACCACAGAGAGCAGAAGATTGCAACTGGTGATAGGTAATCTCAAAATCCTGCTACTTTCCTGCAAAACACATTGCTCCAACTCAAAAACTATTATTCTAATTTCTATAGAGAGCCCCTAATTTAGAAATACTGCTTTTAATAATTCATAATTTTTTAATATCTTTGTTCCTATGTTTCCAACAATAAGCATTTTCACTAAGCCCCACCAAGATAACTAAGAATTATAAGTAAGAGATCAAAGCCTGCACACAGATTGGCCCAATACCTTGAAGCAAGTTACCGAATTGCAAAGCAATAACCTTGCAAACCATTGGTTACAGAAACGATTTTGATGATTCCGCCTACCACTTCCTTAACATTTGGGAGAGAGTGAAAAAAAGATGCAAATGAACCCTCATAGCAGTTACCACAGAGAATTGGTTCCCAATGTGAAAGGTGCTATATAAATGCAATCTGTTGTTGTAAGCTGCTCAGTGGAGCTATGCTAATAATATTCATACTAATAAGAGCTCACCAAGAGTTACCCAACAAAGCCATGCATAATATTCAAGAATTCAAGGATGAAACTAAATGCAACACTGAGCAAAAGATGGGTTATTTTTGAAGATGACAAGGGCTATATATTTAGTGAGGGCTATAATTCAAGTCTTAGAAAAAAAATTCAAAAGCATGGCAAGTTATAACTAGCAGAAAGGATAAACCTCAGTATTAGTGAGCTATGGCTTGGTTCTGAGCAGGACCAAAATGAACTCACGAGTAGTTACAACAATTTAGATTTATACAAGTCATAACCTAGGCTGGCACTCCATTGCAATGTTGGGGAAAGGCTGCATTGTTAAAGGTGCCATCCTTTGGATGAGACTTTAAGCTGAGGTCCCATCTGCCTGTTTAGGTGGACATTAAAGATTCCACAACACTATTCAAAACAGTGAAGGGAGATTCCTCTGGTGTCCTGACCAACAATCCTTTCAATCAAATTAGTTGTTCCCTTCTTGGCTGTTTGTCAGATATTGCTGTTTGCAAATTGGCTGCCGCGTTTATCCGCAAATACAGTCACCACACTTCAGTAAAATCCTGTGAAGCACTTTTGAGACGTTTCGACGATGTGATAAGGGGCAAAATCAAATGCAAGGATTACTGTAAAAGCCAAAAAGGATAGTTAAAAATGTTACATTGATGTAAAGGGAGAAACTACATTGTTTTCTGTTCTCTTCATCATATCTACATGCCTAAGCCTGGATAATCATGTCCTACAAATAGACTATTGTAGCATGTGGAATCCATTCAAGGGGGTGGGGGGGAGGGGGAGGGGGCGGGGGAATTGTAACAGTATCCAAGGTGCAAATATGGAATTTAAAAAAATTAACTTCATCTTCTTTAAAATGTGCCAACCTACTCTCTAAAATGAAGGAAAGCAGAGTGCATCCCTCCAGGGAGAGACTGCATTCCATTCTAGACATGGGAAATTCCATGTGCGGCTGGCATAGAACTCTCAGTCTGGTTTGGATACCCTTAAAGCAAGGATGATGGATTTCTGCATGTCAAGACACTCAGCTGACCAGAAAGAAAAAAAAATACAAATATACCATTAAGTTTAGTTATTTTTTTACGCAACTTTTTACACTGTCGACCACTCCATCCTCATACACCGCCTCTACACTTTACTTAATCTTCGCGGACCTGCCCTTGCCTGGTTCGATTCCTACCTCTCTCACCGTCTCCACTTTGTTGCCTCTAATGGTTTCTCCTCCATCCCCCGCACTGTCACATCTGGCGTCCCCCAGGGCTCTGTCCTTTGGCCCTCTCCTCTTTAACATCTACATACTCTCCCTTGGTGACATCATCCGCAGACATGGGGTCAACTTCCACATGTATGCGCATGACACCCATCTCTATCTTTCTGCCTCCACCCTCAACTCCAGGACCACTGCTGTCCTGACAGACTGCGCGTCGGACATCAAGTCCTGGATGAGGGCAAATTTCCTACGGTTGAATGTGAACAAGACTGAGGCCCTCCTGATTGGCTCGTGCACCTCAGGCTCTGGCAGAATCAACCTCCATGGTTGCACACTACAACCTACTAAGTCTGTCAGGAACCTGAGTGTTTTGTTCAACCCTCAACTGTCTTTTCTCCCCCACATTCTAGCCATGACCTGCTCGGCCTTCCCTCACCTCCATAACATCACCCGACTCCACCACTACCTCACCCCTCAGGCCATCGAAACTCTTGTTCATGCCTTCATCACCTTCAGGCTTGACTATGCAAATGCCCTGCTTGTCGGCCTTCCAAACTCCTCTCTCCACAGGCTGCAGATAATCCAGAACTCTGCAGCCCATGTCCTCTCCCGCACCAAACTCTGTGACCCCAACTCCCCCACTCTCGCCCGACTCCACTGGCTCCCCATCCTTCAGAGGATCCAGTTCAAGATCATGGTCCTCACATACAAAGCCCTCCATGGCCTCGCCCCACCCTACCTCCTAGTCCCCTTCCAACCCACCCGTTCCCTCCCCTCAGCCGGCTCTGGCCTGCTACACGTCCCCCAACCCACCTGCCCCACCAATGGCGGGAGAGCCTTCAGCCACTCTGCCCCAACCTCTGGAATTCCATCCCCCAGTCACTCTGCCTCGCCCCCTCCTTAGCCTCCTTCAAGTCCTGCATCAAGACCCTCCTCTTCGACCATGCCATTGGCCAACCCCCTTGCCCTCCCTTCCCTTCTCCTCCCCTGACCCCAGCTCGGGTCTGAAATGCTGTACTCTGTCCAGCGCCTTGGGACGTCCTCCTGACATGAAAGGCACTATATAAATGTAATCTTGTTGTTGACTTGGAAACTACTTTTTACAGAAACTATAACAGCGGGATGTACAATTAATGTACGAGCATGGCTTCATATTTATAAATGAAATCGCTGTGAAGTAAGATTTAAAAGGAGTACGTCTTACTGGAGCATTTAGTTGGATGTCCAAACCATCACTTAATTTGTTGATGACAGAAGAGTAACCTGCTGTGAAGAGACTGTGATCACCTGCAAACTGAGCAAAAAACTCATTGTGGTCCCAGGAACGAGCAGACACCTAGAATGAAAATTAAAAGTTAATTAACAAAATATGAACATCTCTATGATTGACCTTTAAATACAGTGTTAATGGCTCCTGAACAATGATGTACAAAAGGAGTACTTTTGAATTTAATACGTGACTGCAGTCATAATAGCTTTTCACGCAACGATTTGTTTTGAAGATTACAAAATATGCATCCTGTGACCTTTTGCACTATTTTTTCCTACACTTCACTTTTTTTTGAATAATGTGGCATGTAGCAAACTGGAAATCAAATATTTATAACATAATTTGCTATTAGTAAGGGAACAAAAGCATTAAGTTGAAAGGTAAAAGCAGAGAGCTTGTAGAGAATTATAAAATGTATAACCTATTTTCACACCAATTATAAATAGAGACCTGACTGAAGCCAAAAATAACTCTGTAAGGGGTTGGGAGTAGGGTCTTGTGAAGAAGAGAATATTTGAATAAAACGACAAGAAAGATCACCAGGGCAAAGAGAATGGAAAAAATGTTACAAATTTATTCCAATAAATAAAGAAGGGCATCAGGGAAAGCGCAGAACTAGACACAGGCAATTTTAATAACAGAGAATTAAAGTAAAATGAGTGTGATTTTTCATAAAAAGGGAATGATATATACAGAACCAGCACAAGAATTTCTTGGTGCATCATCAGATGGCATGAGCAAATTCATACTATATCTGATAGAGTAATTGCAAAGAGTTCTTGGAAAATCTGGAAGGTATGAAGTATCCAAGAAGTACTGATCAGCATGTTATTAGATTCAATATGTGTCAACGACTGAAGTGATGATAAATGTAGGCGGCCCGGGTTTTAGGAATACTGATAAGGGTCAAGAAGTATGAACGTGGAAACTCAACTCTTTAACAATAAATGAGGGTAGATCAAAAGTATTTAAGAATTATGTTCGGCAGGGTGCAAATGAAATATGTACCATACAAAAGTCTACTTAATATTTCACAGTTAAGTTACAGAATAAAGCAAAAATAGGGAAGAGGGAGACGTTAAAAGATGAAACAAAGCTGGAACAGACAAAGGAAAGAATTTTTTTTGGTGGGGGAGGAGAGTAGGGATCTAAAAATCTGGATTGATTATAGCATGAAGAGTCAGCAGTCTGAAGATGCACAGTACTAGAGGTTTATCAAGGACGACAAAATAAACCAATTCACCAACTTGCTGCATTCAAATAAAGACAATGTTTAATGATAATAAGTATTCATGAATGCAAATGATTAATTAGACTGGCTTCTGCAGCCAGATGATCTAGGGTCTGCTGAAAAGCTAACTCAATGCTGAACACTTTCTATTCTGCTATTCAAGCAATTGATCAAATTGTTTATCCTTGCAGATACCGAGTGAAGTTGAAATATTTTATAAGAAGTACATTTTGAGACAATGTTAGTGTGCAAATCAAAGGATTTAATATACTGAACAGAACACAAAATATACAGTCAATTCACTTTACTGTATATTCTGTGAAGCGCTTTGAGATGTCTTGAAGACCTGATAAGGCACTATATCAAATGCAAGGATTACTTGTAGTATTATTATAATAGAACATACATTTGAAGCTTTGTAGCATCAAAGTCTAAGATCAAAGATGCATTGATAGATCTAGTTTAATTTCTTACCTGGTGTAAACTGCTGCCACAAGCATATTCAAGATTGCTTAGGTGAAACTGCAGCACCTTGGCTTCTAAGTCACTGAACTGCAGACCAGATTCCTGGATAAAAGTGTTATAGATCACTTCAATCTTTTCTGCAAACAAAATGTGTCATCAGTTAAGAGTACTCTTAAAAGTTGGTACAAAAACTTCACAAATCATTTTCAACAATTTCACAGAGGTAAATGTCTAGTTAGCTCAAGTGAATTTGTTTAGTGAACTGATAATTTGATATGAAGGAAGCTCAGCTGCAAAATTAAGAGAATGAAGCATTCATGCTGACCATCAAAACCGATCTTGTTTAATGAAGCAATATTGGAATCAGAAAGTGGGTTACAATAATATCCTGTTACAGCCATTCCAGTTTTGCTAATGTTAATTATTAATTCCTCAGGAATTTTACAACATACCACAGAAAGGACAAAATCTGTCCTATTCAGTGAGCCAACTCTTGCTCAGCCATCAGTTTGTATCTGGAGCCCTGAAATTTATGATGGGCTTAAGCTTGGACCATAGTCTTAAAAATTAAGATGGTGTCAATTTTGTAAAATTCTTATGGTCTTAATTTGGAAATTGCTCATTAAGAACCACAAAAGCAGTTAATAAAATAATGCTGAATTTAAGAGTTTGGACTAAGATTCTGCACAATCTTAAATTTGACAATAATCTTGCAGAATTGTGAATATCGATCTTTTTTAAAAAATTGTTGAACAACAACAAGATTTCATTTATAGAGCGCCTTTCACGTCGGGAGACCGTCCCAAGGCACTGGACAGTTAGGTCAGGACCCGAGCAAGGAGAAAATGGTCAGGGTGAGGGGAGGGAAGGGAGGGAGCGAGGAGGGGGTAGAGAGTTGAGAGGGGAGGTGAAAGCACGGTCGAAGAGAAAGGTCTTGAGACCGGCCTTGAAGGAGGAAAGGGAGGAGGCGGCGAAGGCACTGGGAGATGAGTTCTAGAGCCTCGGGGCTGAGAGGCTGAAGGCCCGGCCACCGATGGTAGGGCGGGGGATGTGGAGCAGACCGGAGCCAGAGGAACGGAGGGTACGGGCAGGTAGGTAGGGGGATAGTAGGTCGGAGAGGTAGGAGGGAGCAAGGTCGTGAATGGCCTTGTAGGTGAGGATGAGGATCTTGAATTCGATCCTCTGGGGGATGGGGAGCCAGTGGAGGCGAGCGAGGATCTTCTAAGTGAACAAATAAACCATGACAAAGATAGCAGATATGGTTGCACCAAAATCTTTATCCCAAAACCCATTTGAGGATTCTTCCAACCTTGGACCAATCTTCATAAAAATAGATATCACGTGAAACAACTCACCTCCAAGAGGGATATCTTGGAGCTGATTCTTGTCTTTCCTCCATTCTGCTACAACATCTAGCATGGCATTGAAATGGAAGTCAATGCGTTTGTCCACTGTGGGGTCAGTCACTCTTCCACCTTCTTGAATTAAATCACACCTGTCTCCTAATTTGTGCATCTTAATTCCAAACTGTAATAATAAATCAAAGTTTTATCAACGCTTGGATAAGTTGTACAGAAAGAAAACATGCACATGCATTTTACTCTGAACAAGATGAAACAAATCTCACAAGGTAACTCAATGTGAGGTATGCAGGTCATTAAGAAAGCTCTATGATGCTCATTGAGATGTAGTTTTGTGCCTGTAGTTTTCAAATTTCAGTTGCAAAACAGAGGAAGATACCAAGTGGAAAACTACAATGGAACACTACAACGAAACACTATAATGAAAGCATGTTGTGTCTGGAGGATGAAATGAGGAACACAAGCAATTATGATGGGATAGTATGGAGACTCAAACAGATATTCAATAGTTAGTAACAAAACTTAAGAAATCCTAAAGCATTTTTACAGCATACAAATAAAATAACGTGCTCCCCAGACACAGAGTAACTTAATGTCTCAGTAGATAGTGCATTAAATAGAGATGAGTTTTTTTCAAAAAAAACTTCTATCTGTCAAAAATCTCTAGGAAGAAACTTGATTTAACACAACATTGTGTTGATTATTGATTTTAACCAAATTGCAATGTTATATGGGGCAAAGGAAAAACTCAAAAATTGAAAGAAGTTTCCTGTAAACCAAAGAATTTTAAAAAACAAATAAATCAAGAATTCCAGCTACTGTTTAAAAGTCAAAATACAAATCTTTTAAGATTTAATAATGGACATCAAAACTAAAAATGCTATGCAATTATATTCATTATTATTTCAAATCACATGAAAGCCATGCTATCAATTAAGTGGCACTGAAATGCATTGAATGAATACTCGAGTCTTAGTATTGCTGCTATAATATAGAAACCCACTTGCTCACACATTAGTGCTATGGGGTTGTTAATGCATCCATTAACAATTTGTGCTCCCTTTCCCACAGTCACTCCAAGAGAGTAGTCATCCCACACACGGCCACCTATTCGGTCTCTGGCTTCCAGCACCATCACCTGAAGTGAAAAGGCAACACAATCAGGACATTTAATTTCTCTTCATACATCCCATCTGCATTACAGATGCCAAATGGCATTTGTTTCGGAGGACACTGCACTGTTAAAACCTTACAGACCTGAGCCATTATTCCAAAACACTTCCCTTAATGGCATAGACTGTTTGTCAAGCAATTTAACACACAATCAGGAGATACATGACCATGACACACACAAAATTGCCTAATAATAATCCCTCCAAAAAACAAAACAATAATAAATTGGTCATTTTCAATCCACGATTGTTTGTGAGACACTACTGTGTACAAATGGCTGCCGCATTTCGCCCACAAATATACAGTCAATTCACTTTACAGCATATTCTGTGAAGCGCTTTGAGACATCTAGAAGACGTGAAAAGCGCTATATCAAATGCAAGGATTATTATTATAAAACAAGTCTGTCATCTCCAGCAAAACAAAATACAAGATCCTATTCGTTAGTCTGTTCACCAAGTATTCTTATGACAGGATTACAGAGAAGCTTCAACTGAATGTGATTATTTCATCAAGAAAAATTACAAAGCCACAGAACACAATGTGGCTCATCAGGTTAGTAAACATGTGTATTTTACCCTATAGTATAGTAACCATGCATAAAATAAATGAGAAGTATTATCACAATACTTAAGATGTTGTTCAAATTTGGAAATTCCTGATTAGGAATGTTCTCAACAACAACTTGGATTCCCTGGATCCCTCAAAGCCCAGCCACTACCGCCCTACTTCTAACCTGGCGTTGCTCGCAAACGTCCTCGAACGTGTTGTTGCCAATCAACTTCGCGCACACCTCTCCTCCCACTCCCTCTTCGAACCCCTCCAGTCTGGTTTCCGTCCACAGTACAGAGACTGCGCTTGTGAAAGTCACAAATGACATCCTCTCTATCTGTAACCAGGGCTCCCTCTGCCTCCTTGTCCTCCTGGATCTCTCCGCCTCGTTCGACACATTCGACCACGCCATCCTCCTCCACCGCCTTTCCTCCATCATCCACCTCAGTGGGACCGCCCTTCCTGGTTCGAGTTCTACCTCACAAACCGCCAGCAGTACATCTTCACAAATGGCTTCTCCTCCCGCTCTCACCCGGTTACCTGTGAGGTACCCCAAGGATCCATCCTCGGCCCCCTCCTCTTTCTGATCTACATGCTCCCTCTTGGGGATGTCATCCGCAGACATGGGGTACACTTCCACATGTACGCGGACGACACACAACTCTATTTTTCCACCTCTTTGCGACCCCCCGTCCCCTGATGTTCTGTCAGCCTGCCTGTCAGACATCAGGAGCTGGATGAGTGCAAATTTCCTTCAGCTGAACATTGACAAGACAGAAGCCATACTCTTTGGCTCTCGTCAACATCTAAAATCTCACGGTTCTCACCTCCTTCACCTACCCGACCTCCCCCTAAAACTATTCAAACCCGTACGCAACCTAGGCGTCAGGTTCGACCTCCAACTATCCTTCCTCCCCCACATCCGATCCCTCACCAGCACGCTTTCTTCCACCTCCGACGCATCCCCCGTCTCTGCCAATACCTCTCTCCAAAAGCCGCTGAAACCCTGGTCCATGCCTTTGTTACCTCTCGGCTGGACTATTCAAACGTTCTCCTCGCCGGCCTCCCCTCCACTACCATTCACAAAATCCAGATTATTCAAAACTCTGCCGCCTGCCGTCTCACCCGCACCAAACTCCGCTCGCTGTTTAACCCAGTCCTTGCCAGACTGTACTGGCTGCTTGTCCCAGAGAGGATCGACATCAAGATCCTCACCCTTGTCTTCAAATTCCTCCATTCCTCTGCACCCCCCTACCTCTCTGACCTCCTCTCTCCTCATAACAGTGCCCGTTACCTTCATTCCTCTGGGTCTGGCCTCCTCCTCATTCCCCAAGTCCTCCACTCTAACCTCGGCGGCCGTGCCTTCAGCCACTATGCCCCAAGGCTCTGGAACTCCCTTCCTCACTCCCTTCGCCTCACCCCCCTCTCTTCCTATTTTCAGATCTCTGCTGAAGGCCTTTCTTTTCGACTGTGCCTTTGGTCACCTTCCTCCCCCTCCCCCTGGCTCGGCCCCGGGATCCGTTACTGTGAAGCGCTCCGAGATGCCGCCCAGCGTGGAGGGCGCTATATACATCCAAGTAGTTGTTGTTGTGCTTAGTGCCATAATGTGAGGAGCTGGATTTTGGAACATTCAGCAGTCAGATCTAATGCCTACAAACTTGAAATTATTCAAAAATATGAAAGTATGGAACCAACAACATTTATTCATTCCTTACAATACGGCAACGAGTGTAAGTTATCAATGACATTATTTATGTTGGTGGTAAAAATACTTTCAATGCACAATACTCCCCTATTGCCCTGAACTAGCTAAGGAATCTAAAATGGCTCTTACCTCACTGCATTGTCTCGCTACACCCCACGAAGATCAACATTTTAGTTCACTGCAAGAAAAGTTGCTCAGTAAATACCAACTGCTCGCCCATCAACAAATAGCTTTGTAAGATAAGCAGGAGGAAAAAAAAACAGCTTTCCTTTCCAGTGCTGGATGCTGAAGTCTGAGTCATCAATACCAGCCAAGTACCAGTAAGAACTCAATAATGACTGAATTCTATGACCAGATTAAAATACCATCTCGAGTAGTTGAAAATCATTTAACCAGGTCATGGAATTCCCTTCTGGTTCAACAAACCTATGCTTTACTAACAGCTAAGTACAAATTGTCAAGAATGTCTAAGCCAGTAGAGAGGTAATTCCAAATTGAATTTCTCCCAGTTTACATAGTAATGATCTTTGCTTTTATACAGCGCCTTATCACATCATTGAAAAGTCTCAAAAGCAATTCCCAGGGTATACCATAAAATGGATTGACTAGTTTGCACACAGCAATCTCACAAACAGCCATGGAGTGAGTGACCAACTTTATTTGGGGAATTTGTTGGCCAGGACACCGGAGAAACTCCCTTTTCTTTTCGAATAGTGCCATGGGATCTTAAAGTCCACCTGAACAGGCAGATGGGACCTCGGTTTAACATCTCATCTGGAGAACGGAACCTCGAACAAAGCAACACTGCATTGGAGTGTCAGCTTAGACTATGTGGCTCCCAATGCAGGACTTGAAGCCCAAGTTTCTGACTTAGTCTGACATTGTGGTAGCATTATTGCCTCCGACACATAATATTAAATAATTGATGATGGAGGAAGTGGGGAACAAAAAGAGGATTGTACACTGAAAGCAATCTTCCACAATAAAGGTCCCCATTAACCATCACAAGGCTTTTTTCAGCATTTACATGTTTTGCTGTTAACACCTGAAGTAAACTAGCAAATTAAGTCGACTGCCATAAGTGAACCTCAGCTCTTTATTAACATTAAGAAACTAACTGACATGGTTTAGTTAATGGAGCTCCTCACATGCACTCTGTTGCACATAAGCAGTTCTCTTCTACCCACAGCAAAACCAATTGGTGTTCACATCACTAAGTAGTAATCGAGGACTGACAAACACTACTACTTGAAGCAATCAATTCTCAACCTCATTAGGTTTGTTTGTACAAGCTGAAATAAAACCATAAATTTTGCATTAATATACCCTGCAACTATATAAGTTAGCAAACGTAAAATATGTTGAATGTGGCATTCAATCCAGGAACAATGCCTAACCTGGATCTTGACAAATCATCATCATCTTTACAAAATTTTATTTTGAACACTAAAAATGATCACTCTCAGATATATCCATTGATTAAGGAATTTATTTTTCTGAACTACTGATTTACCTTTATTCCAAAATTCTGCAGTTGTCGTGCAGCAGCTAAGCCTGCTGCGCCAGCACCAACAACAATGACACTTTTCTGTAGAAAATAAAAATGTAAATGCATTTTTAGTTTATAAATTAATCACAATTTATAAAATTACTATTAAATTGCTTAATATGTATTCTAACATTTCAAAAATAGACACAGTAAATATAAATACGTATATATTAAATATAAAAAGCCATATCTAAGGACACTGGATTGTTAATTTCACAAATGTTTCAATTCATGGGGCAGACCAAAATTGAGTTAACTTAATATTTAAGCGCTCCGAGACACTACCCTGCATGAAGGGTTCTATTCAAATGCAAGTAGTTAACAATTCAAATTTGCAAAAATTCAATTGCCATATTTTCTACTTAGATTTAGAATTTACAAATATACTGTTGTGCATTAATAGATTACATACAGACAGTAAATACACAAACTGTTCCATTTGCACAGCTCTAAAGCTTTATTTAAAATAACCGTAACTTTAGTTTTGTGGCAAATTAATGCAAAGAACTTATTTTTCAGAGGGTTGAGTTTAAAGTCTTTGTTCTATCTTTCAAATGCCTCAATATCCTTGCTCCAACCTACCCACCCTCCGTTTGGCTAGCTCAGGCCTGCTTATCGTTTCCCATCTCATAATTTCTGAGTGAGATTTCAACCGCTTTGCACCCACTCTCTGTGCTCTTTCCCTGTATACTTCTGCCCCACAGCTTCCCTGTGCTTTCAAAACCTTTGAGAAAATTCTCTTTTTGATTGCACCTTCTGCCACCTTCCCCCTTCTCTCCTCCCCCAACCACCATGTTCCACATTGCTTCGGCATCTATTTTGTCTCTTGAAGTACTTGAGATGTTTACTATGTGGAAGGTGCTATATAAGTGCGAGTTGCAATATGAGAAACTCCAAAAGCCTGGTTTACACCTGGCTCACGGGCTTTCTGAAATAAACCAAATCATAGGTAGACCTATTCAACCTCTTCTATAACCCTCAATATTGTTTAATTTATAGCATAAGTGCACCTTCTTTCATTCAATGATAAAGTACAGAAACGATTCAGACAAAGTCTCAATAAAGTTAATTCCCACTCAACCAAGTTCCTGGGAGGACTTCGCCAATATTTTCCCAACTTCTTTAAAGAATCAACAATGCCAAATTCTAAAGTTTCCTCAAATTAATTTACAACGATTGTCTCAAAACAAACATCGTAACTGAATGTATTACAGTAAACCTTTAATAACTTAACCCTAGGATAAGTCGTCGAACACCCACACATAATGCATTACTCACTCGGTATCCTGGCTATCAAATGCAAGGATTATTATTATTATTATCCATTAGAAATGTTAATTGTGATCCTGATAATGAGATACCTTTCGAAACATGTCGGGTGTTTGCAATTTTAACAGGTTTTTGCACGTCATTTATTCAGTCTTTCAGTCACGAAGCGGCATTTGGTCTTACTTCTTCATAGTGGTAAATACAGATCTCAAATCCCGTTTTTTTTTTGCACAGGCCCACATCACTTAATTTGGACGTGCGTGAAAAACTGGTTGTCTTCCTCCTACCGAATAACCTCAGCCAAGCAAATGGTTTGGCGTACAGGTAAAATTGTTCCCTCTCCTGTAACCTATGTTATGTTATCAGCTTGCTGTTTATGTATTCACATAGTTAAATACCATTTAGTTCCTTGCAATTGTATACGAGCTACTGTAAAGGTCTGCTGTGTGCAATTGTCTGCCACGATTCACCCACAAAATATAGTCAATTCGCCTAACAATATTGCGTGAAGCACTTGAGAAGTCCCAAAGAGTTGCTTTATCAAATGCTAGGATTATTATTATGATTATTATGCAAGCATTTTGAATTAAAAAACTTGAAAGGAAATGTAGAAACCGCTTTCCTGTGCCAATTGGAATACTTTGTACTTTCAAGCTACTGTACTTTGGATAACTGGTCAACTCTGATAAGCAGTTATTTGAGCAGTTTCCCTTGGGGTGATGTGTTATCAGAGTTTCACTGTATAATCGTTGAACCAAACAGATCAAAAATTGGAGGAGCACATATTTGGGGAGAAAGATTTGGGTTTTTTTATCCCCAATTAAAATGTATCCCTAGAAAGTTAGTTTGCATCACTCCAGTAAATGTTCTGCTGCAATAGTTATTTTTAGAATATCTATTTTATAACCATATGTGAAAAAACATGTAAAAGATTCAGATATTCTGTATCCAGCAGTTTAGTTAGGAGAAAGCAAAACCAAAGAAAACTTCTAACCACAGTTCTGAATAAATTAGTCCTTCCAACCTTCCTAAGGAAACAGTTCCACAAAAACAGATCATCCAACACAAAACAATCACTATTTTTCGGGGGAAGGAAGGAGGTGATGAAGTAAAGGCTTCAAAATACAGATTTTTTTGCATCATAAACTGTTACAGTTGATATCATCCAGAATGCAAATTCTCTAATAATCTACAAAAATGTGATTAGCTTATGAAAATATTTCCTATTTATATACATTTATACAATACGAAAAATTCATTGATGCTAACATTTAGTACCAAAGCAATGCCTTTTTATTGGATGACTGCTGTCCAAAAGAATACATTTTCATAACTACATAGAAACCTAGTTCCCATGGTTTCTAAACAGTGTCTCAGCAGCGATGAAGGCTGCCATATGGTGTAGAAAACATATTAGCAAACACACAGGCATTATATTCCGTTTTGATTTATGTAAACCACCCAAATGCCCATTTTGTGCAATGATTTGAATTACATTTATTGCAGAGGATTGAACTGATTCTCATTCAGGAAACGTCTAGTTTACAATATACTAACTGCAAATCAACATTTTAGGGCAGTAAATTGATGTTTTATTAGTTTCAAAGTACCCATTAAATTAGATGTAACTAATGATTCCAGGAGGCAGGAAAGTGCACTTTTTCTATTGGCAATATATGCAGATTTTAAAAGTAACAGGATTAATAACAATGAAAGGATATGCAGCTCTATCCCACCTTGTGGTAATAAGTGGGCAAGAGAGGTTGATCACAATTGACAGCCAAGATCCCAGTATTGATCAAGCCCTTCCTTGTCACAAAATGCAAGATCTTCTCCATTTCCTGCACGCAGCATATGCGAACAAGGCCCCGAACGATTATGTGGTATGCACATTTCTGTGCACTGAGCACCTCCTATGAAATAAGATAAAACATAGGACAATTATTTCAGCCAAATGTTGCAGTAGAGGCAGCATATACCGTAGAGCCCTTTTATAATGCACAAGTCAATGTCTACAAATTCCCAGCATTTCCACATAATGTATTATGCTGAAATCGGCTGAACATTTTGTGTCCTGGAGCCAAAATGGCTCACTTCTGCAGCAATAGATCACACTGTCCAAACACAATGCACAGGAAGTGATGTTGCAACTTGATGACCTGGATGTCACCGATTTTTGGATACTCGTGCTCCAACTAATGTTTTAAAGCATTTATGAGCCAGAGTTTGCATTTTGATTTTTCAGGTAAGTAAATGTTGGGCTTCACAAAGTGATAGAATATGGTTCTACTGTAGTACACAAATGTTGAGCAATAACTTCATCTTCCAAGATAAAGCTACATTTGTTTGTTTAAAAATAAACTATGAACATTTTGGAGGAGATCAAGGTCTCTTCCCATTTTAAAATTTCAGCTGAGGTAAGGAAAGAGAGAGAAATCACAGCTGCCTCTCCTTTTGTTGCTGAGGTGACCTTTGTTGAGAGTATACAGTGAGGTTAAAGTAAGCCATTGAAGCAGCCCAATTCCAGACACAATAAAAAGAATGGGCATTTGGACAAAATATCAGAAGACTACAATTATCCATGAAATTGTACCTCAGCAGAATTTTTGAACATCAGAAAAGGAAAAATAAAATGAGAACAATTTGGGGGAGAGGGGAATGGAAATATATATAGTCTATACAAAAGCTTACTTTGCAGTTAACGTTCCAAAGAGCCAGAATTAAATTTCTCAACGCTAGATACATAGTGGGATCCCGAGAATATTCTGGGAATTCATACAATTCATCAAGTTCCATTACATCGGGCCTCACACAAAGGGCCTTCCCACACTCGTTTGGCTGGTAGAAAGGCTGGAAGTAAGGACTCACTCCTGGAACTGACCAAACATATTTAAAGTTAGTTCACTTGATTTATTAATCTTTACATTATTTGAGGCCCTGTTATAGGAATATTTTAAGCCTAGTTTACACATTTGCACCAAAGCCTGTACTACAAATTGTGGATTCTCCTCACCCCTCCTCAATTCCGTTTTGCATATATGAATGTGGAATAAATCATATGGAATATTTCTGAAGAATTTGCAGTGTATAGGTTTCACCTGCTGTGGTCAGGATGTAGCAATACTGCTCTGCTTCTTCCCACTGTGTTTTCCCACAGTTATGCTGGTTCTGTGCAGAGATATGCTTAGAATGCACATGCGCACAGACATCAACGTCATACAAGACGTGGTTTCACCACCAGCAGACAAATTTAGCTGCCCCAACACTCCAGAACTCCATCCAAGCCCCTCCGCCTCACCTCCTCCCTTCACATCTTCAAAACCAGGCTTAAGAGATCTTTTCAAATGCGCTTTGGCCTACTTCTTCACTCCCCAGCTTCTCTGCCACCTCTCAGCTTTTTTNCTCTCATTCCCCCCACCCCCAGCTCTGACTCTCAGATACAGCTGTGTGAAACATTCTGTACCCGAGCCCCAAGTGACAGGCGCTGTATAAAGGTAAAATTGTTGTTTTTAGCTGACAGGCAGCCTATAAAATCAGGAAAGGGAGAGGGAAGGAAAGTTGGTCAGCAGCCAATTAGCCTCAGTGAATGGAAATATAAAATTGACCAAAGATGAAAATAGTCAATGCTGTGGAATTCTGTCTGTGTCAGGCTGACTCAGATGCTGCACTCTTGCCTTTGAATCCAAAGGCTTTTGGTTCAAGCTCCACGTTGAGATGCACAGTATAGACTGACACTTCAATACACTGTTGTGGAGTGTTCTGTATCGTTCAAACTGCTATTCATCATATGAGATGTCGAATGTCTTACCGGTTGACTGAACAATTTTGCAGTATTCTGCTGGAGTCATCTTCATACTGGTGAACTCATTGTGGCAACGATTAGTGGTGGTACACGATGGGCTCATGCCTACACAGTCTGGGTAATACGCACCAAGAAAAGGGGCTGCTGGACTACCCTTGAGTAATGGGGGCACAATTAGCATAGAATACCACTTGCTATCACCAACTTCGCCAACTCGCTGAAAAAAATATTTGCATGTACATTAAAAACAAGACTAAGTTGCTTAGGTTCATATGTATAGAAAACAACTATCTAAATATAGCAGATACTCAATGTTAGTAATAGATTAATGATTAAATCATTAATCTCTATGGGGCTCAGTATATAATGGGACATAAACTCTTATCTAATGCAGAAAACCTTCTCTATATCACATTGATTCAGCATCACCCCAAATCTCCTCCGAGCTGATGTTGCATGAGTCATCACAACATACAGGGGGATTCCATTAAAATTCCACTTCAGAATTTACACAAGATGCTTCTTTCCCCCCCTCCCACCCCCTCACCCAGTACAAGGTACCCGGTAACCTGCTGGCTTTGTCATTTAAACACTTTTCTAACCCTAAGAATCAAAGAGTTACTCCGAAGGTGTTTAATACATTTAGGATTTGAATCTCTGTCTTATGTTTCGAAACCCTTTTCACTGGCAGTCCTTATGTTACAATCTTTCTAAAGAAACATTGTTACTACCAATACAGTGATGTTAAGGTAATGTCAAAACTACAGAAGCACAAACATACAAAGTAACAAGCACAAACATACAAAGTAACAAGAACCACAGAAAGTAATGATGAGCAAATGATAGAATAATTTAATCTTTGCTGCAGTGATGGAAAATGTGACTTTTGTGCATATGATTCAAATTTGGTGTTTGAAAATGGGAGAAATGAGAATGGAAGTACAAAGTTTCACAATCAAGTGGCAGCTTCAATGGGGCACACAGCAGGCAACATATACATGACCTTCACCCACACCCTCCAACCTTCCCCTGAATAGTTTCATAAGTAATAGTACTCACCATGTCTTCAGACAAAGAGCAGGGATCTGGGCTTTCTGTCTGTAAGGCCACCAAAATGAAAGTGAATCAGTTCATTTTTTGAATAAAATGTTTAGCACATTCCTTCCTTTATTTCTACATTTCTTCAGACTAGAACTAAAGAGATGGCAAGCAAAATGCTTTAAAGCCCGACCAACTATGCACATAAACCATGAAAGACCACCTTTTTACAGGACATCATCCAGCCTTTGCTTTACTGGCATCTCCCTATGATTGGACAGCTGTGATAAGTGAGCCAAACCTGTCACTCATTTACTCTAAAATTTTGATCGCTTGCGATTTCATTAGACACAAACATATTAATTTTAAAGATATGTCACAGAGATCACTCCATGACAAAACTAGATCACCTAGTTGTCTTTTATGAGTTTTGTTGAACAGTTTTCATTTTCTTCCAAAAAATGCTTCAAAGAGCACACTTCAGGATCACGAGGAGGTAGTTACTGAACTGTATACTCACAAGATTGGTTTGTATGTATTACATTACATTCCTCGTCAAGTGCAATTTTGCTTTCAGCTGTCCAATTATATGCACTTGTGGTCTGAGCAAAGGTAAACTCCTTTATAAAGGCATTGTCAATAATCACAACACTTAGTATAGATTTCAGCCACAGAACAGATTCACTAATAACACCAAGATGTCAAATTCCTCACAAAATGCACCTTCTAAAAATGAATGCTTGATGACAGATTTTTTACCTTGACAGTTGAGTACGTTTTCATTCCACAACGGTATGTTTTGGCTAGTTCTGCAGTAATTTGGATGTCTCTCGTTAACTGACGCCATTTCCCACAATCATGTTTTGTACACTGCACCTACTCAACAAATTCAAATAACGGTTAAAAAGTGGAAAGTCCAAAAACAATCACATTTCTATAGAATCTTTCACAGAAAATAAACTTCACAGTGCATGCAAAATATGAGAATGGTGCAGCCTTACAGATTAATATTCAATAGCCAATATCAAGCTAAAATATATATTCAGGAGTTGCATAACATCAGAAGACCTAGTCCAAACATTTTTGTGTCATACTTGACCTTCACAATCACTTTGCAATGGCATTTTTACATCTAAAGTTTATGTTTTGCCCGTGCTCTTCTATTATTTGGCAAACTTGTTGGGAATGTTAATCAGGATTTATTTTTTAGAAAAGCAATTTTTGAAGCTTACCCAGTAGGGAAGTTGCTGATCAGCCATAAATGCTTTTAGACTGGGCTCACTTTTGCCATTGCTGGTCCAGATTCTTTTCCAGGTGGCATACTTCTCGTACCCATCTTTGTGGCTAGAAAACATTTAAAGAGACTACTGAGTGAGGCACAGCACAATACGCTAAATGTTGCTAATATTGTACACTCAGACAAATAGTCTCCATACTAAGTATTTTCTTCAAATGCATCATTATTTACAAAAATACCATTTACATCGACCCAATTCTGAGCCCACTTTTTTTTAAAACAAAACTACAAATTTCCACCCAGTGTAAGATGTGAATAGCTAATGCTAAGAAATTAAATGAAGTTCCTTCACGTGAGAAAGCATAATCAGCATAGTATTGAGCCACATACAGGTCCCAATCAATTGCTGGTCTGTGCTGGGTTAGCTGATTGACACTCGCAGTCTAAATTCATATATGATGGAACTGTCACTTGAACAACATGCCAGAGAGCTGCAGTACCTGAATCTTATTCTAACAAGAGTAACTTTCTCAAATGATGGGGGCAAATTCTGGGGGGGGGGGGGGGGGGGGGCGAATGTGCTCTCATTTTAAAATACTTGTATGTGTGTATATATATATATATATATAAATAAATAAAACAATTATACAGTGATAAATTCAAAATGTCAACACTTCTTAGAATCACTCTAGTAACAAATGTCAATCAAGCTATTGGCCTCCAGAAATAGATGAGCAATAATTTGACAGATGACAAACTCAAAATGATGTTATGTTTTCAAACACAACCTTTGGCAATAACCACCAAAATTCAGCTAGATCACAAGCAGCTCAAAACAAGCAACACAATTCAGAAATTCATCAAGACGGTCAAGATTGTGAAAGAAATCTCAATTGCACAACAGTTTATTTTAACCACAGTATTATATACCTTCCTCCTTTTGTCCAATTGGAGATTTTTCATTCTCCAACCTTCACAAGCATTACTAAAAATAAAACTGCAATACAAATAAACCTGCTTTAACATACACTGTTGCTTCAAATAAAAGTTGATGTACCATGTTATGATGAACAGTCCCTGTTGAACACTAATCTATAATGCATATAGAAACTGTTACTGGAAGAAAGATTATGTTTGGTTTTCAAATAATTGATCACACTTAGAAAATATTTTGAAGTGCTTCTATTTTGTACCCTCAATTTGTCTACTTTGCTGCATTATTGAATATAATAACAACAATAATGTGGGAGCAGCTGGGTTGATAGGGTGTAAGAGTACATGGATGTAAGGTAGAGGAGGCTATGAAGAGATTTGAAAGTGAGAATGAGAATCTTGAATTTGAGCATAAAATGAACCTGCTTCATTCTAAGCTTATGGTGTGGACACCAACATTTACTTATGAGAAAATCCAGAAAGCCATCCAACTCACTTCAAAATGCCAGCCTGTTTTTCCACACCCTTAAAAAATGGCTGCCATCTAGGTCATCAGGTCTCCATCAACAGCGCTTTCTTTGGCAGTGATCTGATAACCCAGAAGTTGTCCATTTTTTAGTGCGTGAAAACTGCACACGTAGTTTTCAGCAGAGGTCACTGGATAGATCGAGAGACAGAGAGGCCAACATTCTTAGGATTTTAGCATTAAGCTGATTGTCTTAATGATTAATTTGTGGGAATTTAAACTTAATTTAGAAGTTGGTTTTCCACCAATTTAAATCTAAATTTAAAATTGACTGCAAAACATAAAAACATGTTATGACAGTATCGTTACTGCCCAACTTCAAAGAAAGCTCATGAATTTCAGGCCTTAGCGGTGAAGCCATTTGCTGATTTTACTCCTCCCTAGTCCAAGGGTTAAAGCCAAGTATAGCAGTCAAATGCTGACTCTGCCTGAAACTAGGTTTGTCAGCATAGACTAAGAACCAAAACTTTCTAGTTCATGTGTTTTACTGCTACCAGCTGTTGACTTTACCCATGAATCTACTGAGGAAGCATTCAAGTGGGCATTTTTCATCTGTGAATGTTGCAACCAGTTAACCATGTGTCTAATCAGAGTATCACCAAGTGTAGATTGATCTCATTCTCACCAGACATTTGTACTTGTGCACTTTCTAGCAGGCCTCACTGAATAGAAATTCAAGAACCTTGATTATTTTTTCCTCTCCCTAATCTATGTGCACCAAAGCCATAATAAGACCCACTTTTGCTGTGGCTGAGATAAAATAAATTAGCACAAGTCAGGAATTGTACATGGAGCCTTCCAGATCTATTTGGCTCAATTACACAAAGGAATTATGAGTTATTCACATTGGAGAATAACAGTTTTCCTTAAATCATTCACTAAATTACATAATCACAATATGTGATGGCAAAATTGATCAGATTTGCTCCTGGGTCTGGTGCTGAATTAGCGAATTGCAGCCAGCGTTGTAATGGCGCTGAACCAATTATTAATTTCCCATGGGACGAAGATAGGAGGTGCTGTAAAAACATCTGATCACTACTTTACAGAGAAACCTGAAGTACAGGAGAAAATATAAATTGAATTCCACTGACTCACCTGCGGTAACAGTGATCAAAGCATTCATTGCAGAAATGTTCACCACAGGATAAATGATACCAGCGTGATGTATACCCATTTTTAGCACACCTAAAAATAATTTACAAATTAGTGCAAACTTGATAAATTTTAAGCCTCTGAAGTACACATCAAATTGTAAGATACAAACTAAAAATGGGAATAATCCAAAATAATTTCAGACCAATGAATAAAAAAATAAATAAATTTGTGAAAATATAACCAGGAGAAAATATAGAACTGAAAAGGGTACTTATTGGAGTGGAAACAGGGTATAAAAATGGGTTATTCTATTTCCAGGAGATAACACATTTTTGTAACTGGGGATCTCATACTACCATAAAATAGTTGGAAACAAGAGAGATGTTTGGATATAAACTTTCACAACTAACACAAAGTAAAATGTAGAAAGGTTAACTGCAATTCATACACTGAGTATATCAGCTCTCTCACAGGCTTCAAAATACCACCCCTTGCAAAGTAATGAGTGCTGGAAAACCTGCAGGCAATAGAGTAAGCAACTGAGCACATTTTCTGGTCCTTCTCTCAAATCCTTCCATTTAGTCGTCTAAAATAATGTACCACAAGGCTATCACATTCCCGTATCTTCTGTACTCAAGAAGATCAAATTTCTCCTGCAATACACAACACACACAACTCTCATTGCTTCAACAAAAACCTGTGAATAAAGGGCCTATGAGACATATTGCAATGGAGGAAGTGTATTTGGCATCTGCCTGGAGCTGGGCAAGTACAGAGTCAAAAAGCTAACATTAAAAAGGGAATACAAACATAGTTCCAGATATCCCAAAAGGTCTTCAAATTGAGCTCACCAACAATTTGACTTGGTTAGCAACTTATGTGGTGCCTTTCATGTAGAATGAATATCTCAAAGTGCTAAAATATATTGCAGGAAAAGGAAGAACTAAGGATATTGACCAAAGCACAGTTGAAAAGATATGTTTTAGGAGGGTTTTTAAGGCAGGAGAGATGAAATGAAAGAAAGTATTAGAAGAGAATTCCAGAGGGTAATTGAATATTTATGGAATTGCAAAGCAGTGCCATCTCACAATACAAAGAAAGAGCCTGATAATATACTGTCACAAAACTTTAAGTGCATTACATTATTGGATGACAACTTTATGTACAGTATCAGGAATCACTGTAGCAGAATCTAAAGCACCAAAACAATTGCAACAGCAACAATTGTGCATGCATATATTCATGTCGAAGCAACTTTCTCTCCCTCCCAAATTACCTTTTCCCCTACTCTCACGAAGCCAGAGTCCTTCCTGTGAAATGGTTCCACAGACCAATAAATTATGAAATGCACAAACAGACATGGTCTGTATAGTTCAGATACGCATCGACTAAATTCATGGGGTCATTGTGGGAACTCTGATTCAATTTGTGACCATGGATTTGGGAATCTTCCCCTGAAAGTTTGCGATATCACTGGAGAAAAATATCAAGCTATAGAAATGGAGACGGTAAAGAAAGTGACCTCCAAAAGAGCCAGATGACCAACACTTGAACATATTACAACATTACATTCTGGCAACAATTTACAAAACAAACCCCACTTGCCTCTCTGCAATACTTGCAAAGCAAACTGGGTATGCTGCAGTGCAGCCAGCTTTTTCACACTTCCTATATTTCTTTTCAGAACCTTCTTCCTCTTCCTCAGTTTCAAACGTTTTCTTTTTGACCTATATTGAAGAAATAAGACACAAGAGTAAAGCAGATTTGATCAAGACCAAGATATGTATGATTTGAAATCTCAAAGCAGCTACACAAGTACATTTCATCTGGAATTATTTTTCAATATATTATACAAATGTAACAATAGTACAACAACAACAAGATTACATTTATACAGTGCCTTTCACGTCGGGAGTACGTCCCAAGGCGCTGAACAGTGTACAGCATTTCAGACCCGAGCTGGAGTCGGCGGTGGGGGTGGGGGGGAAGGGAGGAGAGTGGAAGGGGAGTGACCGATGGCATGGTCGAAGAGGAGGGTTTTGAGGTGGGACTTGAAGGAGAAACACTTGATCTACCCAAATATATAAAACTGCTAAGGCAAATTCATCAAACACGACAATTTTCTACAACTGGCTCCAAATATATTGTAAAATTTTAAACCTTATATACTGGTTAATGGCACTATAATGTCACTTACTACAGCTCATATCCACTCTGCAAAGATACAATGATATCCATCTTGCATGTTCCCAAGGCTGGGGATCACAAAGAGAACAATAGCAATGGCATCTCTAGCACAGAACAAGATACAATTCTGTGCACATACAACTTTTTCATAAACAAAAGGATATATGCAACCTTGGAGAAATAATTATTCTCCATTACATCCCACTGGTAATGCTACTGCCTGATGAAAATGCGAGACTTTAAAGGAAGTACAGAGATCTTGAAGGTTCATTTTGAATCTCCAGTCTGTGTAAGTTAACCGATCTGTGCTGGAGAATCAATAGAAGCACAATTTATAACCTTGGCGGGGGAGAAATGGAAGAGAGAATATGCAGGATTTTCACTTCCAATTTGGATGTATGAATGTTATGCATTCATCCAGACATTTTATATTTAAGATAAAATTGAAGTAGGCCATCTTGTTGTGTTCACAATTGAATTATTTGTTTGGATAAATTAGATAGAATAGGAATTATTATGTTGGGTAAGTTAGATATGTTTCCTTTGATCAGAAGTGAATATTACTGTGTTGTTAGGCTATGTTAAGCCTAAATTATGCTTATATCAAGTAGATTTGTAGAAGTACAATCTTGATTATGAATATGGTTTTGATATTGATCAGATGAAGGTTGTATGTTTGTTAGCCATGTCGAGATGACTTGCAGAACATCCATCTAAGCATGACAGCTATGGGGTAGCTGTCATCATTCTAAATGAGATGCAAGTATCATGTGCCTTGAAGAGCTAATTGGTTAAGAAGAAAGAAATGAACATGTTATCACAGCTGCAGCTTGTCTTGTTAACTGCTGATGTATGATCCTGCATTGCCTTGATCAGAGTCGACCCAAAGGTGTCCAGGGCCCACCCCAGCCTGATCACACAATTGTCAGATGGACATGCAGACTGGCACGGATCATCCTAATATTAAAAAAAACGATCACGATAAAAGCTTAGCTAAGCTATACTTTGTTCAGTTGTCGATTCAGTTCAGTCCAAGTTAGTGAGAAAGTGATCATGTTTTCCGTTCCTCCAGTACGGCAGAACTCCCACCCAGGTACTGTGACTTGAGTCACCTGACTGTTTAAGATTCCAGCAATTCAACTAACATCTTAGGAGGAAAGAAGATAACAGACTTTGCGGGTATAAGAACACAGCTGTAGCACAACTGCAAGAGATTCAACACCTGCTATTATCAGAATTCCCCAGAATGAATAACAAGCAAGAAGTTCATCTGCTACCTAGAAATTTTAAGACTGACTACAGTAACATGCTGTATGCAAGCATAACAACATAATAGCGTCTATTGTAGTAATCCTGCCAATTGTAACCATGCTTAATGAATCAATGAAAAATTATACATCTTTCTGTATATACATCTTAAGTAAATCCTGTTGAACATAAAATACAGTGACTATTTGATATTGATAACTCTCTTCATGGGTTTTTAATTTAAAATTTTGGCTTAGTTGAATAAGCTGGTATTTTCTGGCCACACCTTTGTCCCAGGTTCAACAGAATTACACTGCTGATCACACGTTCAAGCCCAACAATCTCAATACCACACAGTCTGCTTCATGCCCCCTCACCTATTCTCACCCACTATTGGGTTCTTGATCCCATCATGGAAACTAGAATTGCTGAATAGAAACAAGTAAAACAATAATGCAGTTGTTTCCAAATTAATATTATAATTGGAAAGATTTTTGGCTGAACGCTCAGTGAATGCTGCATTGTAGTTGTACCCTGCAAATACCTGTCTTCCAGATGATCTCAAAGGGGGGTTGTTATCCATTGATGCTTCAAAAATAGCGGGTTTTTTCTTTGCACGTACCCTTCCACTGGTCATAGCACTCACGGCATCTAGGAATAACCAGCACATTTGGTTACTGAATTTGAAATAAAGTTCAGCTCTACACATTTGAATCCCAATGCTTTGGCCGAACACTTATAATGTCAAGGACATATCATAAAATAAAGTCAAGTACAAGCAAATATCTCATTCTTCATAACATCTAAATTCTAATCATTTCCTCTCCAAAAAGTACCACTTTCAATAAGAGAGCAGAGCAACACTGTTCCTAGACCCAAACAATGTTGCTTTGTAACTAGTGTTGCCAATGCAGTTTAAAAAACAAGTCAATGATCTTCTCTAAATTTTACCTTGCAGCAGGAAAGCACATCTAGAAACCACACCAATTTAGATCAGAGTTTTGCCAACCATAATAATAATAGTTGCATTTGGTATAGCACCTTATTACATCTTTGGGATGTCTCGTTTCACAGAATATAGCGTAAAGTGAATTGACTGTATATTTTGAGTCAGAAAGGCAGCAGCCAATTGCACACAGCAGTGTCCCACAAACAGTCCTGGATTGAGTGACCAAATTATTTTCTATTTATTTTAATGGAATTATTACCCCCAGAAAAGAGATCCATCAATCTGGTTACATCTCAGATTCAAAACTCCAACTTTGATAGAAATTGGACTATATAGGGTGGTCACATAGTAGTCTGTATAGTGAGATTCACTAAACGATTTGGCAATAGCAAATTCTAAGCATATTACTTCTTACCCTCTGGAGGGTCTTACTTCCGCTAGCTTCATGGTAATCAATACTGAGATTGAAATTAAAATGCCGTTCAAGATGATGGATGCAACACACCCATGATTTGCTGTTTGCAAATTGTTTTGTTAATCTCATAATTTGGACCTCACAGCATAGCATGCACAGTTATCACTAGTAATAACACACAATACTTCAGTTTCAAATAAAGCCACGTTTCATACAACATACACTCTCAGCATATCAAATTACAATCCTTAGTACAAAGTTTCACCATATCCTTTTCAAACATCAGGAAACTTAAATCTTACTGTGAGTCATCAAATAGTCATACACAACAATTTGAAGAAGAGTACTCCACATTCTTTGTGAGGGTAATCACATTTGCCAAACAACTTACATTTACATAGTGTCTTTCAATAAAATAAATGTCCCAATCATATAGACAGAAATACTGATATTTAATCATTCTAGAGTCAATAAGAGTGAACATATTTAATGCAGTAATTATTTGCCACTTCCATTATAAACAAACAGTTAAATTATTTCAGCATAATATGCCATGGGATTTTAAAAAAAGCATTCTTTCTGTTTTCTCCATCAAAAGACCCACAACATTCTGATTCCTCTCTGCGGTCAGCCAAAATGATGCATACTTAAACTCGGTCCAATCTTGCTTATAGCAATTAAACATTAAACTAAGTACACAGCAACTATGGATTAAAACCATGAACTAAAAACATAATTTCCCCAAGTTCACCATCCAGACCAGTGGACCAATGTGAAATCTGTGAGAATTCAAGACGTGTACTCTATTTCTGAAACTACTTATCAGTTAAGTATGAGCATTTTGTGTTTAAATATTATAATTTTACTGAAGTTATTTACTACAATATGGTCATTTGTTCTCAGGAAAAGCTATTTGATTCTCCCAAACCCTCCATCTATATCCTTGCAAACAATTCTGTCCCTGAAGTCAGATCTTAGCCTTCCCAAGGAGCCAAATTCACAGTCTGAAACCAGCATGGATGTTCTTCATCCATTTCCAAACTTTTTTTTACTCATTTCAGCATTTTGGAAGAAGAAATTAAGTCTTTCCCATAGACTTCAAAAAAACAATATCTAGGAGATGAAACAAATCAAAATATTAACTAAGAAGCACGAGCGAATGACAATTCCGCCACTCACATCCACACTCTGCACATCTATCAACTCAGGCCTTGCTAAACTGCACAGTCTCTCCGTCTACCACTGATGAACTATGATGAATTATGAACTGATTTCCAGGGCCTCACCCATAAATTGACTCAGGCCCTGTCATTATTTTCTGAGCTCCTCCTACCTCACTCTGCTGTTCACCTGCTCTGCTTGGCTAACTTGGGTTTACTGAGTGCCTCCTGCCTCTCCACATCACCAACGGTAGCCGAGTTTTCAGATTTTACAATCCTAATCTCTGGAACCCCTTTGTCTACTTTTCTAACTCACCCCTCCTCGATCTGTTTTCACATCCCACCTTAAAACCTACCTCTTCAACCATGTATTTGGTTTCCTTCCAAATCCCCCTCACCCTGCTCATTGTCCAACCCTGTTATTGTAAAGTGCTCTGACACATTACCCTACGTGAAGGGTGCTACATAAATGCAGGTTGTTGGCAAGTCTTAAAACTACTGTATAATGTTGAACACGCAAAATTAAACAGGTACAGCCCCCAAAATGAAACCGAATAAGGTCTCCAGCATGGATGAATAAGGCAAGGAAAAAAATTATACAGATTTAAAAAAGTCATTAAGAAGTACAAAAGGGAGGATAGGAAAAAAGTTAAAAATAACATTAAAAGTAGTTGGAAAGGAAGTTGGAATGCTAAAAGACAAATTGAGTATTGGAACTAAGGTGAAAGAAAAAAGTTAAAATATTATATGAAAAATTTCTGTAAATATTCTCCAAAAGGACAACATGAGCTTGCCATCCAGGTTTCTAATACACCTGATGTTCTTGAGGCTTCCGAAGTCACCCTGTTAGACATATTGTATCACTTCCAGCAGCAAAGCAATTGGGAGTGAAATGATCTGATCTCACACAGTTACTGAGAGCTGAAACACACAGCTAATCAACAGCAAGCAGCGATTTTTATCATTAGAAAGCTGGAATTTTAATAATATTAGAAATAATCTGTTGAAATGCCCCTGTCCTTGGGAGATCAATTGGAACACCCAAACATTTTATAAATACTTTTTTAAATATGGATCAAATACATTTACATCTGGGTTTAAGCACCACTTTTTCTTGATTTGTTTTACTTCTCCAACCTTGATGCTGAACTGCATTATGGACAATGGTTCTACATTCATGTAATGAATAAAACATGTGGTGAATAGGATTATATTGGCAGAGGAAGACATATGAACACCTGGGAATTATGGTAAATTACTTGATATCAGGGCAAACAAACAAACAAAATGCTAAAATCTATATTCAGAATGGTGGAGTATAGTCCTCTGGAATTTAATGCAATGTCCAGACCACACTTAAAGAGTGCTGTGTTCAGTTATGATCATGCCACAAAATGTATTAGAAGCATTGCAGAGAATACAGAGGAATGGCAACTAACCTAGGAGAAGACTATAGAAGCTTACATTTTTTGCAGTTTAGAAAGAAAATGAAAGATCTTATGAATGTTTTAATAGAATAATACTAATTATTAGTTCACATTATGCCAGTAAGACTAGGGGGACATATTAAAAATAATACTTGCATTTGATATAGCACCTTTGAAAGCACTTCACAGGCTTTACTATAAAGTGCAGTGACCGGGTACTTTGTAGGCCAACAAATTTTAATTAGTGAAAAAACAGCCTCAAAACAGTTGGCCCTTTGCTTACATATACTTTAACGCTTACCGGTAATTTACAAAACTATGATTACTGAGCTTCGTTATGCCCTATTGCCGAGTTTACAATTGTGTCTTACTTCGCGCATCAAACTTTCGAAACAGCGAAAGAGTCGAAAAACCTAACGTTGTTGACACGAGGTCTTTCACGAATAAAGTCCTGAACCTGGTCACAGAAAAGGTGGCAACAAAGTTCACTGCCAAGTACAGTGCGTGATGTGGTTTGCAAGTGGACTGACTTGAGTGAAACTGAGTTACAAATCTAAAAGAAAAACACACACACACTTGATAATACAGATCGGTTTCTTCCTTCCTTCCTTCCCCCTTCTCCTCGCTCTTAAAATTTTCTTTTAGGAACAAAGTATCCACAAATGTCACTGCCAGTTACCAGCTACTGTATGTGTTCGCAGCTGCTGCGGTGCAGGATCTTCAGTCTCTCTCTCTCTCTCTCTCTCTGCAGCTGTCAGCAAATACTGTGACTGGCACCGAACAAAAAAAAAATGTCGTGAAAAACCCAACGGAGAAAACTAACTTTAAAAAAAAGGAAAGGAAAACATTTTTTTTTCTCTGCCTTCTCCCCCTCTCTCTCTCTAGAAGTTCGGAACAGCAGCACCGACGCGAGCAATACCGGACGGCCTGGGGTGGGGGGGGGGGGGAGAGGGGGGGAGAGGGGGGGGAAAAAAACCTCGGAAAATAACCCAACCGGCGGGCGGCGAATAAAAAAAAATAACCACCGGCAGATTGCGACGCCCGAGACACCGACTGTGGGAGTTTGAGTCACGGAAAGAGGGGGGAGGGAGGGATGGGGGGGGGGGAGGGAGGGATGGGGGGGGGGGGGGGGGGGGGGAGGGAGGGATGGGGGGGGGGGAGGGAGGGATGGGGGGGGGGAGGGAGGGATGTGGGGGGGGGGGAGGAAAGGAAAGGCAGGCGGTTGGGTTGGGGATGTGAACCGTGCGGTTTGTGTGGCAGTGACCTTGTCTTTGTGCGGGTGGTGGCAACCGCTGTCCCTTACGGTTCAGACACCGGGTGTGTGTGGGGTGTGTGTGGGTGTGGGGGGAGTGCGCTCACAACACCTCTCCTCACCTCACCACACCTCTCCTCTCCTCCCCTCCCCACCCCGAGCCTGAGCTCCAGGCCGACCGTCACGACTCCGGGGCCACCCGCGGTTCTGAACGAAAGGCAGAGACAGAAAGCCTCCCTCCTCCTCCTCCTCCTCCTCCGGGGGGTTCGAGCTCACCGCCGAACCAACCGACAGACGCCACCCGACATTTTAATTTTTTTTAAAAAAAACCCACCCCCAAAAAAATTATTTTTTTTTCTCTCTCTTCTTTTTTTTAAAAAAAAAGGCCCCGGTGCGGGGGATCGGCTCACGGTGCAGCGAAGGGACCCCCCCTTCGCTGGGACCGTCGTCGCAGCTACTGCTGCTCTTTCCACAGGAGCCGGTGGCAGTGGTGGGAGGGGCGGGGACGGGCAGGGGTGGGGGGGAGGGGACACGGGTGTGGGGGTAAGATGGCGGTCGGGAGGGAGCACATAGCCCATAAACAAACAAGGGGGCGTGTGTTGGGCCGGAACCCGCTCGCACTCACCTGTGTCGGGGTAATACATCCAACAGCCCGTCCCGCTCAGCCTCGGGCTGGGCTCCCGCTGCGGCTGCGCGGCTCCTCTCTCTCTCTCCCCCCCCCACCCCCCCCACACCCCTCTTATCTTCCTCCCTCTGCGGCTGCGCGGCTCCTCGTTCTCCCCCCCCCCCCCCCCATCACACCACCACCACCACCTTCCTCGGGCTGCGGCTGCGCGGCTCCTCGCTCCGTGAAGCGGTGAGTGAGGGACGGTTAGTGAGGGAGTGAGAGGGACGGTTAGTGAGGGAGTGAGGGAGTGAGGGACGGTTAGTGAGTGAGGGACAGGGAGTGAGGGACGGTTAGTGAGGGAGTGAGAGGGACGGTTAGTGAGGGAGTGAGGGAGTGAGGGACGGTTAGTGAGTGAGGGACAGGGAGTGAGGGACGGTTAGTGAGGGAGTGACGGACGGTTAGTGAGGCAGTGAGGGACGGGAGTGAGGGACGGTTAGTGAGGAGTGAGGGAGGGTTAGTGAGGGAGTGAGGGACGGTTAGTGAGGGGGTGAGGGGGAGTGAGGGACGGTTAGTGAGGGAGTGAGGGACGGTAGTGAGGGAGTGGGAGTGAGGGACGGTTAGTGAGGAGTGAGGGACAGGGAGTGAGGGACGGTTAGTGAGGGAGTGAGGGACGGTTAGTGAGGGAGTGAGGGACGGTTAGTGAGGGAGTGAGGGACGGTTAGTGAGGGAGTGAGGGACGGTTAGTGAGGGAGTGAGGGACAGGGAGTGAGGGACGGTTAGTGAGGGAGTGAGGGACGGTTAGTGAGGGAGTGAGGGACGGTTAGTGAGGGAGTGAGAGGGACGGTTAGTGAGGGAGTGAGAGGGACGGTTAGTGAGGGAGTGAGGGACAGGGAGTGAGGGACGGTTAGTGAGGGACGGTTAGTGAGGGAGTGAGAGGGACGGTTAGTGAGGGAGTGAGAGGGACGGTTAGTGAGGGAGTGAGAGGGACGGTTAGTGAGGGACAGGGAGTGAGGGACGGTTAGTGAGGGAGTGAGGGACAGGGAGTGAGGGAGTGAGGGACGGTTAGTGAGGGAGTGAGGGGAGTGAGGGACGGTTAGTGAGGGAGTGAGAGGGACGGTTAGTGAGGGAGTGAGAGACAGGAAGTGAGGGACGGTTAGTGAGGGAGTGAGGGACGGTTAGTGAGGGACGGTTAGTGAGGGAGTGAGGGACGGTTAGTGAGGGAGTGAGGGACGGTTAGTGAGGGAGTGAGGGATGGTTAGTGAGTGAGGGACAGGGAGTGAGGGACGGTTAGTGAGGGAGTGAGGGACGGTTAGTGAGGGACAGGGAGTGAGGGACGGTTAGTGAGTGAGGGACAGGGAGTGAGGGACGGTTAGTGAGGGAGTGAAGGACAGGGAGGTGAGGGACGGTTAGTGAGGCAGTGAGGGATGGTTAGTGAGGGAGTGAGGGACGGTTAGTGAGGGAGTGAGGGACGGTTAGTGAGGGAGTGAGGGACAGGGAGGTGAGGGACGGTTAGTGAGGCAGTGAGGGATGGTTAGTGAGGGAGTGAGGGACGGTTAGTGAGGCAGTGAGGGATGCTGTGCGGGGGAGTGAGAGCCGGTTAGTGAGGGAGCGGGGGGCGCTGGCGGAGCGGGGGACGCTGATCGGGGGCGCGGAGCGGGGGCGTTGGGGGAGCGGGCAGGCGGGAAGCGAGAGACAGTTAATGGAGTGTTTAAGAGTGAGTGGGGACTGTTGGGCATTGGAGTCTCCTCTGCACCGGCACAGACAAACCAAAAAACCAGGCTGGGAAGTCGAGCCGAGACATTTACGAGTGACTGGGTGCTGAATACATGTGTTGCAAGCGAGTCCTGAATGAGCTGGATACTTTGGTTACACGCGTTGTTAACAAAAGGGATCCTTGCCTGGGAATACTTTTGTCACAACAACAAACAACAACAACCAAATTACATTTATAGAGCGCCTTTCACATCGGGAGGACGTCCCAAAGCGCTGAACAGTCAGGTGTTGGGGCCCGAGCATGGGGGAGGGGTGGTGTAGGGGTGAGGGAAGGCAGAGAGGTGGGAGGGAGACCAAAGACACGGTCGAAGAAAAGGGTCTTGAGACTGACCTTGAAGGAGGCAAGGGAGGAAGTGAGGGGAAGGGACCGTGGGATGGAGTTCCAGAGTGTGGGGTCAGAGAGGCTGAAAGCCCGGCCACCGATGATAGGGCGGGTTGGGCGGGAGACATGGAGCAGACCAGAGCCCGATGAACAGAGGGAGTGGGCAGGTTGGTAGGCAGTCAGCAGGTCAGAGAGGAAGGAAGGGATAAGGCCATGGATAGCCTTAAAGGTGAGGACGAGGATCTTGAACTCAATCCTCTGGAGGATGGGGAGCCAGTGGAGTCCAGCGAGCGTGGGAGTGATGGGGTCACAGAGCCTGGTGTGTGAGAGTACATGAGCTGCAGAGTTTTGGATGATCTGCAGCTTGTGAAGGGAAGAGTTGGGAAGGCCGATGAGGTGACGAATGCGTGGGTGAGGGTTTCAGCAGCCTGAGGGGTGAGGCAGTGGCGGAATCTGGCAATGTTGTGGAGGTGGTGGTAGGCAGTGCCGGTCATGGCGCGGATGTGAGGGAGAAAGGACAGTTCAGAGTCAAAACAAGATACCCAGGTTCCTGACTGGCTTAGTGAGGTTGAGTGTGCAGCCATGGAGGCTGATGCTGCCAGCGCCTGAGGTGCGGAGGTGCTGGCGTGAGCCAATCAGGAGGGCCTCGGTCTTGCTGACGTTGAGTTGGAGAAAGGTGGCCCTCGTCCAGGAATTGATGTCGGACAGGCAGTCGGTCAAGACGCCAGTAGTTCAGGATGGAGGCAGAGGTAGAGTTGGATGTCATCCACATACATGTGGAAATTTACCCCATGTCTGCGGATGATGTCACCAAGGGGCAGCATGTAGAGGGTGAAGAGGAAGGGACCGAAGACGGAGCCCTGAGGAACACCGCACGAGACAGTGCAGGGACTAGAGGAGAAGCCGTTTGCCGCGACGAAGTTGAGGCAGTGTGAAAGATAGGACCTGAACCAGTCAAGGACAGAACCTTGGAGGTTGAGGTGGGAGGAGAGACGGTGGAGGAGAATTGAGTTGTCCACGGTGTCAAAGGCAGCGGAGAGGGCAAGGAGGCAGAGGGAGTCCTGGTCACACATGGTCAGGATGTCGTTTGTGACCTTGGTCAGAGCAGTTTGCGTGTTGAGGGCAGCACAGAAACCCGATTGGAGAGGTTCATGGAGGAAGTGAGAGGAGAGGAAAGAGCGAAGCTGGGAGGCAACGGCTCTCTCTAGGACCTTGGATATGAAGGGGAGATTTGAGATGGGCCGGTAGCTAGTTAGCTGTGATGGGTCGAGGGAAGGTTTCTTCAAGGTGGGGGTGATAATGGCTGTTTTGAGGGGGGAAGGAACAGCGCCAGATGACGGAGAGGTTAATGATATCGGCGAATAGTGGGGCAAGGAGGAGGAGCTGGGATTTAAGGAGAGGGGTAGGGATGGGGTCGAGGGAGCAGGTGGTGGACTTCATGGAGGTTATCGTATTGAAGACAGAGGAGGGGGTGACAGGTTCAAAGGTGTGGAAGGAGGGATGGATAATTGTCGGATGGGTAGTTGGGTGGGGTGAGGGTAGGGAGGGGTTGGAAGTTGGGAGGGCAGTGGCAGCAGAGCGGATTCCCTCGATTTTGAATCTGGTTTCGCTGAACACACTGGTTGGAAAGCAGGTTTGTCTGTCATCCATTTAATTTGTGGCGCGCTGACCTACCAAGGGTGTTTAATCAGAAATAAGCTAATAATTCTTGCATTTTGATAGATCGCCTTTCACATCAAAGGAGCACCTCAATTCCGTGCTGTAAATTTCTGTAGTTCCATAAGGCAGGAAGATGGAACTGAAAGGATTGCTCTTGAAGGACACGGTGAACCCAGTGGTCTCCTGTGGCCTACATTTCTATGGTTCTATGGTTTCTAATTCATCAACCCCAAACTGGTTGAGTTTATTTGGTTCAGATGCAGGTTCACAAGCTAACATGAGGTCATATAGACAAGAAAATGATAATCAAAACACAAAATACTGCAGATGCTGGAAATCTGAAAACAAAAACAGAAGTCGCTGGAAACACTTAGCAGGGCCAGCAGCATCTATGGAGAAAGAAAAGTGAGTCAATGGTTCGGGTCCATGAACCTTCTTCAGAACAGAGTTTTAAGAAAATGATAATGTTGTATCTATTTTTTAAAATTCAACTTTTAATTCAAAAAGAGAACATTAAAAATATGCTATTACAGCGTCCAAACCAAATGATGGCAATTAAGATCTTCACATCCACCCACAAAAAAAACAGTCGCACCATCCACTTTAGTGTATATCCTGGGAAGCACTTTGAGATGTCTGGACGACCTAATGATGCTCTAAATCAAATGCGAGTGTTATTATGATTGGATCTACACAATAGCTGGACAAGCAGTTGAAAACTTGTCACAGTGCTCACAAACTCTGCTGAACTTTGGACACCTCTCATAAATCATAAACAGCACTTTTTTCCATAAGCATTCCTCCAGAGGAAGCCATTTTGTCTGCTTTAATGAACTGTGGTTTTGACTTTAATAAGCAAGGTTTGAAAATAAATTAGAATAATTACAATTTAGAAACTTAATGGATTACAAGTTGTCAATACAGAGTATTTCTATTGATTTAGTGAATGGAAGCTTTCATGATATAAAGAGATCTCAGCTGGTGCAGGAATTGGGATTGTACAATTTCTTCAGTAATGTGGATTAATGAAGGAGAAAATCAGCCCAGGTTCCTGCTCCTGTCTAGGGATCCCTACGGTATACATGTGTTGACTTTGATATGTGAAAGGTATACATGTGTTGACTTTGAGTAATGATGTGATCTTGCTTGTCTAGTGGCCCAGCAATCCAGTAGCCTTCTAATACTCTCCCTCAAGCATCACACAGAATGCTAGCCGTTTGGGTGATTTTGCGTGTTGTTGGGATATACCTATCCCGAGGATCCGAAATAATAACTCAACAATCCTTAATAAAGGTATAATGGTTTATTATTCACAAACAGTTTATGAGTATATAGCAAAAGAGGTAAATAATCATACTACCCGTTCTATTTAGTCTGTAGGCTGATTTCAGTCTTTCGTGTCGGCTTCTCAGGCTCAAGCTTTGGCAATACTCATGTTCTCTCCTTGTCTCTCTCTCCCTGCTTCCACCCCTCTCTGTTCGGAGGTACCCCAATTAGGGTCTCCCCCTATCTCCCGGTGGCCCTTACCTCATACTCCAGGACTAGAGGTTGTGCCTGCTTCTCCCAGCACCTGGAACACAGGCTCAGCGTTCTTCTAACGTTTTTAAACTAATAACAACAACAACAACAACAAGATTCCATTTATAGAGCGCCTTTCACGTCAGGAGGACGTCCCAAGGCGCTGCACAGTTGGGTCATGACCCGAGCAGGGGGGAAATGGTCAGGGTGAGGGGAGGGAAGGGAGGGAGAGAGGAGGGGGGAAATGGTCAGGGTGAGGGGAGGGAAGGGAGGGAGCGAGGAGGAGGAAGAGAGTCGAGAGGGGAGCTGAAGGCACGGTCAAAGAGAAAGGTTTTGAGACCGGCCTTGAAGGAGGAAAGGGAGGAGGCGGCGAAGGCACTGGGGGATGGAGTTCCAGAGCCTCGGGGCTGAGAGGCTGAAGGCCCGACCACCGATAGTAGGGCGGTTGGGGCGGGGGACGTGGAGCAGACCGGAGCCAGAGGAACGGAGGGTACGGGCAGGTAGGTAGGGGGATAGTAGGTTGGAGAGGTAGGAGGGAGCAAGGCCGTGAATGGCCTTGTAGGTGAGGATGAGGATCTTGAAATCAATCCTCTGGGGGATGGGGAGCCAGTGGAGGCGAGCGAGGGTAGGAGTGATGTGGTCCCGAAGCCTGGTGCGGGACAGTACACGAGCTGCAGAGTTCTGAATGACCTGCAGCTTGTGGAGGGAGGTGCCGGGAAGGCCGGCGAGGAGAGAGTTCCCATAGTCCAGCCTTGAGGTGACAAAGGCGTGAACCAGGGTTTCAGCGGCATGAGTGGTGAGGTAGTGCCGTAATCTGGCGATATTCCGGAGGTGATGGAAGGCGGTGCCAGTTGTGGTTATAATTATAATTATAATGTTTTATAATTGCTATAAGGTGTTATAATTTCTATATATTTTCATCAATCTAACAGTGCCATGGCTCAAACGTAGTACTCTTGTCTCTGAGTCAGAAGGCTGTGTGTTCAAATCCCACGTAAGGACCTCCCTACCTCTCCCTGCTCACCCGCCAACCCGTTGCCTCCGCTCGACCTACTCCGGACTTCTGCATGTCCCTCGTGCCCTCTGTGCCACCATTGGTGGCCGTGCTTTCGGCCACTATGCCCCAAAACTCTGGAACACTCTTCCTCTACCCCTTTACCTTGCCCCTTGCTTCCCCATCTTCAGGTCGCGCCTGAAGTTGTTCCTATTCGATTGTTCCTAACGTCACTCCCCCTCCCACTGGTTCAGCATCATGCTGCGCCACTGCCAAGCACTCTGGGACACTATCCTGCGTGAGGGGGCGCTACATAAGTGCAAGTTGTTGTTGACGTTCGAATGCAGCGCTGAAGGCTGTTGCCTTGTATGAGGTGCCTCGCTTCTGATGAAACATTAATCCGAGAACCCGACTGCCTGTTCAAATGGACGTTAATGATGCCACAGCACTATTTAAAATGAGAAGGGAGTTTCTCATGGTGTCCTGGCAAAAATCCCTCACATCAAATTGGTTATTCATTTCATGGTTGAAATTATGCTGCCCCATTTTCTTACAGATACACAAACCATTAATTTGTTTTCATATTAGCTCAGTGTTATGCAATTCAACCTTCATCAGAAAGGACCCAGGTTCAATTTCTCACCCATGCTGAATTAGTTCATCTCTTGGGGTAGCAGTACACCACTAAAAATAGTTTTGATGTGTCTGGACAAAGGAAGATTAAAAAAAACAATTAATCTGGGCTCCTTCACCCAGTCGTTACATGGTGACTTCTGCTGGAAAGTGCATACATGTAGGATGTTGAGTTTCACACAAGGAAGATTGGTTACCTGAATGAGGCACTGAACAGCTGTTGGTGCTTGTAAAACCACCCAAGTGAATTTCACAATACTTTCTGTCTTCAGGGAATATCGGTAGAAAATTATGGCAGAGGGAGGGTGGAAAGCATTTATTTTAGTTTATAAAATGCATGCTTTAGGAGCTTTCTTTGCTGATACTGCTTTGCTCAGGAATCTCATTGTTATCATCACATGCTGTATTTCCAGAAGCTTGTCTGTTAGTGACAGTCATTCTATGATTTACAAAACAACCACACAGTCAGTCTCTTTTTTCCGTTTCTTGTTTAAAACTAATCCATCTGTTTTTCGTACTGGTTTTTAAAAAAAAATCCCAGGTTTGCTTTGGCAATATTGTTGGTATGCAATGCACTTGGAGTCACATCATACTATTTTCGCAGAATAGCTATGAATCCTGAAGGAAAAATACCAGCGGCACAGAAGTTGAATAGGTATGGAGAGATAGAAAATATTGAAATGACTCCGGAAGATTGGCTTAATCGCTGGAAAAAGAGACAGATCGGATTTCATGAAAACAAAATTAATGAGTAAGTGTAACAGATTTATTTTTGATTTTTGGACAATTTGGGATTTTGTTTAAAATTGGATGTTACTCGACCTTATAGGGAAGAAATTCCACCTGAGTCTAGATTTACTCTATTTTTCTGAGCATTTAAGAGCATGTAGAAATTTAGTAAATTGTTGAATTCAGTCTTAAACTTTTGTGTAGTTATTTAAAGACCTTAGTAGAAACCAAATTCAAAATTAAGTCTATTTAAGAACTTATTTAAGAAATGCTAAGAAAATAAGAGTAAATCTAGACTTGAGTGAAATTTCTACCTCCTACAACCTCTTGTGTGGATTGTCACCACACAGAAAAGCAGATTAAATTATTCACTTTGGGAGATAACAAGTGTCATTCCGTTAAATTAGATTTTTTATTATTTAAAAAAACTGTCCAATTTTCTTTAACCCATAAGGGCTAACTGCTGTCAATGATACAATAATCCTATCTTAAACTGAATTGCATCATTGGTTACTGATCTTTTCAGACTATAGAAGAAACCAGGTACAACACAATTTTCGGAGTATTGAGGAATCTTGATGTGTTTAGTGCTTGAATCATTCTGACAAATTCTGTATGTTGCAGCCAAGATATGCAAAGATTGGACAGATGTACGGTATCCTAAAATATTTGCATTTAAATGATGACAGGTCGGGGCAATCCACCTAAACATTCTTGTACCATTAATATCGATGAGAGGCTTGGTAGAGTAGTAGAGAGCCAGACTGACAGCAGGAATGACTGGGTTCAACTGGTTGCTTCTCAGTTTCAATAATATTCTTCCAACATCTGAATGTTTTAGAATTGCAACAATATCTTTTTCAAATACTCCTGCTGCGCCTCTCTGCTAACTGTTCTCTGCGCTGTCTCTCATGAGGTTGTACGAGACAGCGCAGAGAGTGATAGGAAGAGGGGCGAAGCAGGAGGTATGAGTCATACCACTTACTCCACCTCTCTTCCCGTCGCTCACCCCGCCTCTCACGAGATTGTTCAAGTTGACACAGAGCATGATGCACCTGAGGCAGTGCGGAGACCAAAGAGAAACACAGCTGGGACACAAAACAATGAAATCGGAAATGGTTCGCTGGCCAGGTGAAACCATCCCCGGGCCGGATGCAGCCCATAGGTGTCTAGTTGAACCACCTGCCAAAGGGGATGCTTCTGGTCTGGAGAATTGAGGTGCACCAATTTCCAAAATCCTGAACAAGTTAATATTGCATTGTAAATTGTATTGTAAACCATTAAAGTGGCTATAACTGTTCCATTAAAACTTGTAACCGTTATCTCCATAGAAAGCTGAACAAACATTTGACCTCTTTGATAAATGGAAGGAAGAAAATCCGTATTTTTTTCCCACTCTGTGGAAAGGCAATAGATATGAAATGGTAAGTAAATTGCAAGCAATATAACACATTTCTACAATTTTTTATACTGGATAATGTACACATTATTCTGCTGTGCTACATCTTTGGCCCGAAAGTTTCACCTGTTTTGTCTTAAAACTTAAGATCATACAGAATTGTGAAAATTCCTTAAATTCAGTTTTAATTTGGAATCCAGTTCTGATTAAGAACTGCAGAAACCTGGCTTCCAATATTATGTTGAATTCAAGAGTTCTCCACAATTTTACATCTTAAAACAAAATAGTCTTGAAGGCTCAGACTAGATGGGACTTCAGGCTTCTTATCTGTTACCCTTCAAATATTACAATGTTAAATTTGATCAGTGTAACTTTATCCTGCAAAGCCTCCTTCCTTGTAGGTGTAATCCACGATCGGCAAAGTAAATTTTAAACACAAACTTCTAATTCATGCTTTCCTATTTTCTAAGAGCTCATTAAGGCCATTGGGATTGAACAATACGTCATGCTACTGTAAGCATTTGGAGTAAAATGGCACATTGGAGATTCTTAAACTCACTAGGCTATTAAAGAGAAGAGCATTCCTGCCACCATCTTATGATGGGCTACTCTGACTTTCAACACCATCTTCCACCATCTTATGATGGTCTACTCTAATTTCAGTGTAATCTGTCAAAAATTAGAGTAGCCCACTACAAAGATGGCGACAGGTATACACTGCTCTTTGATTGACAGCACGGTAAGTAATGAAGTTCCAATGTGACGTTGTACAGATGCTTCCTCAAGGAGAAGGAAGAATTACCCAGGCTACTCTCACACACCTATTTGTAAACTATATGGCAGGTCAAGTTTCGCCCATCCCATTAACTGACAAAAGAGGCATCCCATTATGAACAGAGGTGTGACCCGGACTCCCTGCCTCCTCGTTCTCTTTGACCTCACCTTACGTGTTCGACAGTCGATCACACCATCCTCCTCGATCGCCTCTCTTCCCTTATCACCCTTATTGGGACCGCACTCGTATGGTTCGAGTCCTATTTGACTAAGCACCAAAAATACATCCCGACAAACGCTTTCTCCTCCCGCCCCCATCCGGTCACCTGCGGGGTACCCCAAGTCTCATCCTTGGCCGCCTTTTTTCCTTATTTATACGCTCCCTCTTGGCAATATCATCTGTAGATATGGGGTCAACTTCCACATGTATGTGGTGACACCCAAATCTACTTCTCCTCCAGCTGCAATTCCCAGTTCGCTGATGTCCTGTCAGCTTATTTGACTCTGTCAACACCTTCTCTCCTGCAGGTCTGAACTCCTCAACCTCCCGGACTCTCCCTCAGACTCACCGAACCTGTGTGCAATTTAGGCATCAGGTTTGATCCCCAGCTCTCCTTTCTACTCCACATCCGTTCCCTGACTAGGACCGCTTTTTTCCACCTCTATCACATTGCCCGCTTCTGTCTGTACCTCACAACAAAAGCAGCCGAACCCTCGTCCACGCCTTCATCACTTCTCGGCTGGTTTATTCCAATTTCCTTCTTGTTGGTCTCCCCAGCTCCACCATACACAAAAATAATTAACTCAGAACTCCGCCTCCCGGATTCTGACCCGCACAAAACTCTGTACCCCCATCAAACCAGTCCTTGCCAGGCACCACTGGCTCCCAATTACTGAACGGATCGATTTCAAGATCTTCTCACTTGTTTTCAAATCCCTTCATTCCCTCACACCTCCCTACTTATCCGATTTGCTTATTCCCCCAATCCCCGACCTGCTACCGCCGCTCGGCTGACTCCGGCCTCCAGTTCGTCCCTTGTCCCCTCTGCTCCACTATTGGTGGCTGTGCCTTCAGCCACTTCGCCCAGAAACTCTGGATGTCTATCCCTCAATCCCTCCATCTTGCGCTCTCCCTCCCCACTTTAAAATCCTGCCTAAAGACGTTCCTTTTTGATCATGTTTACGATCATCTCCCCTCTCCCCCTGGCTCAGGGTCACTTTCAAGTGCTCCAGGATGCTACCCCGCGTGAAGGCGCTATATAAATGCAAGTTTTTGTTGTGTGTGTATATATATTTTAAATGTTATTAACAGTTTGGAAAATGAATGTGATAAAGAATCATTAAAATCATGCCAGTTTCTTCTTTTTTCCCCCCCATTACCTATAGGTTAGCTGATCTGGGGCACACTATTGTTGGTGTGGAAGTGAGTGAACTGGGAATAAAAGAGTTCTTTGAAGAACAGGATTTGTCCTACACACGGGGACCTGTGCCAGAAGTACCAGGTGCTGAAGTGTTTAAAGTATGTGGAAAAATACACCTTTTTATTTTGCCAGGGTATATTAACATTTGCTGTATTAATATACAGCATAAGTGTGATGAATTTAAAGTTGATGTTTCAATATCTTGTGTGGTGGGGGGTATGCAACTAACAGTAACTAACAACTGGCCCTCATCTGCATCTCTTCCTGACAAGCAGTTTGAGGAACACATTCGTGGCTGTATCTTTACACAAATTTTTTATAGATTCTCAATTGAGGGAGAAGAACCATGGCAATGTCATGAGCTGGGGCAATAGAAAAGTGCCGAAATGTTTGCAAAAAAGTTGTGGGGAGATTCAAAAGTTTTGAGAAAAATGGTAGGGAGTTGATTGGTGCTATTGAGGTGCATTTTACTGCCAACTTACATTTTTTTCACTTTATTGATAAAAAGTAAACATGAGGAAACCACACATTAGATCATTGCAAAAAATATTAATTGATTAGTTAACAAAAACTGGGTGGCCTTTTGTTTTTAGGAAAGTAAGAGGGGGACACCAGCGAGGTCACAGGAGCATTCAGACCCAGAGAGAGAGACGTACACTCAAGAGACACAGAGAGAGACACACACAGACACAGAGAGAGACACACAGACAATCACAACAGCCCAGCACCCCGAGTGAAGCCCATTTGCCACTTGCCTTATATGGAGGCACCCCGCCCACAGTGGCGTCAGGTAAACAGCCAGGGGGCCCGCGGGCCATAAACTACATTTATAACGGGTTTGTAGTGGAGGAGGGTGTTTGTAGCGGATTCCGCGGAAGAATTGCAGCACTTTTCTATTGGCCCAATTCATGAGTACTTGTTACCAGTTTGTGGAGGGAATGTGATTTTTAAAATGTATTATTTTAAGGAATCAAGCTTTTCTTATTACTTTTCTTCTATTCCAGAGTGATGATGGAGAAATCTCTTTGTTTAAGTGCAGCTTGTTTGATTTCACAAGGTGAGAAAACTTATATTAGTACTGGAGACCAAACTGTAACTTCTCTTTCCAACGGCAACAACAAATTGCCTGTATATTGTCTTTCATGTTGGGAGGATGTTCCAAGGCACTGGAGAGTCAAAGCTTTGCACCCGAGCTAGGGATGGGAAGATGACTGAAGACTCAGTCAAAGAAGAAGGTCTTGAGATTGGTTTGAAGGAGGCGAGGGAAGAAGTGAGGCAGATGAACTCTGGGATAAAGGCCCAATCACCGATGGTGAAGCAGGCCATTGCTTGCTGAGCAGGGAGAGCGGGTGGTTTGACAGGGTTTTCTAAGTTCACAAAGATAGGGTGGGACAAGACCGTGGAAGGATTTAAAAGTGAGGATGAGGGTCTTGAACTCGATACAATGGGGCATGGGAGCCAGTGGAACAAGGCAAGGATAGCAGTGATAGGCTCGTGGAGCCTTAGTGCAGGAAAAGACATGAGCTGCATAGTTCTGAGTGGTCTGCAACTTATGGAGCGAAGAGTTGGGAAGTCCGGTGAACAGAGTGTTCGGGTAGTCAAGCCTAGATGTAATAAAAGCATGGATAACGTCTGGCTTTCCCCTTTTTCACAACTTTCAAAATGCTCCTAAAAACCTGCCTTTTAATCATGCTATTGGTCACCCCTCCCTCTCCCTGTGAAAATTGAAGTGGAGAAAAAAATCCTACTACAGTGCTTGAAAAGATTGCATATAGAATTTTAATTGATATTTATAAAGTGTATAGAAAGCATACATTTCTTATTTTGTGTAAGCTATAATGTCCAATTAAAATTGAATTTAACCCCTTTTTTCGAGTAGTTCAATTGCTGGACAGTTTGATGGGATTTGGGACAGAGGTTCTCTGGTGGCTATCAATCCTTCTGATAGACAACGGTTAGTGACATATCATTTATTTACTTTTACTTCACTTACTGCTCTGCATTTCACTTACAAGAGGAAGCAATCAAGTGACAAAAAGAATAATGTCCTTCAACACATTTAAACTTATCTTTATGATCTTGTAGAGAGGCAAAATTATATTTTGGTGAGATAATATTCCTGATGGGATGTTCCTGAACAACAGTTCTTGCACCATCTATTTCCCAAACACTATGGTACATCTTCCCATTGTGAAAGGCGCTATATAAATATATATTTGTATTGTATTTCATGTGGTACCTGAGGATAATTTGTTCGTCATTTGTTTCATTTTTCTTTGCTACCTTTCTTCACTTTAAACAATGTGTACTTTTATATAAGGCTATAAATTCACACACCATGTCCATTCTTCCTTTAGAAGAAGATGACTGAATTTCACTCAATACTTATCTAAAAAACCAAAAACATTATGAATGGCAGTAATTACTTGTAAGCACTTTGCACCATTTCAATGAAATAAGTCATTGCAAAAAATGAAAGTGAAAACATTTGCTTTCTCCCATCATCATGGTCAGTTGCCAGTTTAATCAACTCTTTTGTAGCAGATATTACAATGAACTAAATTTCTTGTTAGATATATTGCAGAATTTAAGCAAATATCTTTAACAAGCCCTATTTGATCCACCAATCCGATTTCTGACCTGCCTACAGCACTTTTAGAACAGCTGCAGACTTTAGATTGAACGCTTTGTTTTTCTCCTAATAACTTATCACAACACTTTATATTTAATAAAGTATCTAAGTAAACTAATCTGATATTGTGTCTCTGGGTTGTTATATGTGTACATGTATATGTACAGAGGGAACTACATATTTTCTGATTTATGAAGTTAACACCAAATAAAAGGATTACATAATTAATACATCTTTTTCATTTAATTATTGCATAAATAAGAGTACATGTAATTATTGTTTAACATATTTTACACATTGTGCATAATGCACACGACACAGAATGACATTTTAATGGAAATACTTTCAGTTCCAAAAGCATATTACTTAAAGTTGCTTTTCTATGCTAGTTATGCCACAGTACTCATATCTCTCATGGGCAAAGGATGTCACTATCTTCTAGATACACTTGTGTATGGTGAAAGTAATTTTATTGGTAAGTGATGATGCTATTTTTAATATGCTCTTTGTATTGTTAAACCATGAATAATATAAATGCAGACATAGTTAAACCATGAATAATCTAAATGCTTACATATGAATTAAGGAAATAAAGTATTTTATAAAGCATTCATACTTGTAGGGCATTCCAAACAAATCTAATTTTCTGAAATGCATTGGATTTCTGTTTACTTTTACGTGAAAAATCTTGTGCTGTTGATGTCTTGGTCTTACTGGATAAACAAGCATACTAGTGAATAAAACTGAAACAGACTTATTAAACATATATAACTGTATGTACATATATTAAACATAAATAATATGGAATATATGTTTATAAATAACAATGTGAAATATTTAAAAATCTTTCTCTTACCAAGAGAAGTTGATTTTGCTTTCAAGCTTAAATGATCACTTTTAAATGTGGTCCTCTTAGGCCTGAAATTGCCTATAAAATCAATAGGTCTTAAAATTTTAGATCACACATAATTGTGAAAAATTCTTGAATTCCATCTTAATATGGAAGCTGGTTTTCCGCAGTTCTTAAAATGAGCCAACTTCCAAATTAGGGCTGAATTTTAAAATTGCTTCCTTTTACTGCAAAGTCTTAAATGTTGCAACAAAATGGATTCACAGACTAAGAATAGATAGAATTTTGTTGTTGGATTCTGACCTCAGTTATACATTAGTGTATTAGCCATTGAATTAAATTTAGATTTTAAATTATTGTTTTTAGTGACTGAGGAAATGTTTTGTGGTCTCTATTTTTTAGGTACACCACATTGTGTGCCAGAACACACAATTCAGGATTTGTATGGTGAGTTCAATTTATTTCCATGTGTAAAGCGATTTTCATTTGAAAATATTTACTTGTTTTTGATATCTTCCAATTTTTGTTCTGTATTATGAAGCTCATGGTATTAATTCTATATATTTTTTAAAGTGTCATTCTGTTCTGTTAATATACTAAAAATAACACATTTTCTTTTTGTTTAGTACAATCTTATTACAAGATGGTGGTTGTGGTCCACAAATTCCTAACCAGGGTTATAACAGGGTTATAAGGTGACAATTGCCAATTAGAACAGAGAAAACCAGCCATCTTCCTGTGCATTAAAAATGGCCAACTTCCAGACTCTGTGACAGTTTACTTCTCCTGTTTGATTCTAACACAGTGTTAGACTGTAGATCCAGAATATACATCAATCAATCAATATCCCTGATTTTTTGCATTCTTTTCTTTGTAGGTCAGACATGCAATATTCAATTACTGGAATCATCTGATGCCCTGACAGACAAGCAAAGATCATGGGGTCTGAATTCCTTCATAGAAAATGTTCATCTTATTATGCTAAAAACGGATTTTTCCTGATCATTGCAGACTATGTAAAAGTTTAAACCAGAAGAAAATTGAATGACTCTAATTTGAAAAATTGTGGTCTTTATTTTGCATCATTATCCAGTAGGGAATAAGTAAAATAATATTCTTTCACGGACTATTGGAACTTCTTCTGGGGCCTCCCTTCTCACCTTTATTCTAGGAAATCATTTCTGAACATATAACAACAACAAATTACACTGGAATAGTGCCTTTCACATCGGGAGGACATCCCAAGGCTTTGGACAGTCAAGGATTTGCACCCAATATAAAATTATATGTGAATGCATTTGATATGTTCTTTGCACTTTAGAGTGGTTAGTTTAAATATTTTAATCAATTATATTCAGACTTTTGCAGTACATCATGTAGTTTCCAAAATATATATAGTTTCCCTGTATCTTTTCCAATTAAAACCAAATTAAAACAATGGAAGCAAATGCAGAAAACATTCTGTTTCTGTACTCTTTTTCACTCATATTTACTCAAAAAGCTTTGTTCAGATATTTTAGAATATTAATAACTTTGATACACTTCTGAGTCAGAAGGGTGTGGGTTCAAGCATCACATCGGGACTTGGAATCATATTGTCTAATGACACTCCAATGCAGTCCTGGGGATGTGTTGCATTGTTGGAGGTGACATCTGCCTGTTCAAGTGGATGTTAAAGATCCCATGCCCCTATTTGAAAAGTAAAAGAAGTTTCTCCTGGTGTCCTGGCCACCAATCCCCCGAATAAAATTGGTCACTCCATGGCTGTTTGTGAGACATTGCTGTGTTTCGCCTACTAGCTGCTGTGTCTCACTCAAAATATACCCAGTCAAAACCACTTTACAGTAGATATGTGAAGCTCTTTGAGATGTCTCAACAAGGTGATCAGACGATATAAAATGCAAGGATTATTATTACCAAGAACGCCCAGAGAACTGACTCATTTCCGATGTTACAGGAGTGTATAACTGCGCTCGGGATACTGCCAATACTCTGTCTAGTGAACCAGCAGAAATTGCCAGAGACCACCCAGGCATAGCTCTCCCTGTTCAGTTTCTGCCTTGCCCGGAGAGACTGCAGTCTATGTTCACTGCCTACCTTCTCAATGTGGATACACGTGCATCGCATTTGATAACAAAACTACAGCAGATGGCTGCAGGACTTTAGCATGCGTGATTTGAATCTTTTGGGTGACATAAAACCAAAGACTTTCTTTAAGATGTAGCAATAAAGGATAAAATGTGTTGCATGAATGCATCTTATTTTTTAGTCCTCCATTCCAGGGGATTATACAAGATTTTTTTAAACTTCAGTTGACATTTATCCCCAAACAGGAAATTAGTTTTAAAATTCTCACTGATAGTAACCAATATCTTGGTCAATCGCATATTGTGTAAACTTTGTAACAGGAAATAAGGGAACTATCATCTTGGTTAAATGGTTAACTGGGACTTCCTCCTGATATAAAAAAATGTTATATACTAATAATAATAATCCTTGCATTGAGGATATATGTATTGATATATAAATGCAGTTTGTTGTTCTTGTTGGAACATATTTGAAGTATTTGGAAATTTTGATTTTATCTGAGCTATAACTTCATTTATTTTGAACGTGTGTGTGAACATGTCTTGTGTATACACTCCAGTTAAGATGATTGCTTACCTTAATTCTTCCTCCGTCATTGAGTCAAACTGCAAAAATCCTGGTCTGTTGTACAATAATGTGAAAGGTGAGTTCTGCTTTTAGTGTTTTTGCTTGAATACCAGGCTCAATACAAAATAATGTCAACAAGACTTGAATGAATAATTGTATTCCACTCAAGTGTGAGCAATGCACAGCAATAACTACCATGGTGTGGTATGTTGTATGTAATTTACCAAGTTTCCTTCAGCCTCTAACGAATCCTACAGTGAAATTGCTGCTTCTCATTTTGAAATGTGGTCAAATGTCTAAAAATACTTTATTCAAGACCCACCTCTTTGACCAGGCCTTCAGTCATCTTTCCCCTTCTGGCTTCCTTTGGTTCCCACCCCCAGGTTGGTTGCCCATCCAGCAGTGTTAGCTTTGAGACGTGAAAGGCCCTACAGTATATAAATGTAAATTGTATTGCTTACCTTGTTTTTAATACCAGCTATATAGATCAATCTGTTAGCATTAGTAGAAGCACCTATACAGTATGTTCAAATTAATCCAGGTGCACAATGCCAACGTATAACACCCATGTCCACCTCCCTGTTCACCAGATTCCCAAGCTCCTCCCTGTACAAGCTGCAGACCCCCCAGAACTCTGCAGCCCATACTTTCTCCCGCACCAACATCCACAAACCCGTTACCCACATCCTATCCCACAGCAGATAAAATTCAAGATTCTTGTCAGCACTTCCAACTGCCTCCATGACCTCCCCCAATTCTATCTCTATGACCCTACTGTCGGTTGCCCTGCTTAATGTCACCTGCCCATTCCACAAACAGTGAACGAGCCTTCGCTCTGTCCATGCTCTCTGGAATGTCCTGCTGGAGTCCCTTCCATCTTTCCCCATCCATCCCTGCCTTTAAAATGCTTTAAGAACCATCTTAAATTTCATCTTAACCAGAGAAATGAAAGAATGGAACAATTAAACCACTTCTGTCCACTGTAGAAATCGGTAGGTTAATGGAAAATGAAACGGAATACCTCAAGAGCTGGTTGTGAATATATTCTACCCTGTCACATACTAACCTGACTGCAAAGAACCTTTTCCCATTCATTCAAAATGAGAAAATTGACATATAAATAAATACTTCACTTAATCTACGACTATTTGTGGGACAGTGCTGTGTGCAATTGGCTGCGGTCTTTCGCCCACAAAATATACAGTCACTACACTTTACGTTATATTCTGTGAAGCTCCTTGAGATATCCTGAAGATGTGATGATGCTCTGTATCAAATGCAAGGATTATTATTATCTTTTTGAATAGGCATTGCTCACCTTTCCCCTCCCTCCCCCATTCCAGCTCAGGCTCGCAGTCAGTTGTCTGAAGTGCTTTGGGACATCCTTTCAATGTGGAAAGTGCTATATTAATATCAACTGCTGTTGTCTATATTGTCAACAGTTTGCATTTCCACAGACTAGCTATGGCATTTTTAACTAAAGGAAGGATGCCACATGAACGTGAAGAAGAAGAAGAGGAACATGGAAACATGACTCTAGGCGACTGGATCGTATGCTAAGAAAAGGAGACATTAAATTAGAATATACAGCACAGAAACAGGCCATTCGGCCCAACTGGTCTATGCCGGTGTTTATGCTCCACATGAGCCTCCTCCTGCCCTTCCTCCACTAAGCCTTCAAGAATAACCTTCTATTCCTTTCTCCCTCATGTACCTATCTAGCTTTCCCTTAAATACAAATATGCTCTTTGCCTCAACAACTCCTTGTGGTAGCATGTTCCACATTCCCACTGCTCTCTGTGTGAAGAAATTTCTTCTAACTTCCTTATTGATCTATTTGTGACTATTTTATGTTGATGGCCCCTGGTTTTGGTCTCCTCCACAAGTGGAAACATCTTCCTTATGTCTACCCTATCAAAGACTTCCATCATTTTAAAGACCTCTATCAGGTCAGCCCTTACCATCCTCTTTTCAAGAGGAAAGAGTCCAAGCATGTTCAGCCTTTCCTGATCGGTATAACCTCTCAGTTCTGGGATCATCCTTGTGAAAACATTGGCTTTCATGATGATTAAATAAATCAGTGAGTAATACATTAGAGATATTATGGGTAGATAATTTTACTAGATTATTTTTTGCCCAGGGTATGGTATTCATAATTGGCCTCATGAAGTTATCGGCATCTCTTCTGGAACCTGGTGGGGCCTGGGTTTCATAATAAGAGTTAAAAAAGCAAACAATTCACTTCTAACAAAAAAACTTGTTGAGAAAGAATCCAGCGACAGTTTTACAACCCAAATCCATTTCAAAGATCCGAAAATGATGAGATCAAATCCAGTACAACAACAACTTACACTTATGTAGTGCCCTCCATGCAGCGTAGCATCTCAGAGCACTTAACAGTGGTGGAGCCTCACTCTGAGCCGGGGGGAGGTGGGCATAAGCACGGGCGAAGAGAAGTATTCAAATAAGATCCTTGTTTATATTAATCCTTGCATTTGATTAAGAGAAAAAGTAAAACAAGGGATGGAATAGGGGCATTGAAGGTGGGATCAGGTGAGGCTATGACAAATGATGCTACACAAGGTGCATGAAGTATTAAATCATTTTATTGCCTCAGTTTTTAGTAAAGAGATGGAAAATTTATTGGATCTGGAAAGAGAACTCAGTCATGTTGCAGAAGCGAGTTGTAACACTATACATAGCATTACCAGCATTTCAGTGATACGTGCAGACTTAAGGTAAACAAATTCCAAGGGCCAGATAATTGCATCCGAGGATCCTTAAGGAACTAAGAATGGAAATTGCAGGAACTCTGGCACAAATCTTTCAGAAATCACTAAATATTGGAGAGGTGCCTGGGGTCTGGAGAAAGGCAGATGTTAGCAAAAGTGATCCAGGAAACTACAGACCAGTGAGTTTGCTGTCCATTGTAGGTAAAGTTATGGGAGACCCTTATAAAACATAAGATTATGGAGCATCTCTGGACAGTAATAAAATGATAAAAGATAGCCAATATGGGTTTATGAAGAAGAGATTCTGCCAAACTAATTTACTGGTTTGCTTTGACTGGGTGACAAAGGGGCTTGATAAGGATAAGGCAGTGAATGTTGTATAAGTTGAGGAAGAGAGGACCAAGGGCAGAGTCCTGAGGAACATCACATGAGACTGTGCAGGAGCTGGAGGAGAAGCCGTTTGGGAAGACAAAGTGGAGACGGTGTGAGAGGTAATAATAATAATAATAATAATAATAATCCTTGCATTTGATATAGCGCTTTTCACGTCGGGAGGACGTCCCAAAGCGCTTCACAGAACACACTGTAAAGTGAATTGACTGTACATTTGTGGGCGAACGCGGCAGCCAATTGCGCACAGCAATGTCCCACAAACAGTCGTAGATTAAAAATGACCAATTTATTATTGTTTTGTTTTGGAGGGATTATTATTAGGCTCTGTGTGGAGTAAGGAAACTTGCCCAAGGTTTCGCCCTCTGCCTGGAATTGAACTCAGGTCTCTCACTTGCAAAGCGAGTGCTCTCACCACTGAGCTATAGGATCTGAATGACTGAAGGATAGAACCATAAAGCTTGAGGTGAGAGGAGAGGTGGTGGAGGAGGATAGAGTGGTCAACGGTATTAAAGGCAGCAGAGAGGTCAAGGAGGACAAGGAGGCAGAGGGAGCCCAGGTCACAGATGGACAGAATGTCATTTGTCACTTTGACCAGGACTATTTCTGCGATGTGGGCAATAACAGCAAAGTATACTTATATAGTGCCCTTCATGTTGGAAGGATGTCCTAGGGTGCTGGACAGTCAGGGGTTTTTGCACCCCAGCTGGGAATTGGGATCAGGAGGGGTGGAGGGCATGGGGGATGGGAGTGAGAGGGTGGCCGTAGGCACAGTCAAAGAGGAAGATCTTTAGACAGGACTTGAAGGAGGCAAGAGAGGGGCTGAGGCAGAGGATTTGTGGGATAAATTTCCAGAGCGTGGGATCCAAGATGCTCAATGCCCAACCACCAATGGTACGGGGGACCTGAAGCAGGCCAGTGTCCACCGAGTGGAGGGAGCAGACAAGCTAATACCTTGTAGGCGGTTGGAGAGGTATGGGAGAGCAAGACCATGGAGGGCTTTGAAGGTGAGAACAAGGGTTTTGTACTTAATTCTTTGAGGGATGGGGAGGCAGTGAAGCTGGGTAAGAACAGGGGTGATTGGTTTGTTGAGCCTGGTGGAGGAGAGGACATGAGCTGCAGCTTGTGGAAGGAAGAGTTGAGAAATCCAGCAAGCAGGCAGTTGGCGTAGTCAAGCCGGGATATGATGAAAGAGTGGATGGTGTCTCGGCGGCCTGTGGTAAAACCCAATTGATGGGGCAGCAAGGAAACCCAATTGGAGGGGTTTGTAGAGAGAGTGGTGGGAGAAGAAAGCGAAGCTGGGAACCAACGACTCATTCAAGGACCTTGGAAAGGAAAGAGAGGTTGGAGATGAGGTGGTAATTTGAGAACAGGCATGGGTCCAGGTAAAGTTTTTTGAGGATAGGGGTGATGATGGCTTTTTTTTAAGGCAATGGAAAATCAGTAGGTATGATATGGTAAGAATTTCCACATTGAGAATCCAAGGTTTGTACAATTTTTCACGTCAGAGGCTATAGTTTTATTAGCTGATATACATTTTATCTGCTAGTATCTGTTACAGATCTAATATTTTTACAACACTTAAGTCTGAAAACTCTCCATTTGCACAGCTTCTGGCAACAGTTTTTCGTGGGTTTAATTTGCTTGCAATAGAAAAAAACACTTGAAAATTGGCATTTAGTTTTTTTTATTTCAGAGAGTTTATGCATAAGAGATCAGTATAACCTAAGGCTCTAGTGGAGCTGGCAAGTATTGGGGTAATGGGTATGTGGAGTTTTAAGAAAGTTAATATTATTATTAAAAGCTACAATTTGATGGGATTGAGTAAAAATGAGCCCGGATTCTTGATCGCTGTTCTGTATCACTGCTAGAAAGCGTACCTGTGGAACATTTGACTAAATCATAAAAGATTCAGTAATGGTTGATTTTCGTCAGTAGAAATCGTAGACTATGTGATTCCAAGTCCCGACATGGGGCTTGAACCCACAATCTTCTGACTCAGAGGCAAGAGTGTTACCACTGCCCCAGGCTACGCTGTGAGTGGAATGTATTTTCAGGCATTTGTGATAGACAACATTTTTATGAATGAGAATCATGCAATTATGTAACAGTCTTATAACTCCTGCCCACCCAAACAGTGGTTTGTTTGAACTATGCACAGATGTATCAATTAATTGTCTAAAATTCTAAGATACAATAAATCAAATATATTACATGTTACATTGTATCGCTTACTCCTGTCACTACTTGAATTCAGAAATGTGATTTTGATTACATTTTGAATACTAAAAGGTTTAGTGCCCAGTAGATTTCCTCTATTGCAACAACTAAATGTCTGTAGTTTCATTGTTACTAAAAATACTTTTATGTAAGATTTCTACTCATTTACTTTTTTGAAAGTAATAACAATAATAATCCTTGCATTTGCCTTTCATGTCAGGAGGACATCCCAAAGAGCTTCACAGAATTTACTCTGAAGTGGTTGTGTATTTGTTGGCAAATTTGGCAGCCCAATTGCACACAGCAATGTCCCACAAACAACAAGGATTGTTGGCCAGGACACCAGGAGAAACTGCCTACCCTCAGGGAGAATGTTTCAAAAGTTTTTGCCTTAGCCTGCGAGTCTGGATTTTTTAAAAATTCACACTTAATTTGGAAGGTGCTTTTTTGCAAATAAACTGGCTAAGAATCACAGAGGGAATTCTGCATCAATTCTGCACTAACTCTCAGAGCAAGATATTTATTCAATCCCACCGTGCTGGTCTCTCCCCACCACACCCCTTGAAGCTTTGATCTTTCATATAAGGTTTACTTCCCTCTTGAAACCCACAATGGACTCTGCCTCTACCACCATACAAGGCAGGGCATTCCACATCCTAACAACACTTAAAAAAACTCCTAAATCTCTTAGTGAATCTCATTCTGCTTGAATATTATATATTTATATATATATAATATTTATATATAATATATATCCTGAAGCTCAGTGGTTAGATCACTCACCTTGCAAGCGAGAGACTTGGGTTTGATTCCTGGCAGAGCGAAATGTTGGGCAAGTTTCCTTACTCCACACGCCTCTGTTTACCTAGCAGCAAGTGGGAACCCGGTTGTTAGTCCATTGGCGTATCGCTTTTCCGGGGATAATAATCCCTCAAAAAAAATTTGGTCACTCAATCCATGACTGTTTGTGTGACACTGCTGTGCGCAATTGGTTGCCATGTTTTGCCTAGAATTCACTTTACAGTATATTCTGTGAAGTGCTTTGAGACGTCTAGAAGATGTGAAAAGCGCTATATCAAATGCAAGGATTATGATTATTATTATCTAAAGGTCTTTAGCCACTGACTCTCTTAACAACAACATCAAAATTACATTTGTATTGCGCCTTTCACGTCGGGAAGACGTCCGTCTAACACCTCAAGACTGAATTTAATGACCTTTCAAAATCCTGTGGAAACCTGAAACAAAATAATTCCCGGCTATGTAAGAGAAGGTGACATTTCAGGCCTCTTGAGCGAGAGTCTGCGCACATCCCATAACCAGAGGAAATGCTTTCCATCCACTAGAGGACGTCGGATAACATACAAAAATAGCCCTCAGTGCCAGATCTGCTTGCAAACTGCGTACGTAAGGGCCCAGGGTAGGGTGACCATATTTTCTAAATCAAATCCCTGGTCACACACACACACACACATAAAAAAAGACTCAACCCACCACAATTTCCCATGGGGCAGTCAGTGTAGGAGCAGCTTGTTGGATTAAATGGTTGTGTTTCTCTGATGAGTGCATCTGTTATTAGAATTGTTTCTGCACAGTTTGTTGCTGGACTGGAGTGCGGGGGGTGGGGGGTGGGGGGGGTCACGTTTGGCCCCAGGGACAACAGGGAATAACCTCAAGGAATGTCCAGGAAAAGGGCTCCCGGCGATGCCTCTCTCCGGATGAGCAGCGGGCTACCGAGCGGGGGCAGCTGGAGGCTGGTGCGGGAGATCGAGGTGAACGTGTTGGAGTGCAAGGTTTGCTTCGAGAGCTACAGCAGCGGCCGCCGGCCCTGCAGCCTGCCCTGTGGCCACGCCGTCTGCAGGCTGTGCCTGGCAGCCCTGAGCACCGGGGCGGTGAAGCTCCATGCGGGCAGCTCCCAACCCGACATCACCGACACCGCCTCCGCTGCTGCCGCTGCTGATGATCCCGGAGCCTCTCGGCGGCTGCTGCAATGTCCCTTCTGCCGCAAGACCTGGGCGGCTTGTCTGGCCGCTGACTGCCTGCCTCTGCTGCAGCTGGCGGAGCTGGTGGAGGAGGAGAAAGGGCAGGAGGAAAAGGAGGAGGAAGAGGAGGAGGACATGGGCTCCTCCTGCAGCCAACCCCCAGCCCCGCCAGCCTCCCCGGCTCCCTGGCCCCGGCTGAGCTGCCAGGCGGTGTCAGGGGGCTGGGGGCAGCTGCTGAACCCCACGGGCATCGCATTGTGCAGCAGGTCAGGGCGGGTGGTGGTGGCTCACGACGGGCAGAAGCGCGTCAGGGTTTTCGACCCGAAGAAGGGGACGTGCCTGCGGGAATTCGGCTCCAAGGAAGACATCAGATACCCCCTAGATGTGGCTGTGACCCAGGACGGGCTGGTGCTGGTGACGGATGCGGGGGACTCGGCTGTCAAAGTCTTCACCCCCCACGGACGGCTAGTCATGACGATCAGAGAGAGCCTGGCTCTGCCTTGGGGGGTGGACATCGGCCCACAGGATCAGGTGGCCGTGGCCGATGCAGAGCTGGGCTCCCTCTCTCTGCTGCACATCGACTTCCGCACCAGGACCTTGGTGAGGAACCAACGCGTCTGCTCCACCTTGCGCCGCCCCCGGGAGGTTGCTATCTGCCCGGCGACCGGCTTCATTCACGTGGTGGAGCACCTCAGATCTCAGCCTGCAGGGAGCACCAGCCCCGTCTGCTTGAGCACCTTCAACAACCAACAGCAACTCATCTACCAAATGGATAGCTTCAGGTTGGGTTTGCTCAACACCCCTCAGCTGTGGGTCTCTGGCATCACTGTTGATGGCAAAGGCAATGTCCTCATCGCTGAAGCCAACCACAAGGCTGTGGTGTGCCTGGGGAATCCTCAGGCTCCTCAATACAGGACAATCATTAGCCAAGGGCTCTCATTCCCCCTGGGATTAGTTTGCATTGGAGACGACACTTTGATTGTGTTGGACGGTGGAGATTATTCGTTCAAAGTCTACAGAGATTTTTACCAAACAAAACCCTAATCGGAAAATTTTCCGTCTATCAGTTTCCTGAAGAAAATGGAGTGGGACTTGACGGCGACGTATTTAAAACACGATTGAAGCAGCTTTAGTAACTAAAAGATTTAATTTAAACTCTTTAGGCACACCTGTAATGTTTAGATGCGTCCAGTTTTTGGGAAGAGCAGAAAATTTGAACTGTGAGTGTGAAAGTTACAAAAATAAAGTGTTAAATGTATATTTCATTTTCTTCTTCGTGCCCATACATTGGGATTTGGAATCACATCATCTAGGTTGACACACCAATGCTGTGCTGGGTGTGGCTAAATTGTTGGAGGTGCCGTCCTTTGGATGAGATGTTAAAAAACTGAGGTCCCATCTGCCTGCTCAGGTGGATGTTAAAGATCCCTTGACACTATTCAAAAAGAGAAGGGAGTTTCTCCCAGTGTCCTGGCCAGCAATCCCCCAAATAAAATCAGTCATTCTCTCCATGGCTGTTTGTGGGACATTGCTGTGCACAACTCAGGCCGGCCCTCTAGAAATCTTCTTGGATACCAATCTCGGCTGATCTGCTTTAGCTCTCAGAAGTCAACAGAAATTAGTTCAGTGCCCAAGTGGAGTTCCGACAGGTCAATGTGAGATACAACCAGGTGAGGGCAAGGCTTTTTTTTCACAAATCCTGCTAATTAGACCCCATTGAGATGATACTCATGTGTTTCAGTTGTCCCTTTGCTTCTGCTAGTCACGAGCAGTCACAGAATAGAGATCGTGTACAGAACACCCCGCTTTGTGACATTTGAATAGGAACTATCAACAGAGACAGACGGTCCATTCATGAAATCACAGAGAGGAAGTTCAGCACAAGATGCTTGCTCCAGAGATCTCTTAATTCACAGACTTACATGTGAGAAAAGACGTGCAGACTTCTCCCTGTACAAAATAATGATGAGGGACTCTGGGCTCAATCCAGTGAAGTATATTTACTATATATTTATAGAATTCCTGGAACAAACCAAGACTTGGTGACTTTCTATGGCATCAAAAACATTCGCTTTATTGATAATAAATTATAATATATGTTCCAATTATGCAATAGGTTTCATTCCTCAATATGAAATACTCTGATCTCACCCATTTTTATAACTCAGTAATATTCATTATTAAAAATACACCGACCTAATTTTTACCTCTTCGACTGATTAGAGCTATACAAATGTAATCTTGTTGTTGTTGTAGGGTCACCTCTTCCCTCCCCCCAGCTCAGCATCAGGTTCGGTCACTGTTCAGCGTCTTGGGACATCCTCCCGATGTGAAAGGCGCTATACAAATATAATTTTTTTGTAGCTGTTAAGTGCTCCCGAGACGTTGCCCCACGTGAAGGGCGACATATAAATGCAAATTATTGTCGTAAATAACTTTGATATGTTTCTAGGCGCTGTGTAAATTGGATAATTTTTGACTCTGGACCAGGCTTAAACAAAGCGAACAATGAGTTGATTTTGTTTAATATTTATTTCCCAGGTACAGCTTGGATGGCACCGATGAATAAACAATAGTGCCAACAGATTTGCTTTCATTTCTGATTGCTACCTAGCTGGAAAATAATTTGAACTTCAAATAAGGACAGAATCAGGCTTAGCTATGGTGTCTTCGTGTCACTCTCCAGGCTCCTACATAATGAATGGCTGTTTTGACAAGGGAATTGAGGACTCCTGGGGGCTTTAGAATCATGAACCACCCAGAGGAAAGAAGATAGGGAAAGAAGGAGCCTGTATTATTATAGCGCCTATAATGTTGAAACATATTAAAGCTCTTCACAGTTAATTACTGTCAAGGGTAGTGACTATATCTGTAGGGAAATGTGACAGTACAAGGTGGGGCTTAACCCCCAACCTTCTGATCCAGTGAATGTTACAACTGAATTAAGATGATAAAATGAGAAGGTAAGAAGCACAGGATTGTGCTATCTAGAGTGTGCCGGCTGATCCTTCAGTAATTTGGGTTTGCCTAATCAATAATAATAATAATCCTTGCATTTGTTACAGCGCTTTATCACATCTTAGAGACGCCTGAAAGCGCTTCACAGGACACACTGTAAAGCGAATCGACTGTGTATTCTGTGGGCAAAAGAGCAGGCCAACTCCACTAGTAACTCATAATAAAAAGGTAGCCGAATTTCCTGGACCATTCTCGAGTTGGCTATCCTTTTGTTGCCGGAACATAAAAGGGCTGACACTGGAGAAAATTATGTGAGGAGATTGCCCGTATGTACAGAATGTATGACATCTTTACGTAAAGTGGGGCGATGATGCCATACAAATGACTCACCCACAAATGAGACATTTCAAGTTTTTTTTACAGATTTGTCACTACCTAAATATCTTCAGCAGTTGCAAGACTTCCCTTGGCCTACACTGCCACTGTTTAATACTTCTTACATTTGATATAACTTTGTATGTGAACGCAGCAGCTTCTGAAATGTGGAGGCAAAATACATGAATTAAAAAAAAAGCAGGCACACAAAAACCAGTGCTGGACTCTCAGCAACTCTACTCCCCCCAATGTAACCTGTGCTGCAGAGTATAAAAGTGGCATGTTGTGTCAGAAAGTGTAGCTCCTTTACTGTTGATGGACAAGAAGTTGCATGAAAACCTATAGATTTTAGAAATTGTAAAAATATCTTTGGGGGGCAGGAGAGATTTCAATTACAGTAACTGTCAAGTCCTAATGGAAACAGCAAAGTGGTTGGAAATTTGATGAGAGAAACAGTGCTGGAATAACAGGGCAGCTCAAATTTCTGCCCAGAGGGAATGAGTTAGCACCTTGCAAGGCCTTCTGTCTCTCTCTCTCCCCTCTGTCTGGGCCCCGAGCCTGGAGCGGAATAAAGTCAGTGATGAGATTTAAGAAATAATGTATAAGTTATGAGAGATAGCGTGGAAAGATGGTAGTTTAAGAGTCAAAAGTTAGGTCACATAGCTTCACATGGACATTGGCAAAATTTTTGGCTATTTATATTTTATACAGGGTGTCACTCATGGAGCATTAGTTTACATTCTAATTGCTCTTGCCTTCAATTAATAAAAAGCTGAGTAAGCCACCGCCAGGCAATTAATCAGCTTCAATGACTCTTTGTGTATTTCTGTCTCTCGCTTGGCTTCTGCTGTCAGTTTGGCTCAGTTGGTAACAACTTTTACCTCTGGGTCAGAAGGTTTTGAGTTCAAGCTCCATTGTCTAGACTCTAGGCTAACACCCCAGTTTGGTACTGGGGGACTAATGTATTGTCGGAGATGAAATTCAGATGAAACTTTAGATCCATAGAAATTTACAGCACAGAGGAGGCCATTTGGCCTATCATTAAACCAGGGTCTCATTTGCTTGTTGAGGAGGACTTAAAAGATCCAATGCGACTACTGTTAAGGGAGGGGATCTTCTCCTCATATCCTAGCCAACAATCCTCCAGATTAAGTGGTCATCTACTTCATGGCTTATTATTGAATCGTGCTGCTTGCAAAATGAGTAACCATTTGCCTAGAAAACAGTCACTACATTTGATAGTAATTATAAAGTACATAGAGATGTTTTGACTTTATAAGTGCTATAAAAATCCAAGTTCTTTATATATGGTTTCTGACATGCACTGATCTTTAAGGTCAACAAGCATTGCATTGTGAGTGAATTGTTGTGTAAATTGCAGAATAAGGGTTTCAATGGAGCACATCAAAATTTTCAAAAAAGTATGCTTGGGTAGAAATTGATCAGTGAAATGATAGCGAACAGATGTTAATTTAGTGCTGTTAATTAAGCCATTAGATAGTTTACTCAGCTATGTATGCCAGCAGACTATGGCAGTCTATGTCAAACTACATAGGAGAGGATGTGTTCAGAATGCTCCCAGGATCTGAATCTGGGCTATGCAATATCAGTGGCAGGATGGAATGCAGGATGGAAGCTGGGACCATATAAAAACATGTATTCGTTCCCATTAAAGTACTTGAAAAGAGCAAGTACAATGAATGTACAGCATGGAGACAGGCCTAACCAGTTCATGCTGGTGTTTATACTCCACAAGAGTCTTCACCCACTCCTTATTCCCTCCCATACCCTCTATTCCCCTCTCCCTCATGTGAAGGTTCAGCTTTTTCTTGAATGCATCTGCACTATCTGATTCAACCACCGCTTCACGCAGCGAGTTCTATAATCTCACTACCCTCTGCGTGAAGTAGTTCCTCTTAAATTCTCTTTTTGATCCCTCAGTTGCCATCTTATATTTGTGTCTCCTGGTTATGTCAAATTTAACTATAAGGTAGAATTTGCATATTGTGCCAACTATGTGCAAATGCATATTTATGAAGGAATTATAGGAACCCTTAACTGTGCAATTGACAACCAACAAAGAATTGTAGGTTTCTGCAGTGGTGTGGAGAAATTTCACTCCGGGTTTAGAATTACTCAATTTACCCAGTGTTTCAGAACGTCTAGATTTTGGGAAATTATTAAATTCAGTCTTAACTTTAATTCAGGTTTCAGCAATTCTTAAAATAATTTACAGAAAAATGCTTTCAAAACTAAGACTGTATTTAGAAATTTGCAAAATTCTGGATGCTCTAAAATGCTACATTATTAAAGTCTAGATCCAGGTGAAATTTTCCACCAATGGAGCACCTTCTATCAAAAATACTATACCAGTTTTATTAGATAATTATCTGGTATCATTTAGGTATTTTGTTCAAGGTAAAAAAAAACTACTGTTCATACTATTTCCTGAGCTATATTAAAAATTGATATCCAATACTTATAAAAACCTTTAATTAGAAATACTTGAGTTTTAAGGACATTGCTTTGGACATGATTGAAGGAGCTGCATGTGACTCATAACATATTTGTATAAGTACATAATTTAGTGATACAGCTTGGGAAACACATGAAATAAAGCACTCTTCCTAGGCTTTCCTTCTCCTTTAATAAAGCACCAAAATGATCCCTGATAATAATCTGCACCACAATACAGCTGAACGTCTTCCCAATACGTTTACATATGAACTAACATATCAATACAAAATCTCACAGACCACACACCTAATATTCAAGTCAATTTCTTTATTTTTTGCTCAGCTGAGTGTCTGACACATGCGGAAACCCATCACCATGCTTAAGAGTATCTAAAACCAAACTGAGATTTCTGTGCATCCCACTTATACATGGAAATCACAGAGAAAGATTGTTGGAATAGAATGCACA